AGTTGGTTTTATTTTGTCAAGGAACATGTTTTCAATACTAACATTTCATTTGGTACTGTCCATTTGAGTTTTCTTAAATATTCATCCCTTCTCGGTTCATTGTCTGCAAAGTAAGTTTTTATGACATTTTGTAAACTTTCGTTTGCAAGGTCATGTACAATAGGTTCTCTTCCTTCTCTCTCCCTAACTTTCTTTCTAAACTCTTCACCAAATATACCATCTCTATGGTTCTGTGTAGTTCTTTGAGATAAATGTTCTAGACGTCAGGTGTTATATTCCATCAGCCATGTTCATTTCATACTGGTTCAAAATATCTGCATCTTTCATATCTTTCAATGGCATTAAAGCCGCGCTGAAAATACCAGCTACATCTGGTTCACCATTCACTTCCATTGCGTCTACAACTTCTTGAATTGTGGTTGTAAGTTTATGAACACCTATCCGGATTAGCTTTATGACCCCATCTCATTGTAGTTTCCATCGTCTGCAGAAACAAAAGTAGGTTTGTTTCCATATTGGCTAGGTTCTGAATGAACTTTAAACAATGTTTCATTTCTATATGTTTTGTTGAAATTTAACCTTTTATTTTCACCGAGTTCATCCAAAGATTGAACGTTATATGCTCGTAAGTAAAAAGGATTGTTGTATTTGCGTACATTTTCTTTCAGTTCTTCCATTCTATGCTGAATATTTTCATCTGATGTTGGAGTCTTTTGTATGTCGGCGAACATTTTTCGATATTCTTCTACTATGTCAGCCGAATTTTCTTAGACTCTTGGAAAGATTCCATATTCTCCGCATATTCTCTCTTGTTGAGGGTCAAGATTTTTTCGGCTGTTCCAAATCTTCATCTAGTTCTGTGAAGTTAGTTTCCAAAGGAGGGACTTGTTCGTTTCCTTCTGGCTCTTCTAGCTGTTGTTGCTGAACTATATTTCTTCCATGTCTGGTTGTATCTGAACTTCTTCCTGTGGAGTTTCTTGTACCTCATCTGCTGGCATTTCATATATTCCGAGACCGTTTTTAAAAAGTTCCCTATCTAAGTCATTCCGGACTCATAAACCTTTCTTCTTTCGTTCCGTCTCTATTTTTTACGCTTTCATGAAGAGAGTTGAATTATCGTTTAGCTCTGACACCAAATATCTTGGAGTAAATTCAGTCATGTCATTTGGATGATATGCTATTAAATCATATCCCTTAGCGAGCTTGTATTTTCCAGGTTTGAAATTATATCCCATTTGGTGCTGAACCATAAGCTAAATAGGTTCGGGTCAGTATTTCCTTCCTTGAACTTTCTAATAGCTTCTTTATATCTGTCACTAAAGTCAAGAGTATCTGGGTAACCATAGTCTTCCTTAAGCATTTTTAAGAATTCTTGGTTTCCTTGTTCTCTACTTCTTTTATGTCCTTGCTCTGTTTGTGGTTGTTGCTGTGCAGTGTTTTGAACTGTTGGTTGTGGTGCAGTGTTTTGAACTGTTGGTTGTGGTGCGGTGTTTTGAACTGTTGGTTGTGGTGCAGTGTTTTAACTGTTGGTTGTGGTGCTGGTTTTGGTGCATGCCTGTGTCTGTGTCCATGTGACGATGTAAATGTTTTAGGTAGTCCTGGTGCAGGTGCTTCTCTGGAGGGTTTGGTGGTATATAAGTTCCACCAGCTGGCACATATGTTCCATCTGCAGCATAATGTCCTACCTGACTTTTCGTTCTTAAGAAAGCATTTACTAGGTCTGTTTTGGTCTGTTGTAACTCTTTTTCTTGACTTTCCACAACAGTTGCTCTAACGGCGTCATAGGCACTTTGAACTGCCTGTCTCGTTGCTGCATCTGTTATTTTTCGTCATATTTTGTCTACTTCTCTTAACTCGTTGTCGAAACCTTCAGACTTCAGTTTCTTTCCAGATGAGAAGTCGTTCACTTGTTTCACCTTACTATGAAGAGCTTCGAAGGCGTTCTTAAGTCAGCATTCATTAAAGCTTCATTTGAACTGTCTTCATCCGCTTGTATTTTTTCCTTATTGACCCTATAAGTTGGGCTGCTTTGGCGTTGGCTTGGGCATCTAACCAGTCATTATTAGCTTTTATATTTCTGCGCTTTTCATTGCCTTTTGCATGGCTGCGTCGTTATTTTTACTTTCTTGTGCTAAGTTTTCATACTGTACGGTTTGGTTTTGCAACTGTAAAAGTTTTTCTGCCTTTACATTTGCTTCAACTTCTTTTTTATACTCATCGCTATCCATATATGTCTTCAGGGCTTTTTGTTTTATTTCTTCATCTTTCAGTACTTTATATTGAGTAGTATGGTTTTTCAAATTTATAACATCTTGTTCCATTTTTGCTACTTCTGCTGCTTTTTCTGACACTTTTTTTGCATATTCCTCTGTACTTAGTTCTTTCAGTTGTTCTTCTTTCTTCTTTTTCTCTACGTTTAACTCATTGAGTTTCTTTGTGTGTCTGTCATATTCTAGTTTCTTTTCGTTTTCACTTATTTGTTTCTGTATGTCTATGTTTGACTTTTTGACATCTGTTATTTGATTTTTGAGTGAACTCAAATTCATTTGACTTTGAGGGTTATAAGCTGTTCCGTCTGCAGCTCCACCATAGCCTGCCATTTTCGCTAAAAGTGCCGCTCTTAAACCTCCACTCTGTGCACCAATAACTCGGTTTAAAAGCATAGGGTTGCTTGACATTTGTTGCAACATAGTGGGGTCATTCATCATTTGTTGTTGCAACTGTTGTTGTGGTGTCAGTTTTACTATTGGATGTTTCAATGCTCCCTTCCTCTTACGTATATTCTTACGTAGCTTACGTGGCATTTTAAGTGAAGTAAAAAACGGTTTTTGACAGATGTTTATATGACACTTTTTGTTCAGCACAAAAAACTACTCGGTCAAAGTGTTGTCAGTTTTGTAAAATAACCGTCCTATCTCCGTGCCTATGACGAAGAAGTCTTGACAAAACATTTACGAAGAAGTCTTGACAAAACATTTACGAAGAAGTCTTGACAAAACATTTACGAAGAAGTCTTGACAAAACATTTACGATGAAATCTTGACAAAACATTTACGTTCATGTTTGACAAAACATTTACGAAGAAGTCTTGACAAAACATTTACGATGAAATCTTGACAAAACATTTACGATGAAATCTTGACAAAACATTTACGATGAAATCTTGACAAAACATTTACGAAGAAGTCTTGACAAAACATTTACGATGAAATCTTGACAAAACATTTACGAAGAAGTCTTGACAAAACATTTACGATGAAATCATGACAAAACATTTACGATGAAATCATGACAAAACATTTACGATGAAGTCATGACAAAACATTTACGATGAAATCATGACAAAACATGAAAACATATATAATTTGTGAAAAGCGACACATTATATAATGTTTTTCGACCCAGAAGAAGGTTTTCCGAATAAAAACTTCATTTATACTAAACTTTTTATGGGCTAGAAGGCACGAAGTGCCTGGAAGGCCATCCCAAGAAAAAAAAAAAACTTCATTATACCAAACATCCTCAGGGCTAGAAGGCACGAAGTGCCTGGAGGCCCCAATACCTTTTTTTTTAATGAGAAAAAATCAAAATAAGAAAATGAGCATAATAATAATTTGGGGCGGCGACAAATTTGCCCAGCCAGTAAAGTATTCAATTTTTTTTTGCATTTTTTTTAAAGCTTCTTAACTTAAATCATGGAATGTCTCAAAGACAAAAGTAGCATACAGCATGTAAAGCTAAAGAAAGATAATCATAATTAATACCTTAATTTTTAATATTACGCATTTTTAGGTGCAAAATTTAAAAACATTCTAATACAATAGAGCAGTTTCCAAAAGTAGCATACAGCATGCAAAGCTAAAGAAAGATAATCATAATTAATACCTTTAAAGTTTAAAATCTTGATTTTTTTTAAAATCAAATATTTATAACTTTAATACATACAGCTTAAACCTTATACTTGTTTTCTCTTGTGAGAAAGCAATCTTACAAAGCTAACAATCCTAAAAAATAAAGAATTAAAATTTAATAATTTAATCTAACAAAATTTCTCTCTTTATCCTTTTGCACTCTTTATATGCAACTCAAATCCATCATATAATATTCCTATAATACTCTTGCCTCAAACAATGACGAACAAACTGCTATTTTCATTTAATTACAGACCAAATCTATTCAAATTTCTGAATTTTAAATTTTCATTTCAATTTCAAATGGAATTAGAAGAAGAAACTATCTTTACTGTTATGGATCTTTGTAAATTTGGAGTTAAACAAGAAATACAAGCACAGTATGGATATGGTGAACGTGTCAGGAAAGAAAGATCTCAGATTTCATTCCACTGCAAATATACAAAATGTCCTGCACATTTTAATGTTGCAATCTTGGATCAAAATAAATACAAACTAATCAAAATAGTTGAAGAACATGATCATTCCGCCCCAAATGACAAAAGTCAATATTCGTCTGTCTTTTATCGCAAATATTTAGAACATTACTTCCAAACAGATGACAATCAAAGAGCGATAGCACAGCTAAATGCATTCAAAGATCTTGAAATTCCTCTTACAGGTCCGTCCATTCCAGAGATGTACGCTCAAAAACCACGTGCAATCAAACGATTTGCAGAGAGAATACATGCTCTTCAAACTAGATATTCTCCTGACGATGTTGTGTCATTGCAAATCTTTGTTCAGACAGTACAAGAAGAATCTCCAGATGATCTCATTGCATTTGAAGTCTCAGACAATAATATGTGTTTCTATTACGCGCCTTTTGAAGGCAAAGCTTATGCGCATAGTATCAAGACATTTCATATAGACAGCACCTATAAATTGTTGCGATCAAACATTCCATTGTATGCATTTACTGGCAAAATCAAAGATTTTCACATTTTCCCTTTTTTATATTTCTTTTGTCAACCAGACACTTATCAAAACATTCAAGTTTGCGTGTGCGCCTATCTCAGATGGGTAACAATTGAGCCAGAATACATTAGCATGGACTGTGCTCCACAGATAGCTCAAGCAATAGAAGAAAGCATTCCACAAGCTCAAATACTTTGGTGCGGAGTACATGTTCTTCGTGCAATTCTTCGCAAATCAAATAAGTTTTCTTCTCAAGAAAAATTTGAACAATTCTATAATTTGATGAAGGATTTAGTCTTCAAATTAGATGCAGAACATGAGGAAGAAGCAAATGCTGCCTATGATCAAGTTCTGGAGTTGCTCGACACAGATCCAACAGCATCTCAATACTTTAACAGACAATGGCGTTACAACATATCAAGATGGATTGCTCGTGACAGGCGTGAAGGCGACGCAACTAACAATATTGCCGAAGCTCATTTTAGAACACTCAAACATGACTATTTTCCTGATCGAAAAAATCTCAGAATTGATGATGTTATTATAGAAATTTATACAAAAGTGATACCATCTTTCGTTATCAAACTCAAAATTGATCAAAATCCAGCAGATGACCGTGTCATTAGGATCATGGAAAAAGCAACTAACGCAGAAATTGATGTAAAAAGACAAAGAAAAATCGAGAGTATTTCAATGCTCAATAGATTGCTCAATGCTGTTAGTGATGACTCAATAGATCCCAGTAAAATATATCCTACCTTGAAAGTATTATTACAAAGAACTCATTTTATTTAATTTTGATTTTAATTTTAGATTAAATTATTAAATTTTAATTCTTTATTTTTTAGGATTGTTAGCTTTGTAAGATTGCTTTCTCACAAGAGAAAACAAGTATAAGGTTTAAGCTGTATGTATTAAAGTTATAAATATTTGATTTTAAAAAAAATCAAGATTTTAAACTTTAAAGGTATTAATTATGATTATCTTTCTTTAGCTTTGCATGCTGTATGCTACTTTTGGAAACTGCTCTATTGTATTAGAATGTTTTTAAATTTTGCACCTAAAAATGCGTAATATTAAAAATTAAGGTATTAATTATGATTATCTTTCTTTAGCTTTGCATGCTGTATGCTACTTTTGGAAACTGCTCTATTGTATTAGAATGTTTTTAAATTTTGCACCTAAAAATGCGTAATATTAAAAATTAAGGTATTAATTATGATTATCTTTCTTTAGCTTTACATGCTGTATGCTACTTTTGTCTTTGAGACATTCCATGATTTAAGTTAAGAAGCTTTAAAAAAAAAGCAAAAAAAATGTTATAAAATAAAAAAATTTTTAGTATCGATAATCTGAAATATGTTGTTTACTTAAGCCGCGAGCGAAGCGAGCGGCTTAGTTTCGTAATTTCATACAATCTTTTTTCGAATCTGTTCTTTTCGTCAGCCGCGAGCGAAGCGAGTGGCTTAGTTTCGTAATTTCATACAATTATTTTTCGAATTTGTTCTTTTTGTCAACCGCGAGCGAAGCGAGTGGCTTTTTATTTTTTTTAAAAATTTTTTTTCCTTTCTTACTTTTTTTCCTTACTTACAAATTTGATAGTAACTTACCAAATCTCTCTATCATATAATAATAAATTAATCCATTTTTTGTTTCAAATCTGACACTTTACATTTCTGACATGTAAACTAGTCACTTTTCACTTCACCTCACTGGGCAAGTTTGTTCCCCCTCTAATAATTTAATTAAAAACAAAAACAATAAATAAAATGTAATTTTCGTTAATCAAAGTCATCAATGTCTTCGTCTTCTGATTCCCATTCGGACTTGAAAACTTGATAATCTCCTCCTGGTACACTCTGAATGGATTTTTTGTATTTGTTCTGTTTTTTAGAACCTTTTGTAACAGTTTTTTGTTTCAATATCATTTTGGAGTAACAATTCTCTTCAAATGATTTGACATAATCTTCTGGAAGTGGGGAAAGATGTAATGCTTTTTGTATATCTCCGAGAAAATGCTCTGGATCATTCCATTCTAAGATTGCAACGTTAACTCTAATGTTAATGTTCTTCCAGGCTCTTGATTTGTCCAAATAGCATGCAATTTTGGAGTTAAACGCTTCATTCATGCAGGTAGATCCAATGGAAGAAACTTTGGAAACTATGGGTGTCCATTTGTGAACCCAGTCATAGAGCATGAATTGAAGTTGGATCGAATTGACACCTTTTTGCCATTCAAAGCATTTGTAATTGCGCGGTTCGCAAAAAGAATGATTGCCTACGTAATGGTAGACACAATTCTCCCACATTTTCGTACGTTTGTCAATATTTTCTTCGGCAAAACATGACCAAAGCCACATACTTAGGCTTGCATTCAGACCCCAGAAAGGTCTCTCTATTTTTTCAATCTTCTGAGTCTTGTCGTTGAAAACTTCAACTGTCTTATGAGAAGCTGAGAACTTTGTAAAATCTTTTGAGATATTTTTGATACATGACCTGGATCGAATCTTTCAAGATGAGAGACGCCAAATTCTTTAAAGACAGAGACACTTTTGTTATCTCGGTCTTTAATAATCTCTTTAACATCTTTCAAGATATTGTATTTCTTTAATTGCTTCAAGATGATTCGAGTTCCAGCACTTTCCATATTGTTGGAAGCTCCGGAATACTGAGCATGCTGTCTGTTTCCACCAATATGGTTGATGTTCACGCATGCAAGAACTCTTTTTGTGACAGCATCGAGCGCAGTTACTGTACAACTTGGCGAGTTTCGCCTGTGCGTCCATCTTGCATCAATGGATAAGTAACCACTGAAGGACTTTCTCGACAGCATTAGGGAAATACTTTTAAGTCTTCTAATCTTATCGTCACAAAATCTCTGTTGTCTCATGACACCACTCTTCACAGGGGGCTTAGTTCCACAAAGAGAAAGAAAGCGAGCACCTTTTGTATATGGCATTCCGGTCATTATGCAAGCACCAAGCATCTGTCGCGCTGAGAGTCGACGACGTTCGTGGAGTAAAATGTTATGCATTGCCTTTGTTTTCCGTTTTGGGTGAACAATATGGCCCATACAACAACAAAAAAAATGAAATCCCGCCAAAAGTGAAAATTGAATAAAAAGTAATAATTAATAAATATATACTATATCATTAGATGAATATTTTGGAATAACATTTTAAAATCGAGGTTTTTCAATGGATAACGGTTCAATCAAAAATTTGACCCCATTTTAGAATCTACATTAAAAATGGAACATTTCTGTCGTTTCAAAATTCCAAAATAACGTTTCTATTCCTCTCAAAAGTAAAAATAAACTTTATTGGGGAAAAATATTTTTATTTTCCAAAAAAAATGAAAACCTTAAATGCAAATCTAATTTTGATGCTTTTGTTTGTGATTTTTTGGATTTCGAAAAAAATTTGAAAATTCAGACAAGTTACCATTAACACTAATACGTTTCAGCGAGTCGGTCCCATCAGAGAAATTTTCATAAATCGGCGATATAATTTATTATTTCAGCAAAATATTCTCAGATCCAACTAGAATAAGGTCAAATTATACAAATTTAGCAAAGACTAGTTATCCTACCTATTCAATTAACTTTAATTTTAAATAATTCAAGACAATTCTCAAAATTACCTTAATAATCGCGTTCTCTTCGCAAAATGACGATTCATCATTCACTACCAGCATAACTGAGGGCTTGTGCTCACAGAATAATACAGATAATTTACTTATTAATGCAAAATTTAGTACCAAAAGGTAATCATAGAAGATACAAAAAAAGTTTCTTTATTTTGATTGCTGATTTTATTTCTTCTAAAATTTACCAAATCTAAAAAATCCAAAATTGAATGCTATTGAATTTCATGTTTATGTAACATATACTATTTATTATATAAGGAATAAAAATATCTCATACCGAAATGGCTCACCAAAAAGGTGACATTTTTGGCGCCAATAATTTGATTTTTCTGATTCTTTCTATTTAGATATATTTATTTAATATTCATATTCCTTTATATTGCCTCATATTATTTCCCATTTTTAATCATATTATACAAATCTTTAATAATTTTTAATGTTTTGAGCTTCAAAATCTTGTTCTAACTATTTTCATTCATATATCCTAGAAAAAATTAAAAAGTTTTTTAGAAATAAAAATGTTTGTATGTAAAGTATTGAAAATATTCTAGATGAGAAGACATTCTCCAGAAGAGATTGATATTGATTGGCTTTGTGAAGCCATCACAAAATCAAATAATGAAGTTAAGTTAACTGATATTTGCGCGAAAGCTAAAATAAATCATGAAGGCAGAGTTATATATAATCATACTATCTTAAAGTATTCCTAGAAATTTCCAAAATTAACCGAAATATAACTGTACAGAATTACTATTTTCGAGATAAAATTCATATGGAAATACTAATTCATAACGCTTTATGTTATATAAAATTTAATTTATAAAAATTTCAAAATAAATCAAATTTAACACAATGAATATAACTGCAATCGAGGTTTTTGACGATTGATTCTTACGAGAAGTTTTCCAAACTTTGAGTTAATGTCAAGACATTAACTCAAAGTTTGGAAGTCTAATAAGGGGAATTGTAGGCTATGAGGTACTGATTATATATCAGTGCCTCATAGCCTGCAATTCCCATTAGAAATCGGAGAAACTTTGTCCGCATAACTTATGATGTGGACAAAGTTTCTCCCATTTCTACTTAGAATGAAAGGGCAAGAGGTATATAGGTACACTATATATCTCTTGCCCTTTCCTTCTTACCTAAAGACTTCCAATCTTATTTTTTTTCCAATTTTTCCCCTAAATTTAAATCTTATATAATATAAATAAAATGCATAATATCAATCACAAAAATTAATGTTTATTTTTTTAATTAAAATTGCCGCGCAATTTAAGGTTTTCTGTCACTTTTTTGTTAGCCATTTCGGTACGAAACATATAAGGAATAAAAATTTTATAGTTTTAATCAAAAATAAAGGTGTACTAAATGCATACAAAACAAGGTATTTTTTACTCATCCAAAATATGTTAACAGTGCTATTTATATAATCAATATCCGAATTTCGAAATCATTTTGATGAAATCTTTATTTTAAAATTGAGTTGACTGTTAAAATCACCCGAGAAGAGGGATTATCTCAATGAAAAGTACATAAAATAGCAAACGCACAAGATGGCACTATGCAGCTTTATATTGTTATACAGGATGAACATATAAAATGTTTGGAAAACACTTACTTCGTTCTACAAATGTGTATCTCTTTATATCAAAGATTCTTCTCAAATTATTGAGAGACTTCTCTCAAAAAAAGGAAAATTTGATAACTAAAAAAAATTATGGCATAACCTCTCGTTTTGCATAGATATATATTTACATGGTCACAGAGCTTATTTTCATTGTCAAAACTTAAAAATTTTTAGTGGACTATACCCTTAATTTAATTTTTTTTATGCTAGTGTACTTTTTAGCCCAAGCACTTTCTTATGATATCACTGGCCCAGGTTATTATAGTAGAAATATTTATTATGATTCAAGCGAAACGTTTAAATTCGACATTACCCCTTCTAATCAGGGAAATTATTACATTGTTTTTACATCGAAGCCTGATTCACTCAAATTCGATTCAAATATAATTTCTAATAGAGTATACAAAATCTCCAAACTATCCGCATCTTATACAGTTTCAGTATCTAGTAATGCCGACGTCTCATTTGGCCTTTTTCTAGTTCCATATTCATACAATTCTCTTGAATTCTGGATCCAACCATATGGATCGTCATCTAAATATGTTATTCCGTCATATCAATATTCTACTTCTCAAACATATATATAGGGTGTCCAAAGGTGCGTTTAGCACAGCGCTCTATATGAGACTATTAAAGGAGACATATGCTGATTATAAATATATAATAAAAAATATGAATATATGTATATGATGAGTATGTTGTATTTTGGCGCCATGCCGGGATATAAAATGAATTTTGAGACAAGAGGCGGTTTCGCGGGAAATTTTGGCGGGATTTTTTTCATTTTTTTAATGAATCATAAAGAAAACATCCTCGCTCTTGCAAAAAAATGCAAAGACTGTAAAAAAATCTACGAGACATTGGTAAAATGCTTCGGTATGGATGCTCCTAACTATTCCACTGTAACGTATCATGTTAGGATGTATCACTTCATGAACAAAAAGGCGCCCATCATAAAAATTGACAAAAAATCGCCGGATCAAAGAAAAATCAAAGCAATTCTTCAAGCGCTAGATGAAGACCCAAGAGCATCACTCAGAAGGATAGAGGAGATGACAAAGATACCACGTACAACAGTCAGTTATTATCTGCACAATTATTTGAACTACAAACTAGCGTATACACGTTGGGTTCCGCACAACCTTAATTCAGTTCAAAAAAAATCTAGAGTCCAATCTTCGAAAGAGCTCCTCTCTATATTGGGTGCGTATCAATCCAAGAAGTTTCGCTTTTTAGTAACAGGGACGAGTCTTGGTTTCAATATGCAACAGAAGCCAAAATCATGTGGATCCCGAAGGCTGAAAATCCGCAAACATTCCCGAAGAAAAAAATTGACACACCAATGATGATGTTGTCGGTTTTTTGGGGCGTGAATGACATCATCGCAATTGATATTCTTCAAAAACCTAATACGATGAATGCTCAGTATCTAATTGACAATGTTCTTACTCAAATTATCAATTCTGATGAGTTTGAGAAATCCAAACAACAAAAACAAAAGTTTGCAATTCATTTTGATAATTCAAGAGTTCACAAAAGTCATAAGGTAATGAATTACTTGGTGGAAAACAATGTCAAAGTTGTTCCAAACCCAATTTATTCACCTGATATTGCACCCTCTGACTTTTATTTATTCGGCACGCTAAAAAAGAGAGCTGAAGGACGCGAATTCGCGAGTCCAGATGATCTTGAAAATTTTGTAAGAGAGCAATTTGAGCAATTTTCTCATGATGATTTAAAGCGTGTCTTTCAAGCCTGGATCGATCGCTGCGAACGCGTGATTGAATCCAATGGTGATTATATTTAAATAAACTTTATATATATGTAACTTGTTTATTTCTATTCGCAGTATTCAGGTTTGTGCTAAACACACCTTTGGACACCCTATATTATGCATAGTTTCTGACAGTATTTTCGATATTACTGTTTATAATTCCGACTCAAATTCTGTTTATGGTAACAGATATGGAAGTCTCCCAATATCTTCATTCTCAGGTGATATAAATCTTAATATAGATCCGTATTTTTCCCAAGTGAGCGGGGTATCTCTAATCCCAGCCCTATCGTCCTCCCAGTGTCAGTTTTTAATATAAAATCCAAAATTTTTTAAAAAATAAAAATTTCGAGAAATTTTTTAAGTTTTTTTTCTTTGATTTCAATAATACAAAATAAATTTGGGAGTAAAAAGACACTATTTAATGAAATTCATATGAGTGAATGTGGATAAATACTCTCAAAACATACAATTTATATATTTTTTCTTTATGTTATCAACTAATTAGTGATAATTTTTTTTGAATCAGATTTTTTTTTCATTAAAAACATAATATATAACGCAATAATGATGTACACATACGTATCTACACATCAAAATATAAAGTTTGTTTTGGTCTAGGCATCCCAACCAAAAATTCTTAAAAAATTGAATAAAATTGAATACTTGGGGCTGGGATACCCAGCCCGAAACCGAATTGAATTTTTTGAATTAAAGAATATATTTACGTATTTATAATATATATGTGATGTTTATAAAAAATACTAAATTTTTGTAAAAAAATTCAATTTATTCAAAACGTACATTAAGTGATCACTTCATTAGTAGGATCAGCGATCCTACTAAATGGTAAGAATGCCACTAGATAAAAAGGGAGTCCTTGGAGCTCTTGATCTCTTGTCAGTAGAGTCCATAATGAGGCATGGCATCTACTGATTAGAGATCAGAGCAATCCTACCTTACCTTCAGGAGCTACAAAGCTCCTAATCGTTACGAGAGGGAGCCTTGGAGCTCCTGAAGCTCATCAGCAGAGGCTATTTACCATTTGGGCCTCTTCTGATGAAAGATGCGAAGCTCTTCTACGAAACAGGAGCTCCAAAGCTCCTAATCCTTACGAAAGGGAGCTTTGGAGCTCCTGAGTCTTCATCAACAGAGTCCCAGATGGTAAATGTCCTATGCTGATGAAAGATGCGAAGCACATCTTCGAACCAGGAGCTTCAAAGCTCCCATTCCTTACGAAAGGGAGCTCTGGAGCTTCTGAAACTCCTTTTATTATCAGATAGGACAGTTTTCTTCTGAGGCTTCTCATCAAATCTAAGACTTCAGAAGAAAGCTGTCCTATCCGTGTATACTTACATTCTAATTGACTACAAGTGTACAACTTTAAGGCAGAGATTATCCGAGGCCTCTCATCAAATGAGGGACCTCGGATAATCTCTGCCTTAAGTAGTCAAATAACTTTCTGACTATTCAGGAACAAGAGAACAAGAGTTGGAATACTTTAAGGCAAGGTTCTTCCGAAATCTCTCATCGAATGAGAGACTTCAGAAGGACCTTGCCAAATCCTTGAACACTGATATCCTTGGAACTGAGCTAGGACCAAGGAGAAGTAGTGTACTATAGCTCACGATGGTAATCTCGGAATTACTTATATTGCCACATGCACAATATCTATTCAGCCAGACTCCTATATACAAGAAGTCAGGCTGAATAGATATTGTGCATATGGTTTGCAGAACTCTAATAACACATAAAATTTTGTTATCCCAAAAAGGTGACATTTTGGGTGTATCGTCCATCCCAGGGATGCAAAAATCACATCACCTTGTATCTATAATCTTAATATTGCTATTTTGAAATATTCCCATTATTCGACCACAGTTCCAAATACTTACTACACTGTCAGTTCAACTCATTCTTATAATAAAGAATTTAAATGTTATGACAATTCAAAGGCTTCTCAAGTTTATACTAATGGAATTACTATCATTGATCTTGAATCAGCAGAAACATCAGAAGATACACCTATTTCATACGGCCCACAATACGGAAGCTTTTCTACTACGGGCACAACATACTCAGTTCCAGGTAATACAACAATCGTTTTTACAAAACCAAGCAAAGTCAAAGGAGCTGCAAGAGTCGGCACACAAACTTTAGGAATTCTTGGTGACACCATAATCAGAGCTATTGAATTTAGAGAAACAGGAACACTCACGCTTACATCAGAAACTTCAACTAATGCTTACTATGTTGTTTACAACTATTCAACCAGTTATTGTACTTTCACTGCTGTCATTTCAGGATCTAAGAAATTCAAAGTAGAAAACGATCCATATTTAACATACTGCGTTTTTTCAGCTTTCCATACCGGCAAATCAGATATTGAATTAGATGAAATTACACACACTTCATATGATAGTTATAAAAATCGATTATATAAGTCCAGTAGTGATCATAAGACAATTTCTGAACCATGTTTAACAACATTTTATTCAATTGCTCATGGCAAAATAAGTTTTGATAATGATGGCAGTTCAAATGATGATGACTATGTAATTGATGGATATAATTCAAAATATGACTTCTATTATATTACCTCAAGTTCTGCAACAAAAATTAACTTTGACAGTTCGTTTGGTTCTGTCAGTGGTGATTTTCCAGCATTTGCTATTGCTATTATTGTTATTATTGTTTTAGGTTTAGTTATAGGCATAATTACCTGTATTGTTTGTTGCGTTTGCTGTGGAAAATCTTTCTGTTGCTCCTCTCGTAATAAAGTTTCAGCAAACAAACATAGTGATGATCATAATAAGGATCATAATAATGAACGTGAGACAGCTCATTCTACTACACGAAATTCTACAACTGTTGTTGTACAAACACACAATGTTATTGCTTCTCCTTCTCCTCAGCAGCAACCACAGCCACAGTATTATCAACCACCTCCTTCTTATGTTCCCCCTCCACCACAAACTCCATCTTATGCTCCTCAACATAATTCTCCATATGGAGCTCCTCCTCAACAAACCCTATTTATGGCATTCCTCCTAACCAAGCACCTGTTTATGGTGTTCCTTCTCAACAAGCTCCGTATGGTGCCCATCCCCAATATGCTCCACCACCATCTTATGTTGTACCAGAAACAAAAAATTCTTATGATAACCCTTACAATTAAAAAAAATCGGAAAACAGAAATTAAGCTGATTTTCCTTTGGCATTGTTGCATTGTAATTTTTTCAACAACTATTTGTCTTTAAATAAAAAGTAGTATTTTAAAAATGACTAACTTTTTACTCAATGAGCTTGCAATTGCAAGGTTTTGGTATATGCATTTATCGGTCTAAATGTTAAATTTAGATGATTAATGCAAAATATCGAATATATTGTGAAATGTCTGATGTTTGTAAATAAAATGCACATATAGTAATAAGAATTAGACTATATTAAATGACATGATGAGCAAATATGAAGCAGAATATTTTGATTATGTTTTTATTTCAATAGTTGAAATATAATTCGAAAAGGTTTATAATCGGACAAATCTGAACGACTTAGATATAGAACTATCCAAATTTATATATTTTATATATTAATAACAAATGTTATTAATTTAATTTAGTTATTCTGAATTTTTTGCGAAATATAACATAATTTATTTACTAATTATTAATATAAATCGAATGAGGCAACTAAATGGATTTTTTATTAATTCACCAAATTGGATTTATCATTTATTCTTGTACATTCAAAAATAAACGATACCTGTTTCTTTTCAATTATGGTTGTCAGACGATACTTATTTTGAGAGTACACGTTTGAATATTTTGGAAATAAAAAAATTATTTACTGATATATAAGAAACAAAATTTCGAAATAATTTCTCAAAGAGGTTAAAAAATTGAGAGGAATAATTAAACCATATTTTTGGTCCCGTGAGTCAGTAAAGATTCATAAAATATCATCATACTGAATATCAAACTTAAAATTTTTTGGATCAGATTTCGTAGGAGATCTCTAAAAAAATTCCGAATAATAACCGAAAACGGTAGGAAATTGAGAGGAAAAACTTCATCGTTCTATTGTAAATGACAATAGATATTGATATTGAATATATTTTTTCATCAGATGATTTCTTAGTACATTTTTTTGAGATCCTTTCAAAATTTTTGTTTGGCCCTTCTTTGGCCATATTTGAAATACATGATTTTTAGGCATCCGTTAATTTCCCTTCCATAAATGCTTCTATTAAAATCAAACAATCCGAAATTGATTAGGCTTGAAGGATGGAAAAGGCATTTAATTCATCAAGAATTTGGTCAATTTTATGATGGAGAGTGTATAAGTGTAAAAAACGATCATTTTTCAGATAACAAAAGTTACTGCATCAAAAACTGTCTCTTTGAAAATCTAAAAGATAGAGAAATTCATATAATATGCCGATCTAAATTTCTCTTGGAAGATAGCGCATTTACGAATGTATCAATACAATCAGGTGAGGGTGGTGCAGTTTTAATGAATTGTGGAGAATATGTTCACAATCGAATTTGTTCATTTAACTGTTCAGCACCAAGTTTCGGACAATATTGTTATTGCTATGCAAATAATAACTCCTTGAAAAATTTCGTTTTAGAGAGTTCTTTATCAAGTTCATCAAAGAATCCAATTGGAAAATCACCAATATTTTTATTACAAGGAATTAAATGCATAACAAAAACAAATATTTCATATTTTCGAACAAATACAAGCTGCGGATACCAATTCGCATCAGGACAAACAGAATCGAATTCCAATTATAGTTCAATAATAAACAATACATCAACAAATGAATATTGTATTAGAAATGGAGCTTATTCTGCTTTAAAAATAATTCGAAGCAACATCATTAAAAACTCTGTCAAAGATCATGTTATCAGTAATGATTGGGGCAACACGTTAATTGTTGAATGTAACATTATTAATAACTCAGGAAATAATACTTTTTCAGTAAATTCAAATCGAAACAAAATAGAGGTTATTAATTGTTACCTTCGAAATAATGACAAAACATTAGGAAATGTTGTATTTAGTAACACTCACAATGAACAATTAAATCTTGGACTGAAACAATTGCCAGAAAAATGTTATGCAAAACAAAAGTATTCTTTTTCAGAAGCAATTAACATTTTACATATAAAAGGTATCAAAAATAGACGAAGATAATTTATTTTGATTTCTGATATTCTTTAATTTGATGTTTAAAAGCTCATCTAATAATAAACATTTCATTCATTTTGAAATTTCGTTTTTTTTAGAAGTTCTCCCACTCCAAATATTAGCAGCTTAGCTTATCTGTTCAATCTGGAAAATACCTAGGCCTAGTTATGCATATACATATAAATATTGTTCGCATCTCTTTTATCAAAGTCAAATTCTAAATTAGATTTTTGAAAATCATACACAATATTCGCTTTCTTAATTAAAAATGTAACATTTATGTAGGGTTAATGTATGTCTGATTCAATATAATATGATTGGATTCAAGTTCAGTTTAATCAAATTCATATTTATGGAATCCTAGTCATTAGAAGTCTTGTAATCTTAATAATAAAACACATTCAGAAAAAGTTAGTATACATATCAAGTGTACTGAGGCACTGCGCGCCTCCTTACACTTGATATGTGAATTTGACACTTTACGAAACCGTTAACGTATATTTTACAACACAAACGACAACACCAACTTAACCTTAAATATTTATAAAGCCGCCAACCACTTCACTTCACTAACATTTTCACAAACGACTTCACTACTGTAAAAAATAAACGTTCTCACTTACAAAAGTATTGCAACTCTTCCCATTGCTGTGCTTCACACAATAGTTCATATTCTTCAGTATCGCTGCTGTCGCTCCAATCGTCAGAGTCAAAGTCACTGTCAAAATAAATGTTAGTAAGTTTTGACAAAGCTAATGAAACACGCTTACCGTTTGTATCGTATGCTTGTATAAACTTTCCATTCTTCATTCCTTCATAAACGCTCAAACTAACTTTACCCTTTCTCCCTCGTATCTGATAGAATGTATTTTCACGAGGAACGAAGAACAAATTCTTGAACTCATGACCGTTGTAGTTTGTTATCTCAATAGTTTTCGTCATTTATATAAAAATTAATGATATCACCACTCCCACACGTATGAAAACATAGCACAAAAATAAACTTAGGTGAAGTGGTGAATTCATTGCTTTATAACTCTCTTCCTTTCTCCAACTCTTCTAACTTCTTCTTAAGTTCAGCAATGTTGTCCTCATGAAGTTTAATCTTCCTTAATATACCTTCTCTATCTAATGGTTGCTTTATCTTTCTAAACTGAACTCTACCATCCTTCATAGTATGAATGTAAAAACCTTCTGGAATAGTTCCTGATTTAATGTATTCTACCAAAAACTTTTGTTTCATTGCTTCAGTGACTTTATTTGTCATTTCAATCAAATAAAAATTTTAATATTAAATAAAAATAACGTTATTTTTTCAGTAAGGAAACGCAGGAGTTTTACGATTTATTTGAGGAGTAGGTTCTGGTTTAAATGTCGGAGTCGGTTTAGGAGTTGACTTTTGAACAGGAGTTTGTACTTCCATAGGTTCAGGAGTCATTGAAGGTTTTGCTTGTGAAGGCGTTGGTTTTGGCGAAGGTGTTGGAGTTTGTTTAACTTCAGCTACTTCAGTATTATTTACAACATTTGCTTTATTTCTTTTCAACATCATAACTGCTACTGCTGTAGCTAGCAAACCTAGTGGGAGACCATATCTTATATAAGGACTTGACCAAATGCTATTTTTGACAGGAGCTGGTGGAACACCTAACCTTGGTGAGACTGCTCTTTGCCATTGTGCAGCTCGTAAGAAATATTCAATAGGTGCTCCATAATCGTTTGGTAAAGTTTGTTTCATAGATGGTGAAGGTTCACGAGAGCTTGATGAAGAACTCATTTATAAGCTTTAAAAATAAACGTTCATCCTTTATTCCTCACTGTCGTCCGTAGCTAAGTTATAGTCATCTAATCTTATTATTGGGATTCCATTAGCACGCACCTGAATGGCAAAGCAACAATCCCTCATAAATCCAATAAGTGGCTTTGGTACATTTTCAGTTGCTAGTTCAATAGGTCCTTTAACAGACAATTTGTATGTTATTGGAGCAGTAGATGTTTGACCTTGCTGGAAGCAAAAGTCCACTTCTGTTGGAAAACCACATAAGAAATGTGTGTTGTCATAGCTATCCCATTTATGTTCCACACTACCATCATCCACCAATGACCTCATAACATCTTCATTAAATCCTATCATATCATTGTTTGTATTGCAAGCGTTCGCAACCATTTCATAAAATACAGGTCCATATGATTTTTCAGGTTCTGCAGGCATATTTCCATAAGCTCCCATGGAAAGCTGAAGATATTTAAACTTAGGGTTCTCAAAATTAACATAATAGTTGTCTTTCTTTCTAAATAGTGCCCAAATACTTTTAACATTAATAGGCGTATAAGCTGCTGTAAATGTTGCACTTGAACTATCTGTATTCTTTGAGAATGAACCGTCCATAGGAATCCAATCCATAACTTTAACAGGAAAACATAAAGCCTCGTTTGTATAATGTTCTACAAGTTCTGTATAAATGTTAGGGTCTAAAGAGAATGACTTTGGATGAATGAAACATTCATTAAAATCCATCTTTGTTCGAAATAGTTGCTGGGTTACAGTTGTAATAGTAACTGTTCCACTAGCTTCTACTGCCTTCGTTATCATAGTGAATGGTTCATTCCATGGAACAAATTTATTTGTCGGTGGATTTGAATCTGAAGCAAATGCAACTTTAAGAGTTGGATTGAAAGCAATGATATCATTTACAGATATAGATGTGCATTGTAAGGCGTCGCTACTGAACTTTACTTTAAGCTGAATGTTTCCTGCAAAAGCTGGAATAAATCGAATAGCTTCTAATGAAGGAATCTTCTAACAGGAATTCTTAAACGAAGCTTAAAATCAAATGATTTTCCTGCTGTAATTGGACCACTAACAATTTGTCCTGTTCTGCATGTTCCCGAATGACTCCATACATCTTCATGTCGAGTCTTTGAGAAAACATCTACTTTCTTTATTTGTTCGGTAGTTTGTGAGTTTGAAGTTATATATGCTTCTTCTCTTGCGTGTCTTGAGAATATACGATACGACCATTTGCAAGGATTTGATATCCAGCAACTGCATAGAAAGCGTCATCGAAACCAATCCAAAATCCTGGTGGGTTTGTTTTATTGGAACCTGAACCAATTTCTTTATCTACAATAAATTGACCTTCCATTTTATACGTAATGAATGTATTGTAAAGGTCCAACATATTTTCACCAGGAGGTGAGAGATTGAATGTTACCCATGTGTTATCTTTAGCAGTTCCAGGTTGTGATGGAATCTTTGCGTCAGAATATTTTCTATTAGTGTCACCAATTTGAACTGCATTGTCTATGATATCGAAATATGAGCGAATCTGATGAATATGCTCTGCTGGAGTAAATTCGTTTAGCTGTTCGTTCTGCATGTATTTACTTCAGATAAAAATATCTATTTACTTCATTATTCTCACTCTTCTTCTTGGCATTCGTGGTGGAAGTTGTTTCTTGACATTTTCAATGAACTGTACATTCTCTTTTGTCTCAACTTCTTTCACTGGTGGGTCAGGGTTCTTTGACTCGGTTTGTTTTTCAATGAAATTCACGAACTTTGCAATAAGCTCTTGGTTCGTTATTGAAAGTACATCTGGCTTCTTTTCTTCTGGTTCTATTGACTTTTCAATTTGAACAGAAGGTTTTATATGGGCTTCGTGGACTTCACCCTTGCCATGCACCTTAATGTTGTCGCTTTCTGCATTCGCTAATGGAACCTTTCTTTTTCTTACGTATATTTTACCATCTTTACTCTGACTTACGTAATAGAGAGGATGTTGTATTCCTCTTGCGTCATTTAATATAATAGACTCTCGCTCTGATTTTGACAAGCTCATTTTACATCGGTTAAAGTTTTAATTTTGTTTTTATCTGCAGTCAAATGACTCAGACAAGCCCTACGGACAAGACCCAAGGGGTCATAGATGTTGAAGCATTGAAGAAAGAAATTCGTGAGCAAATTTTATCCGAACTGAAGGAACAAAAACAAGAACAAAAGCCAGAGAGACCAAAGAGAAAACTTAGTGAAAAACAACTTGCTGCATTAGCTGCTGGAAGACAAAAGAACCCACGTTTGCTGGCGAAGAAAGCTAGAGAAGAAGCTGAAGCAAAAGCTAAAGAAGCTGAAGCAAAGAAAGAGTAAATGGTTTATTTTTATTCGAATTAAATGTATAGACAAATACCTTTATCTGTTGCGTTCAGTAGTGAAAACCCTGACGTCAAAATAAAGGGGAACAGAGTAACGTTTAAGTTTCCAACAGACTGGATTGTGAACATAAATGAAGAGAAGTACATTGGCATAACAAATATGTATATAACACGTGCTTACAGAAAGGTTGAGTTTATACTTCAAGTCGAGATAGAAAATGACGAACCGTCTTTAAGCGCCCAAAACATTCACATATACAAATACTTTAAAGACGATACAACGTTAGAAGACTGTATAATTACATTTTACGAAAATTTTCAAAATAGGCTCAACATTGAAGTACAAACTTTACAGCCTTTACGTGATTTTCTCGCACAACTGAAAGAAGAAGGTAGTCAGCCACAACTTATGGCTTTTCGTTATGAATTTAATGAAAATGAAGATGGAACACATGACTGTCAATTCATTATATATTCACCATTCAATGAAGTCGCTGAAGAGAAAAAAATCCATTACGTATAAGATTTCAAATCTCTGAACCAAGTGATGATTTCAAGAATGTTTTCAATGACCTCATTGCTGACAAAAATAAATGACCTCAGAACTTCAACTTACGAATAAAGCTTGTTTTAGTCGTTATTGAGAAGTTAAACTTTTCAGCAAAGCAAGGTTGACATGACTTACATAAGTCAAATCCAATCTCTTGACCATCATGAAGTGCTTTGTAAAGTTTCATTAAACTGAACTCAGAGTCTTTGTCATATGTTCCAACAGGTATGTGAATGTTCTTATCTTCATTGTAATAGCATTGTATAGCTTCAGGAAACATTTCATTTGCTGTTAAAGCAAGGACGTCTTGTTTGACACCTTTGCAACGTGCATGGAATGCAACTTCATTTAAATTGTTAGTGAGTAAGTCTATGTAGGTCTTCTTTCCACAAAATATTGACTTGTATGCTAAACTTTGTTTTCCAGGTGTTATTTCTGCGAAATCAGAATGAAATTGACCAAGGTTCTTTCCTATAAGTTCGCGACCGTATCTCTTCTTAAACTCTGCTGCAAGCTTTGGTATGTCTTCATTGAAAATATGCATGCTATCACAGTCCTGGTAAAATATTTGAAGTCCCATATCTTCAGCAGTACAGAATACTTCACACATTATTCTCTTCGACATAGATAAGATATTAACACCAAGTGGACAGAAGTTAAAGTGTCTGCAAATGCTTTTCGTTAGCTTGAAAATAGTTTTATCTGAACCATCCAAACCTTCGAACTTCACTATATGGTTGTAGTTTCTGATGGCATATCTTATAGCATCTTTGTCATTTACTATGGTTATTTTTGACTCAATAGGAGAAAGAATAGTTTTGCCATAAATACTGTTCAGAATGAGCTTTATATTTTCTTGCAAAGGATTTCCTTCTTTCTTATACTTTAACCTTAACTCAAACAACTTCTTTACTTCATCTCTTATTCTAATATCTCTGTTTCCATCGTAATAATATCCTTGCAACACTTCACATTTGACACCTTGATATTTTATGAGGTCTTGTAATGTTATATGGTCAACATACATTAAACAGCAAGTGTTTGAACTTCTGGGAACGTTAAGTTCTGGATTTAGTTCAGGGTCACAAACTATTAAAGGAAAGTGTCTATGTATTCCAATCTCTGTTATCTTAATGAGAACAAAGAAGCCAGACATAAACTTTTCACCAATGGGTTCCTTTTGGTCGTCATCGAATAAATGTCTCATGAGATACTCTGTGCTTAACATTTCTTTCTTCATAACCTTTGGAATACCTTCTAAAGTATAAAGTCTTGCTATAGCGGATGGATATAATGAAACAGCGTCGAAATCAGCAATGAGTTTCTTTTCGCTCTTTTGTTTAATGTTATCTGACAACATACATCTTCCACCTTGAATGCATCTCGAAATAAATTCTCTTGTTTTATTTGAGAGGTCATATAAATTTCCATTCGGGAAGTACACTCTGTTCTCAAACAATTTGTTAGCAATAGAACAAATACTAACGTAGTCATAAACGTTTAAATCAAATTCTTTTAATATGTCATTGCGGAACTTAACAAAACCTTCTCTTAAAATTCTTACATCTTGTTTGCAATAAAATGAGCTATATTTTTCTAAATCGAAATGGTTTTCATCTATTCTGCAACCTTTGATGGAATCTATGTTTTTCATGAACGTATCAATATCTTTTACAAACTTACACGCTTCAGAAATGACACCAGTTCTGTTGTCATTTGCTAACAAAACACTGCTGTAGTAGTTGTATGGAAATACTTCTTTCGGTCCTGTTTGTAAGTTAAACATAGCAGGAAATAGTTTAAGCTTCTTATTTATAACACTGTAAGAGTCTTTTATAATAATTGCCCTTCCTTTATATAAGCCAGTTATTTGCATTGTTCGTGAACCTTTAATGATGGGAGTTCCTTTCACTTCTGTCATGTGTCTTAAGATGAAGTTTATATCATAACTGAGGTTATGGAAATATATTAAACTCTTGTCAGGAAGTCGTTCCAAAAATTCTGTTGCACAGTTCTGACCCCAAATGCTTTCACTCACTGAACCATCTTCACTGTCATAACAAATGTTAAAGGCTTTATGAAAGCCGTCTGTGCTACACTCAAAGTCAGCAAAGAAAACGTGCTCAGGAATGAACTTACATTTAGCTTTATTTACTTCTTTTGACTCGGCTTTCTTCTTCAGTTGTACACAATACTTTGGAGCATATGTCAAATCTTTAAATGGTGCAAGGTTCTGTTTATATAAGTCAGTCGTATATGTGAAAAGTTCTCCATAAGAAATAGGTTCGAAATATTTGCACTCCCACAATGTTTTCATAACATCCCATAACGGTGTTGTTCTATCATAACGAACAATATATTTGTTCTCTCTCTTTGTATAAATCTTCATCTGTTTCTCAATGTTCATTCCACCACACTCCTTCAAGATTTCTATATAGTTGCGAATGAAATATGTTGTCATTGGTAATCTTTCATTTAGCATGTAGTGGTCTTCAACAAGAAGTAAGTCAATAGTTCGAACAGTTTCACATTCTTTTGGTATGTATCTCTTTATTTCATTATGTCTTGAGTCATTGAAGTAACCAATGGTAACATTAAATGCTATACCTGTTGCGTCAGAAATTTCTTGTACTTTACTTTGAGGAAAGTCTCTAACACGAATGACTTCTCTCATGTGGTCAATAGTTTCTTCATTTACTCCAGCCTGAATGCAAGCATAAACGAAGCAGTTATCTTCTGTCATAAGTGTTGCAGTTCTTTTGTTCAGTTCATTGAAGATTTGGTAGCGTTCAAGATTTATAGGTAATGTGCAAAGATACTTCCAGAACTGACCGCTTCTCTTCTTATAAAACTTCTTTTCACCATTATCTTTCCAAAAGCTTTCTATAAGTGCTGGGTTTCCTGTTTGCTTAAGAGCTTCCAAAATGGCTTTCTGGTCATTTGTCAGTGTGCTTTCATCTCTATATGGTCTCTTTTTTGGTTTGCCTTTCTTTACATCTGACATCGTTAAGCCTTCATATTCTGTTAAATCATACATCTTTATTTCAGTAAGATTCTTTATGTTTGTCAAGAAGAAGTCATAGTGCATTTCAATAATACCTGCAGCATTTGCTTCTATCTCTGATATAAAGTTCTCCTTCAAGAGCTGATGTAGTAATGTTCCAATATTATTGAGGTTTAACGTAGAACATTCATACTTTCCACCAAGTTTATAACATACCATCCATCTCTGTTGGGAGTTTATTTTAATCTTCTCTAAGAGTCTCATGAAAACCTTACCGAAATGTTTGTGTAAGTAGTCTCTGTTTGGTTCATCTAAAGCTTCGATGTTAAAGTCAATGAGTCTATTGCCTGTCTTAACATTCCTCTTCCTATTCTCTTCATCTTTCTTTAACCATCTCTCACCTTCTTTTGGTTTGTCGTCAATGGAACGAAGGACATCGTTAGCTTTGCGAACTTGTTCTATAGCGCTCTTAAACATCTCTCTTCTCTGTTGTTTCAGTGTGTCGTCTCTTCTTCTTGTTTCACCAACGTTTGCATTTGTTATGTCAAACATTTCTCTTCTTACTTCATGAGGTACTGAACGTCTATGATATAAGTCAATAGCAACGTCATTTAAAGGAAATGCTCTTGCATGGACTTCGTCCTCGCCGCGTTGCGGCTTTATGAACTCATGAATTCTATCATAACTTATTGCACCATTATAGTCATTGAGGATGTCAGCGAGTGCTTTTTTGTTTGTTGCGTAATGCTTTGCAACATCTATATTAGCTTCTGTAAGAAGTTGTTTTATTTCCGAGTGTTCTAACTTAGACAACTTCCGATACATCTTTAGTAGGAAATAAAAAAATATTTTTGAAAAAATTAGATTAGATTTTTTAAGTTATTTTTCAAAATAATTTAATATTTTTATTTTAATGAAACACATGCAAGATTGCAGTTCTTTTCATACAATGCTCTCGCTACTGCCATCAAGAATGAGTTCAATAATGCTTCAAATGTTAATGTTATCTTTAACAAGAAGTTTGTGAAAGAATCTAAGTTTGGTCAGTATGTCAGACCATTAGCTATCGTCATTGACCGCAAACGTTATACTTCACAAGAGTTAGCAGTAGTTTTGAAACAAAAGAGTTTCTTCGTGAATGTCAAAGATACTCATTATACTGTCATAAAGAACTCTAACGTTGACTTCTTCAGTATTGCTTTAAATCTTTCCGAACAGAAAGAATATAAGAAAGGTGAAACAAATGTGAAATATTATCCTTCATCTCTGAAGACAATAACGAACAAAGATGTTATACAGAAATTCTTACCAAAGGTTGAAGAAGCTTCTATTGACATTGACGAAGGAAGTGAAATGGTTGAAGAAATAGACCCTGAAGCTTTATAAGAAAATTTATTTTTGAATAACTGAAGGTGTCACCACGTCACTATGTCACCAGGTTAATTAACTTCTCTTAAAAATGATGACAACATGACATTTTGACAACACAGCAGGATTAATGCAAAAATGAATGTTATCGTTTATGTTATCGTTTATGTTATCGTTTATGTTATCGTTAATGTTATCGTTAATGTTATCAGTGTCGAACATAATTGACATGGAGCATTTATGTTATCGTTTATGTTATCGTTAATGTTATCGTTTATGTTATCGTTAATGTTATCAGTGTCGAACATAATTGACGAAGAGAGAATCGTCTAATCGTCAAGTTTATTAGTTAACGGGAGGGTTAGATATATTCCATCGCAACTGAAAAATGATGACAACATGACATTTAGACAACACAGCAGGATTAATGCAAAAATGAATGTTATCGTTAATGTTTTCAGTGTCGATCATAATCGACGGAGTGTTTTGTTTTTATCATGGTTTTCTCCACTATGGTCCTAACGTGGCACCAGACGAGATTTTTTTTCATTCTTCCTCTTTGAAGTTATCGAAATATTCTGTTATTTTTTCCTTCAGTAATGTTAAGTCTTCTTTGAATGTAAGTATTGTGCAACCTTTGATGTCATAGTGTGTTTGAGGAAGAGTATTTTTGACAATTTCCTTTATTTGTTCATTCGGTGTCATTGAAATCGGTAAGTTTTCACGATAGAACCAGTTTCTGTCAGATTTATATATCTTAGCTAAGTCATAAAAGCTTTTATTGTTTCTTCTCACTAAATGCAACATAACCATATCTCTGTCTTCTTCATTTTCCAACTCTTCAGTATAAATCATATACTTATAACTCTTTTCCTTTCCTTTTGGTACTGAACGCGGTATTCTTTTCTGTATGCTTTTGTCTTTGGATTCAATGACTTCATCTTTTGCTTGAAGTTTCTTTTCCATCTCTCCACGTTCTGCTTTATATAGTTCATCTAACATCATGAAAATATAACAAGCATAACGAGGTGAAGCCCACATTGCTACAGCGTTTACTAAAAGTCTATGAACATAATAACCTTTCAAACAAGGAGCCAAATTCTTGCGATTTTCATACGGAATCTCTTCCCTCGGAAAACCGAGGGAAGCAATCATATGAGGAAATTCTTCTAAAAGTTCTTTTGTCTGTTGGTTTTCAAACCAATGATATGTTTGCTTTGTAGAACGAAGAGCAGTCATTATACTTTGCATTTGGTACATATCGTCTTTGACTGAACGAATGAGACGTAACTGTTTGTTATACTGTATGTATTCATATTCTTCATTTATGGCTTCATGAACGATAGCAGTTGTTGTGTTCTCTGATGTTGACATTACTGTCTTTACATACAAGATAAAAAAATAAATAAAAATAATTTTAAAACTAACTTTATTTTTGGACTGCATCAAATTTCCAGGACTGTTGTCAAAATGTCATGTTGTCAGTAATTTTAAGAGAAGTTAATTAACCTGGTGATAGAGATGTGAAAACTTAAATTTTATAATCCCTGGGATGCACTTTCTTCGATTTTTTTTTAATTTTTGGGATAAATTTTGACATCTTTTTTTTTGCTGGCGACCCCCCCCGTTTAGGGCATCAAAAAAACATGTTGTTTCGTTTCAAGATCGGGATATGTTGTGAACCCGACTTCTTTCATTAATGAAGTGATTTCTTAAGTTGAATAAAAACAAATTTGATTGAAATTCATACAAAATTTCTTTTTATCATTATTATTTAAGATGCTTTTTTATGTTGAATTGTTAATTTTTTAATTTCCACCTGGGATATTTTGAATTGGGCTAGCCCAATCCCACCTCTCAATTTTCTCTCAATTGGGCAATGGGGATCCCATATAAAATGTATTGTAACAAAATTTTACATGCATAATATAGTACAATTAAACAACATTCTAAAAATATTAAATTCACATCATTTACTTGAAGATTTTATATTTTCAACAAAAATTAATACAATAATTACACTAAATTGAGGAGATTTATAATATTTATTATAAATTAAAATATTATTACTCATTAATTTGTTGAAATATTGCATTTTAGTGGTAAAAATTAAAATTTAAGTTTACATGGAGAAAAAAATTTTTAAATTCCAAAAAAAAATTCAATTGGGATAACGATAGGGACAAAAATTTAGAATCCCCATATGCTTGGGATAAAATCACATGACTACCTGGTGACATGGTGACGTGGTGACACTGAAAACATTTATGACAAAAATAAATGGTACCATTAATAATATCATGACTGTTCTCGTTCATGTCTGATTTATATCCAACGAAAAAGTTTAGAAGAATTTTCTTATTCTTTCTGGCTTATTTTTATCTTTCCAGTACTCCCGCTCTAATGGTCCCAGATGTGTTGGCTTTGACTCTCTCAAGTTCTTAGATGGTATAACATCTTCAACGCCTCCTTCATATCTTACTTTATAAGTGTCATCGTTTATGTTGTAGCCAAGTATTTCAATAACCACTCCTCGCTTTGCTTCGTCAATGGTTTCAGCAAGTTTGCCATTACTACTTTCGACTAATTTGTGACGAGGGTAAAACGCAATAGAGTCGTCGGCAGCTTTTATAAGATATCCATTACCTTGCGTAGAGTCTACGATATAATAGTTTCTACTTAACCTTAAACGTTTCTTTGTCAACGGTTTGTCGTCAAGAACTACACGAACTTTTGTACCAGGAATGAGGGTAAATTGTGTTGAATTTCTGATATTTTGTGTTTGGCTTCGTTTCTTTTGTATATACTTTTCTTCTTGTTGTTGTGTCATTGAATTTGGTGTATGTCCTGTTGTAGAATGTGTTGAGGAATTATATACTTCGAGAAAATGTTTCATTGTTTCTTCGGTAAAGTCTCGCTCTTGATTTAAATCTCTGAGAGTCCTTATGAAGCGGTTTATGATGCCGAGTATGTTATGGTTATGGTCATCAGTAGTGTAGTGAGTTATGTTATGCTTAATGAGAAAATCTGTGATTTCATTACTGAGGTATGCACCGTCTTGGTCTGATGTTAATGAAGTGGGATGATGTTCTGCCACGAACGTCTGCAAAACTCTTAACACTTCATGAGTTCCTTTATTCCTCATTGGATATGCATATGCTTTGCGAGTGTTAATATTAATGAAGATGAGGAATGGTTTATGTCCTCCTTTTCTGCTTTGAATGAGAGTGTCAAATTGGTATGCGTCAGGAGCGTTGGAGTAAATTGGTAAAAAGTAGTCGTAAGGGTTTATTTTTGTTTGATGTACAACATTTTTGTCAAAGAACCTTTTCACTTCAGCTCTGTTAGTAAATCCCCAACTCTTTGCAGCTTCATTGAACTTCTTAAATGACCTCCATGGATGTTGTTCGAATACTTCTTTCAAGCTCATTTATGTAAAGTTAAAGATTTTATTCTAGGCTCAAGCGCGTTCAATGAACGCGGTACCATGCGAATACAGTCACAAATGGTGGCATATAATCTGCACCCGAGCCTGTTGGATTTGTTGTGAAAGTGTGTGAATGATTTCCTCCTGGTTCAGTTGGTCGAAAAGTCTTTTTTGCTGAATTGTTATAAGATGGAGATAAAACGTCATTGCCAGCTTCATAGTCTGAGTTGTATAATGGGTGGTCTCTTAATGAGTGGCTATGGTCGCCAGAAAAGTTTGTCGTTCTTGTATGAGTGTGTGGGGGTAAGTTTGCTTCTTTAATTTTATTCGAACCTCCTGTTTGCTTTGAATATCTAGCACAGTATAAGAATTTATCTACAATCTGCTTCCACGTACCAAAACCTAAAACTGTTTCTGGATTTGTTGAATTCATTGATGTATAAATAGAACCAACAGGATATATGGTTTGAAGAATCTGGGCCTTCATTGTTAGAAGTTCATGTTTAACGTTTATAACTTTATTGCCATCTTCAATATTTATATTGTTTGTTATTAAACCATTAGGAAAAGTAGGAGGATAAATTCTTTGTTCTTGTACAGTTGCACCGTTTCTTCCTGTTTTTGTTACTATTTCGATGCATGCCTTAATTTCTTTAATCTTGATTGTTTGAAATTCTTCATGCACGTGCTCTTTATCGGCTTTTCCATTAAGCGCAGCATTTACTTCCGACTTCTTTGCATAATTTTCATCTACATAAGTTTTGTCGGCTTTCTTATCTAACATTGCTGGTAGTTCATATGCTTCAAAGTTTCTGGCATGACCTTCAATGTTCATACATCAGTTATCTAAATTGTTTAGTGTATCTTTTACGCTTGTACTCGGATTCTCTAAAGGTGCACTTGAACTAATGGTATAGTTTAATATTATGTCGTCTGCTCTAACAGTAGTGAAGGATTCATGTGTATGGTTCTTGTCAGCTTTACTATTTAATGTAGCTTGAAGTTCATTTATATCGGAGATATTGTGTTTATGAGATTTCAAAACTTTGTTCGTTGCGTCAAGTTCATCTTTGTCAGCTTTACTTTTAATAGCATCTTCAAAAGTTATTTTTGCCTTAACTCTCAATGTAAATCTTGGTTCAACTAATACACCGTTAACAAAGAAGTATGAAGCATAAATTTCATCGTTATAACCAAATGCTTCTGGTGCTTTACCTGTGTCATACTGTACAGTACAGTGTATGTCATAACCTTCAGCACGAATGAATTTATATCTTCTTTCATTAACATCTTCAGTGCTTATTTGTTCATCCTGTGTTAAATATCCATGGTAGTCCGTTATAATCTGTTCGTCTGAACTTATATAATGAACATGGTTTTTATCTGCTTTTTCGGCTAATTTCTCTTCTATCTCATTTATTTCAAGTTCATGCCTACCACCACCTCCCGAAGAAGTATTTTTCTTCAGCTCTTGAAGAACGTCCACTTCGCCATCTTTGGTGTCAATAATGAGACTTTGAGTTAAAACCTTTCCTGTCTTAATGGATGTTTGTAAAACTTCTTCTTCACCGTGTTCGGGGTCATGGTCGTCATCATATCTTGCGAAATCAGAGATGTTGTCATACATTAAGCATATCTGTCTCAAAAGTTCTGCTATTTGAAACTGAACGAAAGATATACAGAACTTTCATCATCTCCTAAAGTCAAGTCTGCTTTCTTAAGTATTTCTTGAATGTATGCAATGAGAACAGAGTACCTTGGAAAATATTCGAACAATATTTCATTAGCTGTTGGTTTTGGTGGTTCTTCTGGAGTTTCTGTTGTTTCAGTTCCTTCTGTAGGTTCTGTTGGAGTTTCTGCATCTCTTGACTTCAATGCTCTTGCTCTCAAAGACCTAAATGTTAGAGCACCAGGTTTTACAAAGGACTTATAAAGCTTTAATAGTTCTGGTAAGTTATTGTTAGCATTAAGTAAGTTCCTTATGCTTCCATCATGTACGTCCATAGCACTATGTAAAAAATCTATACTTTTTTTGTAGTCAGCAATAGACTGACTGTGATTTTTTAAAGATTTGTCAATACCTTTAAGCCAATCTTCATGCATGTCTGATTACTGAGCCAAGAATATCATTTGCTTCCTTTAGTGTATTTTGTGCTTCTCGTAAAGTATCCAATTCCGTACGTGCATTGTTTGCTATAACGTCTTACAGTATCTATTTGACTCCTTGTTCTTGCATCCAACCAGATAAAGTTTTAATAGTATCCGAACCATTTGAAATGAAGTTCAAAGCATTTTTAACGTCATCTAAAGCTTCTTCACCAAGTACTGCCCATATCTTTCCGATTTGGTATTGAAGAACTCCATATGAAGCAGCTGTTAAACCAGTATTTATAAGGTTCCATATCCATGATTTAGCAGTTTTTCCATCCTTTCCATCTTCACCATCCAAACCGTTTTCGCCTTGAGGTCCTTGTATTCCTTGTATTCCTTGTGGTCCTTGAGTCCAGTGTCACCCTTCTCTCCTTCAGTTCATCTTTATGTTCGTTATAATATTCTAATGTCATAAGGTGTACATCATTACTGCTACCAGCAACGCCGAGAATTTGTTTCTCATTCATGACTAAATTCTTTAGGCATTTAATGTTGTCGTCAAATCGAAAGTCTTTAACAATTCAATGAGAACATTCAGTACTTTCACTAATGAGGCATCTACTGTTGAATTTATATATTGCACCGTTCCATCATTTATGATGGGAACCTTGCTTGTTGTAATGAATGGGTCATAAGTGTTAAAAGTATCGAAATCAATGACTTTTTTAGTTTTTCCATCGTCAATGACTAAATCATTGCCTTCAATGGTTAAAGTTGAGTTTTCGTTTACTAGTTCATGTGCTCTTCTTGCTTCATTTGTTTCATACGCATATGCAGCAATAGTCATATTTTAATGAGAATAAAATGTTGTTCTATTTGCAAAGTACAGACCCAAACGAATACGGGACAGTAAAGCTACAAACAAACTTAGGTCTTCAGAATGAAGCGCTTGCTTTCAGAGTTGTTGACTTCAATACTATCGCAACTTTTGTCATAACAGATGAAACAGATTTCATGGAGATTGAAATAGATGACAAAAGAAGTGTTATAACATTTCCTAACAGAGCTGGGTATAGAATAGATAAAATTGCTGGAGTCATAGATACTCTCATAAATGAAGAAACTATTGACAACATAGATGTCGAACTCTCTTCTGAGGGAACATTGAAGTTCAGCAGCGAGAAAGAGTTTAAGATACCAAGAATGAGTCATAGAGTACAACTTCTTTTGGGTGCATACCATATGACATTTCCTTTGAAAAGTGTTGACAAAACGATTGAGATGAAATCTGTTCCATACGTATGTTATGGTAATTGTTTATACATTGAGTCTAAAATAGCTAATGTCACAGGCATTTCAGGAGTTAATAGTAAAGGTTCAGTAGAATATAAATCCTTCTGTTATGCAGTCAATTCAATGTTCATTCCAAACGTTCCTGTCATAGCAACTCATTTAGGTAAATGGGTTCGCATTAGTCCTCATAATTTGAAAGACATGCAATTCAGACTTGTTGACTTTCAAGGAGAGCCTGTAGAACTGAAGGCACCAGTGCGAATGACTGTTGAAGTTGACTTTTTAGAAAATATTAAATGCGACGGCTTACAAGAGAACTCAGAGCTAAAAATATAAAGTATGAATGTTATGTATTAGGTCATGAACTTTGGTTGTTGCTGTTTGATGAAACAAATGAGTTAGTTATGTCAGTCAAGAGAACAGAAAAATATTGTGTTAGTAAAAACTGCACCAAGTCAATAAGATTAGGTTTGCATTATGAAGATGAGTTCGATACTGTTGAAGAAGTTTTGGTTAGATATTACAAATTGCTAACTTGAAATTTTTTGACTGACGGCGCAAAGCGCCAAGACCGAAGGTCCTGACTGCTTTAATTTACTAAAACATATTTCAAACAAAGCTTATAGTCAGTAGATAGTTTTGTATACTCGTTCGAATATTTATACTTAAACTCAACTCCTGTAGTTCCTGGTGTTTCAATGATGCGGATGTTACCTATTTTCATGAATGGTGGCGTTTGACCACAGCATTCGATTTCAGGGTCGAGATAGTCAATGACACATTGTTTCCCTGTTATTCGCGATATAACATTTTCAAGGTCCTCCTTTGTTAGAATTATTTGGTTCTTACTTATAAGATTTACCAAAAGCTTCTTATCGTCTTTGAGTAAAATTGTTTGGTATAACTGAAGAAGGTAATGGTCTACGTTATCTGAAAGATTTGTTTGAACATTTGTGTAAGGGTTGTCGTTGGCTTCTCTTGAAAGAATTTGGTCCAGTGGTGGATACTCTAACTTAACATCTGATGTAGCGTTAGCGTTTGAAGCTGTGTTTAAATTCACGGCGCCATGCTCCAAGACCGAAGGTCCCGACTTAAGTTCTGGTTCTTTTTCTTTCAAACACTCTGAACTATAGTTCTTTATGACAATATTGTTTGTCGTTCGTGAGTCAACATTTGATGTTGGTTCAATTGGAACATTAACGGCACCAGCTAAGATGGATTTGCTTCTCATTTCATATAGAATAAAAACCTTTTATATGTATGAAATGAACAATATACTCGACAAGGGTTTGAATGTAAAGCTAACGAATGAAAATATTGTTGAATTCACTGAGACAGGAGCTGTGTATAAAGATGTAGAACTACTGAACAAAAGAGCTAAGGGAAGAAGCAGGAACATGAACAAAGGGTGGAAGCCTATAAAAATTTATGTCAATGATGGCTCAGGAGGTTCAAACATAAAGTATGCAGAAAGTTATAGAGTTTATGCTCTCAAAGGTGAAAAGCCTTCATTTAAGAACAGCTATTCTAACGCATATCCTCAAAAGCTAACGGATGGGGAAGTGGATGATATGAATGACAGCAAAAATATTAACAGAAATGGCGACAGAGATGCATGGAATTTGTTTACCATCAGTCAATTGAAGGTTAAACTTTAAAACAATGTTGGTCGTTCCCATGGAATATTTTTGACTTTAATGGTATTAGTCATGATATGAATCTCAAGGTATGAACGAGGAGAGATGAGAGACTTATATGCTTCCCAAATTTCTTCAAAAGGTAATGTTATACCTGACTGTTTCCAAATGAGTTCAATGTCATAGCGTGAGAAACCTTGAAAGATAACGAAGTCAGTTATGAGACGTTTTATGTTTAAAGCTAAAAACCTCCATGTTTGCATAAGTATTGCTACAGTTAAGTGGTAATGTCTGACTTTAGTAATGATTAGCTAATGGTGAGTCTGGTTTTGACACTAAACCTTTTCCGGCGAAGTCGTCACAAACTAATAAAGTGTTTGATGGATATTTTTTGAAGGGGTATTTTGAAAGTTTTGACAGAATGTAGTTTGTAAGTCGTTTCATATCGTAAAACTCCTGAGTACTGACGTAAGTGGCGTTTGTCAATAATTCTTTCCATCTCCTCAGAAGTCTTTTGCATTCCTGACTGTATAAATTCAACGATGGCATAATATTTCCTCTTACGTCGAATGTAACGTTGAAGAAATTCAATGAGTTCACTGTCTGGAACTTTAACGACAGAGGCTTGAACTTTTGACATAAATGTTTTCGCTGTTGAGTCCATAGAGTCTGAAGTTGCTGATATAATGATTTGGTCATAGTAAGAGTCGTTTCCTAAACGCTCTGTTATGAGTATATGACGAATGAGGTTAAATGTCTTACCTGAACCCATCTTTCCACAATAGAAATAAACACCATTTGAACAGAACTCATAGTCCTTACTGAAAGGAAGAATAAGAGAACTGTTGAGCTTTTCACTGCTTTCATTCATGTCTTCATCTACGTCATGTATTAAATGCTTCATTTTATCTCCATTAAAAATGCAAGTCAGAAATATTCAGAACATAGCACCGAGTCTAACTGACAAGAGTATAAAGATATACTATGAACATGTTATGATGAAACCTACCAAAATTCAAGAAAGTCAGTATACTTATGAATATCCAAGACACTGGGTAGAGTATGTAGGAGGTGAGAAAGCTATTGAAATCAGACAGGTTCGAAGTATTCCAGCAGGAAGAACAATATTATTGAAGAACTTTAATGTTTTGAGATATAATGATGAAACAAAGAAGCAAGATAGTTTCCCTGTTGCTGTGTATGTGAACTTAGATACAGGAGATGACATGAAAGTTTTTAACACAAAGCTTCAAACGGTAGTGAGAGAACAACTGACTGCGGAAGGGCATCCATTACCTTCAGAAGTTACCATAGCATATAATTTTGAAACAAACTCAATAGATTTTAAAGTCGTCTCTGCAAAGAAGTCAGGTTTTACATTTAATGAAGCAGATGTATATTCGAATGAAAACTTCAAAGCTATTGCATGGTTAGATAATGACGATTGCTTTAAGAAAATATTTAAATACAGTGACTCAACGATGTCAATAGATGACCTTCGTGGAATGTTACCATCGACGTTTACAGTAGAAGGTTCAGCAGAATTGCTTACAAGATTGTCAATTGGTGGTATTTGGTCTCGTGAGAACATTGTTATAAAATCCAGTATAAGTGAATTTGCTGAAGAATCTATATTATGTCTTTCAAACTACATGTATTCGCCGCCGAAGCATTATAGTATAACAAACTTTGTCAGTAAGTTTAACATAAGACTTGTCGAACCTTCTTCAATGAAAGATGTTGTGCTACCAAAAGACGGAAAGGATGGACTCATTATTGAGATGATTTTAATAGCATATTAAATGAGCTTGTTCTTGAAGGTCATTCATGATGAAATAACTGTTGTAGAAGATGTTAGCAATTGTTCAGACATTTTGAAGCGTATAGATGATATAAGAAATAAGTTAGATAGACCGCAAAGCGGTGAGGGCGAAGCCCGTGAGAACGCTTATGTTTCATTGACTTTCTCCAGTAACGAGAACTTTTATGAGATAATATTGAAGAGAGATGATTTTAATATGGTGTAAATGGTAGTTTGGGCAGCTTTAGGCGCAATGGGAACAAAAGCATTAGCATTTGGAGCAAAAGCACTTGGAGCTTATGACGCAGTAAATAAAATGAGTGGAGGTAGGGTTTCGAAGACATTAGATGCAAATAAAGGGAAGATTGGAGGCTGGGTTGCAAAGAAGTTAAATTAATAAAATAGGGCTCATAAATAAAGCATCCAATTTGGTTGCGACTGAGTCAGAAAATGCTTTAGGAAAGGACGATGAGTTTGCAAAACACGCAAAAGACTTTAATGACCAGATGAAAGGTGAAACAATGCATTTAAATAGATTCGATGGAACTAAAGAAAATGTTTCTTCTCCACCAGTGGTTTATCCATACGGACCTTATGGAATGTATGGAAACCCTTATGAACGACCATTTGACCCATTGACTGGTGGAAGTAACTGGTATCATTACGGACGAAGAAGAAAGACAGTCAAGTTGGAGACAGATGTTAAGAAAGCAACTAAAAAGAAACCAAGGAAGAGAGTTATAAAGCAATGAATTCAACAGGGTAGAAATCGGGTTAGATCTAACCACTTCACCTAAATTTATTTTTGTGCTATGTTTTCATACGTGTGGGAGTGGTGATATCATTAATTTTTATATAAATGACGAAAACTATTGAGATAACAAACTACAACGGTCATGAGTTCAAGAATTTGTTCTTCGTTCCTCGTGAAAATACATTCTATCAGATACGAGGGAGAAAAGGTAAAGTTAGTTTGAGCGTTTATGACTACAAGCATAATGGAAAGTTTATACAAGCAATAGATACAAACGGTAAGCGTGTTTCATTAGCTTTGTCAAAACTTACAGGTATAAACTATGACAGTGATTTTGACCTATATGAAGAAGAAAGTGAGTCAGAAGATTATGAGCTGTTATATGAAGCACAGCAATGGGAGGAGTTGCAATACTTTTGTAAGTGAGAACGTTTATTTTTACAGTAGTGAAGTCGTTTGTGAAAACGTTAGTGAAGTGAAGTGGTTGGCGGCTTTATAAATATTTAAGGTTAAGTTGGTGTTGTCGTTTGTGTTGTAAAATATACGTTAACGGTTTCGTAAAGTGTCAAATTCACATATCAAGTGTAAGGAGGCGCGCAGTGCCTCAGTACACTTGATATGTATACTAACTGAAAAAAATGCCTATAGAAACATGTTCACACATAAACTTGTGCATATAACTAATGAAAGCAAAAACACCACAAAACATGTACACATAAAGCCTTAATGAGACACTAATGTCAAAAACACACATCGCTTTCTGACATTCTCTCAATTTTTTTTTTGACATTTGAGGAGGTCGAAAAATAATGATACATCACTATATAGTACCTAATATTATGTTTTACTGGCCCTTCAATGTTCTTGACTTTGTAGTGATAGTATTCAATTTTCTTCTCAAGCGGTGATTTTTTAAAAACACACAATTATATATATTATTACTTTTACTTTTTTAAGGGTGCACCCGTATGTACGTTTATTTGAGAGGAGGAGGATTACCCTCTCAATTTTGAGGGATTCGTTAGTTTATTTTCTCGATGAATATGCAATAAAATTTGATTTTTACCTTATCAATATACTTCATCTTAGGGCTGTACAAGATTTAAAAAAACATTGCCGGGTTACCGTAGAGGCCTAAAAAAATCGCGCCTCGGCGGCAAGCCGCCTCGGCATTAAGAATGCGCATCTAAATTTTTATATGTCCTTCTTCCTTTTATTTTTCCCTTCCCTTCCTTTTCTTTTTCTTTTTTTCCCTCCTCTTGCTCTCATTTACCTTTTTTTCCTTTTCTCATCATTTTTCAAAATTTAAAATTTTTATCAAAAATCTTGCCTATAAAAGCAGATTATGGAACCTTTTAATGCCTCTTAATCAATATTATACAGCATAAAGCATATTAAATGAAAGTAATTACGTATAAATTTATTTTATTATCTTATTTATTAATTCTTTAGCATGTATTGTTTAATATTAACTTTTCTGTACATTAAATATGATATCTCCAAAGTATGAATGCCTTGTAACGAAACGAAAACTTAATTTTATGTTGAATATTTGTCACAAACATTAGATTATTAAAATATATGTTGGATATCCCTTAGTATGAGACTTCATGACTCTTGTTGTCTAACGTGAGCTTTGGATTGCAAGCTTGCTACAGCACATAAGTATTCTGTGGTTAAAAAAACCACATGAGCTTTAAAAACTATAAAACCAAAAATAATTGTTATAATTTAAATGAAGAAGTAATTTAAAACGATTTTATTTATGATCAAATTTTATATATTTTTTTGGATCAAATCCATTTTAATAGAATTTATATACTATTCATCTATTAGTAAACACTACCGTATATTATTTTTAAGCTATCTTATTTTTTGAAATTTTATTCAAATCTTTGGTCGCAAGAAGAATTGCATGATAAATAAAAACATTTAATCAAAGTCAATTTTATTTTTCATATTCAAATGGACTGAGTGTTAACATTTAACATTTTTTGCTAATTGTCGTCAAAAATTAGGCGTAAAGCAAAAATTGATATTTCATATGGTTTTATGATAGATAAGCATTATATTCCCACTCATTATATTCGTAAATTTTGAGGTTTATCCTTCGCTTTTAAGATCATTGAATTTGATTTTTATATAAAATAGTTATATATTAGAAAATAATATGAGTTTATGTGATATTATTTTTCAGAAGATTTCATTCTATATGCCTATGAAAAGTACTCTCAAAACTAACTTTTTCCTAATTATAATTAAATCTAGAATATTGTATTATGCTTAGTATTATTTCATTTTTCTCATTCAATTTAGAATTTACAAATGTCAAAAAATTGAGAGCTGTCACTTTTGATGAATTACTGTTTATTACAGCATTGTTATTAATAATGAAAAATAAAGCTTATTTCAATGAAAATTGTTCTGCAAATTTATTTCACTTTTGACCTCACTTTTTCCGTAATTCAATTTTTTACTTTTAATATTTTAGATCTTCATAATATCATTTGAAAAATTAACCATATAAAAAAATCAAGTTATCAATTCACTTTTTCCGTAATTCAAAAATCAAAAATATAAATAATATATCTTTTTATCAAATATTATTATTATATTCTATGAAAAATGAGGTCCGGAAATTTTGCGGATTCCCGTAACTCAATTTTACGGAAAAAGTGCAGTAAACTATTCAAAATACGGAAAAATTGGTGTAAACTAATGATTTTACGGTAAAATCACGGAAAGTCCCGGAAGAATATATGTGCCTATATGAAATTATACAAAAATGAATCAAACGCATTTTAAAAGATTGTTCTTGTATTATAAATGCTATTCGCAGATTTATTAGTTGAAGAAAATTACCAAATTTTTGCCGATTTACAAAAAATGATTTACAAAGCATATTTTTATAAGGCTTTAAAAATCTTTAAAATGTGACCGGTGACGGAAATCCATGGTAACCAACCGCGGTTCCCGTTTGGAATGCCATACTTCATCTAATATACACATGTTCATGTAAAAACTTTTTTTCAAAATCCTCAGGAATTAAGGGATTTTTGAATTTTAAGAATTTTTTTCGAATTTTTTCGAAAAAAAAATATTTTCAGAACAGCCTTAACGGCTAAGATTTAGTAGGGTTGTTAGATTCCCGACGATAGGTGTCTTGGAAGATTTGCCTGGTGTCATCATAGTGTCTTTAAATCAAAAATTTTATTTTGGAGTTAGTTTTATTGATTTTTCAATAAAAAACATTTCTAAAACAAGAAAATAAAACGATAAAATATTTATATTTTATATAAGGATCTTATATATTTAAAATAAATATCATTTTATTTTTTTCATTGGTGTCTGTCAAACCATAATACACTATTCAAAAATTCAATGTGTCTTGCGGTTTCAAAAGACACCTTCAAATTGAACGATAGCACAGACACTATTGAATTTTACCCATTGTATTTAGTTTTTACCCTTTTTATTTTTAAGAATTAATGACTGAAACAGCCGTTTTGCTATGACCTCAATCACTTTTATTAAGGGTTTCGTTTTGCGAAAAAAACGTACAATACGCAATTTCGCTAAAAAAACATTTAGCTAGCAATTTCGACCTTTGACTCCACTCAAGACGTCACTTTTTTAATTTTGCGGTATCATATTTTTGGAAACTCTTTATGAATATTATATAAAAAGTCTCTTTAATATCTATATTTCATATTTTTATCGATTTTTAAAGTTTTTGCGAAAAGTATTCAATTATTTTTGCTATTTTGTCGGGTAAATGTCAGATTTGCGACATTTTCTGATATGATATTCAGATTCTACGTTGATAATAATGCTTATAGAACCCTCTTGCTATTGTGTCAAAATTGCTAAACCGATAGCAAAAATATCTCGCAATATCAAAATTGAGATATTGAGTGAATTATGCATTATAGAGATTAAAAATCTGATTTGTGAAAACATCTCATCAGTTTCTAGCTAATTCAAAAATCTTTACTATCTTATTCGATTAAAATGAAAAGGGAATAGTTTCATTATGCTTTAAATGACAGCCTTATAATATAATCATAGTTTTCGCTCAATATGCAGCATTTTTTTTTCGAAATCTATGGTCAATATCCTAAATACTGATTGCTTTGCATTCATATCTCTTACATTTTCTATACCCACATCACTATTCATTGCTATTCCTATCTTTTTCATTTTTGTTTGTTTCTCATAATTTCTCAAAAAACATGATAACTTGATATTTGTAAATATCATACTTTATAACGTAAATAAGAACTTGACCTATTAAGAAAAGCAGTAATGAAAAGAAAATCTGAAATTCATAAAAATTACAAGTTTCTGATGACAATTAGCTTAATTAAACCAGGTACAAGATTATATAATTGTATTTTCTATCCAATTATCCATATAATATCTTATCCAGAAAAAATAACTTGATCAATACCAAATGATTTTTTAACTAGTAAATAAAGTATTTTCTTTACACACACATTGTATATCATAGTTTTTTTTTTTTTTGGTTTCGCAAAACATCCAAAAACAAATATGCTATAAAAGTGACAATTTTAGCAAAACGAAACCCTTACTTTTATTTATTATTTTAAATATTATTTAATTTTATTATTTGAATAGGCCAACTTATATTTGAGAAGCTCAATTTGAGACCACTTAAAACATTGAAATATCATAAATATTGAAATATTAAAAAGTGTATTTCAAAATATTGAAATTATAAAAATTTATAATACTGAAATTGAGACAAATTAATAAATTCAATGCGTTTTTTTTGAAATAACTCTCAAATATTATTTTTTTGTTTATTTAATGATGAATAAATATGATTGCTTTAGTCAATCATAAAAACTAATTTAAGTTTAAAATAATGAAAGGATAATTTGATCGTTTTTTAAAATACAATTATTTTTGATGATTTGCAAGAATCTTTGAAAAGAATATAATATAGGTTCTATTTTTGTAAAATTTATCCAAATCATGTATTACATAAATTACGATTAAAACGATGAAAGAACCAAAAAGTGTGTTTTGTGTTTTGTTGTTGCGTGTTGGATGCGGGATCCTGTTATTTCCGAAATCGACAAAAAATTTGGAAATTTAATTTCCGAAATCGAAATTATATTAATGTTTTTAATATTCTTATATCAAAAGGATTAAAGTTCATTAAGAGAAAAACAATTCTTCTTCTTCAATCTATTGGCGCATTTATTTCTACACGCCAATAAGGAAGGGAAAATTATAAGACACCATGGTGTCTTCAAAACGCTAATTTTTGATATTTTTAACAACCCTAGATTTAGGAACAATGTTAAGTATCAAAAAGAAAGGAGGTCTGATATAGACAACATATATCGTTGAAGGTTGAAAAAATCTCTAATATTTGAGCCCAAAATTTCAAATTTTAATTTTTTGAAAAAAGAGGCCACCCGTATGTACGTTTATTTGAGAGGAGGAGGATTATATTTTTGAAAGGGTGAAACATTATGAATATGTTAATTATATAATAATATGTATTATTATAAAAAAGAAAAAATAAAGCACGTGAAAATTTTTCTTTCTTGATTTTTTACAAAATCTACTTAGAATTATGCAAAATATGACTAAATAATTATAAATTTCAAGTTAAATTTTAATTTTGATAAATAATTTAAATTTCAAAATATCAAATTCAGTTCGACTATGTATGTAGTAATTCCTCAATAAAGTGCCAAAACCCTATTAAAATATATGACCATTTTCAACATTTTAATGTTTTTATTTAAAAATTTGATGGAATATGAGCTTCAAACAATTATTATGTAAATAAAAATAATTAAATATATGTATTTATTCGTATTACAACCGTAGTAAGTCGATTCTTCCTTTCTTCTACTGAGGTTTGAATTTGATTTCGAATTGTAAAGAGATTCAAAGGGAAAATACTAGCGGATAAAAACTACCTCCATGAAAGGGTCATAATGGACTCAAGTTGTATTTTTTGATATTTTTTGCTTTTCGAGCCTAAATAGGTAGCCAAGATAATGCCTAAAAATAAGGTTCTAAATTCTGAAGTTTACATGATCCTCTCGTGTGCACCCTTAACTTTAAAATAAAATAAAAAAAATATCAAATATATTAATTTTAAGCACCTGTGAATGTTGGTGCTCTGCTTGCCATTCGATCTAAGCTAAATCCAATTTTCTGGAAGAATCGCTTGTAGAATGGCAATTCACCTTCCAATTCGACGCCTTCGGATCCATTGATGTCGTATGGATCGAATTTGTGCCATGCGAAGATACAAATCAAAACAACAACAACGACGCAAATTACGGCGTTCCTTGTTGTATGTGATTCTTCTTCAATAGTAGAAGATTGCTGGATACCTCCTTTCTGTTCATTAGAAACTTTTCTTGCTTTCGATTTAGATTTAGAAACTTTGATTCCTGCAAATGTTTGCGACTTGTATTTATCAGTAACAAAAACTTGTTCGACATTCAAGTCTAATGGCTTTCCTTCATAACTCTCGCCATAGAAATGGATCTCCTTAATAGAATCGCAGTTCTCAAATGCTGATTTGTCTGAATTTGTCAGTTTTTCTGGCAAAATAACTTTTTGTAAACTGTTGCATCCTGAGAACAGTGATTGAGACAAATATGTGATTGCTGTTGCAGACAAATCAATTAATTCTAATTTAGAGCATAACATGAATGCTCCTGTATCTGCTTGTTCGAGGGAAGCAGGAATTAACAATGTGTGAAATCCACATTTCTTGAATGCGAAATTGTGAATTCTCTTCAAATGAGGAGGAAGAGCGAGATCTTTGAGGGAATTGCAGTTTGCGCAAAGTCTTTCTGGAAGTTCTGTGATTGCACAATCAGAGAAATCCAATGTCTCTAAGTTCTTGCAGTTCTGGAATGCTGCATTTCCGATCTCAAAAACTTTCTCTAGAATGGAAAGAGAAACAATGGATGAATCAGCAAAAGCAAATTGTCCAACACTGATTAATGATATTGGGAATTGAATTTCGAGGTTGCCTGTGTTAATAAATGCGCCTTCTGGAATGGATTTGATCATGGATTCTCTCATGTCAACAGTTGTTAACAATGTACAGTTAGCAAACGTGTATTTGCCAATTGAAGTGACTGATGATGTCAAAACAATTTTGCGAATACTTGACTTTGAGAAGAAATAATCTCCCAATGTGACAGGATGCGATGGGAATGAAACAGAAACTGCACCAACATTATATAACAAATATGCTGGCAATTCTTTCATTTGCAGTTCTATCAAATTGATGCTAATCAAACTTGTGCAGCCTGAAAATGCACCAATACCAATAGATTCGATGTGTTCATTCAAGTTCAATGCCTTGATTGCGGTCTTTGCAAATGCAAAGTCGCCGAAAACAAGTGAACCATGTGGTAATTTGACGACTTCTAATACGGAACAGCCGTAAAAGATGTGTGGAGGAATGATTGGACGGTGCAAATTCGATAAATCGGCATCAGTAAGTCTAGAACAGTTGGCAAATGATGCATTAGCAACTGTTGTAACTGATTTGAATGGGAAACTAGTGAAAGCACAGCCAGCAAATGACATAACACCAACAGATGAGAAGCCATTGGATGGCTTGAATGTTGTAAGTGATGTACAGCCACTGAATGCGTAATCTGGAATGGAATCAATTTCAACAGCAGATAAATCAACGGTATGGATCTTGTTATTCGCGTAAAGGAAGCTCTTGCCGATCTCTTTGAGTGATGCTGGAGCAACAAATTCTTGAATCTTTGTTCTTGCAAGTGCATAATCATGAATTTGTTCTAAACCGGCAGGAAGAACAATTTTCTCAAGGGAAACGCATCCGTTGAATAAGTTCTTTGGAAATTCTGTAACATCGGTTCCTTCGAAGCTGATACTCTTGAGATTCTTGCATCCTTGGAATGCAGACTCTCCAATGATCTTAACTGACTGAGGAATAGCGATAGCCTTGATTCCGGTATTCAGAAATGCGAAATCGGGGATTTCAACAAGGTTCTTTGGAAGAGTTACATTTTTAAGGTAATAACAGTTGGCAAATGCGGATTTGCCGAACTTTGTCATGCCTGTAAGATGCATATGGACTGTAGAGACTTGTGTGTTGGCGAATGCGAAATCTTTAAGGGTTGAGAACTTAATTGAAAGGGAAATTGTATTAATAGCAGTTCCGTTGAAGCAGTAGTCTTCAATTGAGACAAGTCCTGATCCAATAATCAAGACTTGAAGATTTGGACACAAGTTGAAGCAGTAGGCTGGCAAAACGTGGATTTTTGATTGATTTATATCAACAGTGTGAAGATTCGGGCAATTTTCGAATGAGTGCTTGCCAAGAGATTGGATATTTGGTGTTAACCTGATCAGTTCAAAAGGTGTTTTTGAAAAAGCATAATCAGCAACTCCGATAACAGTATAAGCTTTCTTTTCGATCATAATAGTTTCAGGAACTATCAGTTCTTTCATGCCTTTAGGGATTTCTAATTTCTCGAATTGGCCATTTCCGATAACAATTGTTTTGTTTGAGTAGACAGTACATTCGAATTTGGTTCCATTGATAGAAACTGTCTTCTTGGATGATTTAGCTGGACTGAAAAAAACTGATGCAGCAAGTGAAAAGAAAAGAGAAATCATCAATTGTCACTTTTTTATTAGTTTGTGTTTGATTTCATTTCTTTGAATTTCAATATTTATCAAGTATTTCAGAGTTATTAATTTCTTTCATGTTAAGGAATTTTTAAATACGTCGTAATTTCGATCTGAAAAAATTAGAACAAATTTTTTATGACTAAAAAGTGTCAATTTTATTGAGACAATTTCATACAAAAATGAATTATAAAGGTGAAATTCCAAATATGTCAGTAGATAGTGCATTTTTAAAGGCAGATTCCAATAAAGAAGATGAACAGTACTATGAGAGTATTAGAGATGAATGCATAAAACTCATTCATACAGATGCTAACTCACAGTATTCCAAATCATTAAATATGCTAATCGAACTCATCCATTTCAATGAACAAGAAACATTAGATTTTATTTTAGATTATCAATTATTAAATTTAATTCTAGAAAGAATAGATTTGTCCTATCCAAGTGATGTAATTAATTCACTTAATATAATTAAAAATATGGTCGAAATTGAAAGATATCGAGATTCAATTTATCAAAGTGATTTAGTTCAAAATATATTACAATTGATTCACAATACATTAGACATTGATATTTTAGCTGATATATTAGATATAATTGCAAAATTAATCAAAAATTCAGAAGAATTTTTTATTCATTTGATCGAATCAGAATATATTAATGAATTTTGCTCACAAATAATGACAATTGCCGGAAAATTAAGCAGTCAGCATGATTACAGCAAATTCTCAAAATATTTGTTTAAATTTTTGTCTAGTTGCTATTTTTTTGGTGATATTAGTATCCCAGAACCACTATTCAATGATATTCCAGACTTTATATTTTCATCACTATTAAACTCCAGTTTTGAAGAAATCAACTTCAAATTACAGCCATTGATTATGATAATTAATAATTTCCATGATACATTCATCCTAAATTTTACAGAAGTTGATAAATTATCAGTTCTAATCGATATTTTACTAAATACTCTAAATAATGAATTTGATCATTATTTAAATTCTAAAATAGCCAAAAGAATATGTCTTTTATTAGATTCAATGTTCGTATCTGAAAGTAGTATCTCATTACAATTAACAAAAGAAGATTTAATTAATATTCACTTTTTTGAAGCATTGTCACAAACTTTCAATGCATTTCCTGAAGTTGCAACAGTTATTTTGAGTATTATTGGTAAATTGGTTCTGTTAGAATTAATTGTTGATCCAGAAATACCTTTAGAATTAATTTCAAGAGCAAATACAGAATTATCATTGCATGAAAAAAATTCTTATGCTTTTCTATTTTATTCATGTTCAAGAGTTCTTTACAATTCATTTTGCCAATTTGTTTATGAAAACTTTGATATGATTGATGGACTATTAGATATTTTATATGGACAAGATCCGTCGAATATTTATAGCATTATGGAAGGACTCGTTAATATTATTGAATTTGCAAAAGCATATAGTTTTGATATCAATTTAATTATTGAGAAATTAACTGAACATGCCATCACTAAAGAGTTTATCCAAGAAACTATGGACCTATTTTCGGGTGATATAAATATATACGAATGCTGTATTCGCTTTTTAAGCGTATTTGAAACAGAAGATACAGAAAATATAAATCATGAAGAGGATTTAGACGAATATGATTAATTTAGCTATAAAAGTATAAAGATTTGAAGAAAAGAAAAATGAATTAAAAGGTATATAGCTATATGAAATATAATACATAACATTTTTGTAATCTTATAGCAAAATAAAAAGCTGTTTGTCCATTTCCTTAATATTTTCAATATTTGTATAGCAAACTCACATAAAACACTATTGTTAAATTAGTTTTTTAAGATTAAATATTGTTTAATAATTAATTATCCATTGAATTGGGGATTGCACCGTGCGATATTAAAAGATCTTCAATTTTCTCATTGCCATTTTCTTTTGCATAATCAAGAGCTGTCTTCCGATAAGAATCTTTTGAATTTACATCAGCACCATGTGAAAGAAGAATTTCCACAATATGAGTAATACTTTTCATTGCAGCTTTATGAAGTGCAGTTGATTCATTTTTATACTCTTTGGCGTTAATGATTGCACCATGAGAAACCAAAACAGATACTATATTCTCTTTATTTAAATCTGCTGCAATATGAAGAACTGTTTCTCCATAATTATATAAATCATTAACATTTGCGCCATGTAATATAAGCGCTTCTGCCGATTCACGAGCATCATTCTCTGTTGCCAAATAAAGAGCACTTACCACTATCTGACATGCTCTTTAATAATCAATAAATCTGTATTTTAACAGCAGAAATGTATAACAGCCATATTAGGCACTTATAGGGGGACCGGAAATAAAATCTAGGGTTCAGATGAGTCCAAGAAATGGTGTTAATTCAAACAAGTACAATACAGTTCAGATGGGGGATTCATCCTTCATAAATTTAAATTCGTAGTCATTATTAGATTTCCAAACATGCCTGAATGGTGACTTCTAAAGTCCATAGCAAAGTATGCATGAGCAGAAACTTTATTAATAATATTTTTGATTTCTCTATATCATTTGCACACATTTTCATATCAAGATATAGATAAACCACAATGTGTAATAAAGATTCTATTTATTAGTTTTTGTATATACACGAAATCGGATATGAAATTGATTTGCCTGAAGAGTGTTATCCAAATTTACAAGATAAAATTATCAAACTAATGTGTGACTATCCGTTTCCGTTTTATCCTGATGGAAAATCTGATTTTTGTATTTCAAAATCCCCAGAAAATTGTTGAATGCTTGAAAACGAAGATAAATCACTTATTCTACCAAATAAAAATATACCAAACTATCCTAACGAATTAGACCCACAACCTAGTCCATATATTGATCCGGAAAATCCAATTATTTTAGAAGAACCAAAAATTCCTGAACCAAATCCATTAATTCTAGAAGATCTTACAAAGTATGATGAACAATATAGAGTAGCAGAAACAAAATTATGGTGGAAAGGATGGAAATATATTAAATGTATTATTGGTTTAATTATTGATACTTACATCGGCTATTACGGATGTCGTTATCCATGTCTTAGTTATACCCTATCATATTTTGCATGGAATAGACGTCGAAGTCTATCAAGGTGTATCATATTCTGGAATTTATATCCGAAAGTTATGATTATTATAATTTTCTCTTCTTATATATTTGTATATTCTGGTGCTAAATTAGTAACCAATACTCCAGGCCCAGGATAGCATGCAATTCAAAATTTCATTTTGTTTTTAGTGCTGATTTGCTATTTAAGCTAATAATATGCTTTACATCTTCATCGCATAGCCTTTAATAAGCTATTTGTTTACTTCTTAAAATACTTGCGAATAAATTGTTATTTATTAGACTTTTGCAAATATATACTTTATTATTATATAGAGCTATAGATCATTGTTATCATGCTATTTGATAATATTAACAAAATTGAAATTATAACAGATTATCACAGAAATATAGTTGCTTAGCTATCTTTGCAAATAATCTACAAACATTGAGATCAGATCTTCTGGTGAATCTTTCATTATTCAAATTGTTTCAAACAAAACTTATACTAATAACGCTTCCAACAAAAAATATTATCACCCCTATATATTTATTCTCGACCCCAAAATAAATTTCATGAATTTTCTTTCCTTTTATTTATGAAATTTATATTCTTTATTGACAATAAAAACGAGTTATCACACTTTCAATGAAAAATAATTCTCAAGATTTTCATCAAAATTTGTTCGTTATATGAGTGATCACCCTCCATCCGAATTGCCATCGATTACTGGCAAAAGTGGATCAAGGGGTAGATTAATTACTCCAACAGTACGAAATAGGAACAAAAATGAAGAGAAAAAACTCTTCCAAACTAATGATCTCGAAAATAGATCTCTAAGTTTTGATATTGGTGCTCCAGCTTATGATACAGGAGATGTATTTTTGGAGGAGCAAAACAGAGGTCTATACGCATTTCGGAATATGACAGCAAAAGGCTCTCGAAATTCAACAAAAACACCATCACAACCTCGTGCAAAGACAGCAATGGGCAATAGCTCAGTATTAGTTCGATCAATTAAACGTCCGCAAACAGGAAATCCGAAAGTATTAACACTAGAACGCGCAAAACAATATAACGAATTAGAAAAACTTACAATCGACTTCAAAGAAGATCCTATGGCTTACTTTTCTAAGAGAAAAGACGGAAGAGGCCATAGATTTATTTATTTAACATATAAAACAGATCCTCAAGATCCAAATTTCAATCCTTACGATTTACAAAAGGTCCCATTCAGTCAATGCGGAAAAGACTACTTCATGATGTCTGCTACAGGTGTTACTCATTACGTAGATAAAGACAGTACTGATACAATTCCATTAGATCAGTGGTCAAGTGAAAGTTCTAACTTTATGGCCATCAGAAAGCTTAAATTCTTCGCGCAGTACTTTTACTGGAAGTCATTTCGAACATGGAAGCAGTACGTAATGGAACAAAGACATGGATCTGTTTCAAACGTCGTTATTACAAAGCCATTCTTCCGAAATAAGAATTTTGTTGGAAATTTAATTAATGATGGCTTCGAAATCGAAAAATTAAATCAATTCATTGACAAATATTTAATAACTCTCGGTGTTCCATCGCAAAGTTATCGTGTCGATGCATTTAAAGCAATGAATAAAGCAAGCCAAGAAGAATTAAAGAATAATTTTTCGACTTACATGTCTAATGTCGTTACAAAGATCAAAAATCTTTACGCAACAATATCAGATCCGAAATTAGTACAAGTCTTTGATACAGATTTCCAAAAAGAATCACGTCGTCGCAATCCAAACCTCAACCAATCAATTATGCTTGAGAGAAGAAAAGCAGCTTTAAGAGCACAAAAAACAGAAAAAGTGAACCAAGAAATCATGAATCTCGGAAGTTATATAAGGATCATTGATTACATGGTATTAGAAGCTTTAACGGCAGGTTGCATTAAGACATGGCATGCTGTTGATAGCAAAATTTCACAAGATTTGAGTTCAATTTTTTCTGTTGAAGTTTACTTTACAAATAAAGGTGAAGTTGACTTGAAACCAACGAAAAAAGAGCTTTTAGAAGCAGTTTCAAAGGTATTGGATGATTCCATCAAAGTATTGAGTGAATTACCACGTGTCATCAAGCAGAACCAGTTGTTGCCACATTTAAGAGATGGTGGTGTTGATATTTTAACTTTGTATAATGATGGACCAACACTTTATCAAATGGTCAGATGCACAAATGAAGTTAATGACATTGAGAAACACATCATGTCAATTTTAGGAGCCAATTTCGATGAAGCAATTACATATTCACAAACAACATTTTCTGAATATTTTCCAATTTATCAACTCGCACAAACATGGAAAGCCAGTGATTATTTAATGACAAGAGATGGAAAACCATATAAAGGATCATTAAATGCTGCTGACAGGAAAGGTCCAATTGATCAATTCCTTTTGGAATTCAACAATGAACCAATCATTGATTTCGTTAAAGTCCAAAATGACATGAATCACTTCAAATCACAAGTTGTCAATGTCCAGAAATTACCATTGTCTGGTGCAAGAGGAGCAATTATCATTGATTCTCATGAAGTGAAAGAATTCCTTGAACCTGTTTTGCACAACACAATTGACTCATTAAACAAAATGTTGAAGAGTTTGGTAACAATGAAAGTCGAACTCATTGAACAAACTCTCAAAATGTATATGGTAGAACTATTGAAAGAACCACATACATTGCAACATTACGTCAAATTGTGCGAACTTATCCAGAAAACAACAACTGTTACTCCGAATATCGAAAAAGAATTGAATTTCATTGAAAAATCATATGACATGTTTGATCATTTCGGATTGGAATACGAACGAAACACATTGCAATCAACATTCAACCAATTCAAAGCTGATCAAGCAGCAGCAAAGACAATGAAAGATGCTCATTTTGAATCATTTGTCAAGCCATTGAATGCAAAAGTCAAAGAATTGGAAGAAAAATTACAATTATTCTACGAAAAAGCAACATCTTTACCATCAAGTATCAAAGATGCCAATGTTGATGAACAATATCCAGCTGCTAAAGCTCTCAATCAACAGATTTTGAACACAAGAGTTGATGTCGACCAAATTTTGTATTATCAAAAAACAATTGGCGCAAACATCACAAATCTTGACTTATTCAATGCTGTTGTTGATGTTTCCGTATTTGCTGTGAAATTATATGAATCATTACAAGTATGGAATACAATCTCTGCAAAGATGAGAAATACTCCTTTGACAACAATAGATATCGAAGATTTCAAGACAACAGTTAATAATTTATTGAATACTGTCACTGAGTTATCAAACTCTGCAAAGATAACTTACAATATTTTGGTCGAATTGATGTCATGCGTACAAGAAACATATGAATATTTGAACGAATTGGAGTTGATTGTCAATGGCAGAATGAGACAACAAAACTGGATTGCTTTGTTCAAGGCAACAGGAAATCCACCATCTCAATACCACGAAAATATTACAATCAACGAATTGGCAAAGCTCGGAATCCTCAAGGCAAAGGACAAAATTGCAGAAATCACTCATACTTCTCGCGGAGAATACGAAATTTTCTCTCAATTCGAAAAAGTGTCATCAGAATGGCAAAAAGTACAAATGCCATTCGTTGAAGCTGCCTTTAGGACAGAAGATACTCTCAAGCTTGGTAACATCAAGCCTGTTATTAATATTATTAATGACAATATTAACACATATACACAAATGTTCTTGAATCCATTCGTAGGAACAATTAAAGACGAAATTATCAAAGAACTATCAGAATTAGAGTATCATTCTCATGTTTTAGAAGCATGGTCAGCTTTCCAAAGCAATTGGAATGTGTTGAGTTCATTGTTTGCAAGTGAAGAAACAAGACAAGCTTTGCCACACCAAAACAACAGAATTATTTCAGTGCAAAGAAAATGGATTCCAATTGGAAAACATGCACTTAAAGATACAAGAGTTGTTGCTGCTTGCAATTATCCACAATTGCAAAGTGTATTGGAAGAAATGAATCAAACTCTTGAAAGTGTTTTGTCATCACTTGGAAAGTTCTTGGATACAAAGAGATCATTAATTCCTCGTTTGTATTTCTTATCAAACGAAGACATTTTGAGTTTCTTGAGCACAAATTCATACGATGTTTTAGCTCCTATTATTTGCAAGCTATTCATGGGTGTTGCCAAATTAGATGTCCATGAAAATGATGCATCAAGAAGTGATCAATCTTCTTTCTATCACAATATTCAAAGACTCAAAATTTACGGTTTGATCGGAGAAGATGGAAGTCAAATCACTTTTCAGAGACAAATCTCATGCAACATGCCACAAGAGAACTGGATGAAACAACTTATAGATGCAATGCGTGCAACTGTCCGTGATTTGATCGCTAACAACATTGGTACATGCGGTGGTCCACAGCTTTCTGAATGGTTTGTTTCATTACCATCTTACATTTCTTATATCGTCTTAAATGCAACATTTTGCAGAGAAATAAGTGAATTAGTGAAAGCATACGAATCTAATCCAGATGTTGTTGATGACTACAAGCAGCTCTTGAAGCAGAGGATCGATGATGCAGCGGCTTCTCATAATACAATGTCAAATCCAATTCAAAGGCATAAAGTGTCACTTTTATTGACATCATTAATTGGATTTAGAGACAGATTTGAGAATTTCTTGACTCTTAAGAGTGGTGTCAATACAACAGAGTGGCAACAGACATTGAGATTTGTTTATTCCAGTACGAATGCATCATTGAAACTCGAATTTGGTGGATTTTCATGGGATTTCGAATACGAATTTTACGGAGCAATCCCAAGAATCATCCATACTCCAGCATTAGATAATGCAATTCATGCAACAGTTCATTCATTAGCTAATGGATACACTCCTATTATCATTGGCCATGGATCTTGCGGAAAAACAGAGATTTTAAGACATCTTGCAGCTAATTTCGGAAAATTCCTTCACATTTTCTATCCTTCCACAACAGATAATGACATTTTGATCAGTAGAGTTGCAATAGGAACAGCAGCTTCAGGAGCATGGAGTGTCATTTCTGAGATTGATACAATGCCACACCATGTTTTGTCTGTTCTTCATGACACAATTAGAAACCACGCGAGTGCAATTGCAGCTGGAAATTCAAGAATCACGATTTCACAGAAATTCATTGATTTGAACAAGTCATCGAGATTGTTCTTGACATCAGATTCAAGTTATGAATTATCAACAAACATTCCACCACAGTTGAGAGCTTTCATTAGATCAGTTGCAATAAGAGATCCCGATTACAAGAAAGTCTGTTCAATTAAGTTATTAAGTGCAGGATTCCATGAAATTGAAGACTTTTCAAAGAAACTGTCAACTGTTGTATCAACAATCATTCAGTTCTTTGCTCCAAGTGGCATCAAAATTGCTTACTTCAATATCATTAACTTCATCATTTATTTCGCTCAAAAGAAACTTCAAATTTGCGATACAGAAGAAATGGCTCTTTCTTATGCAGTTTATCGCCAATTCCAGCCATTTACTGACAAAGCAAATTACCTCAAAGTAGTCAAGCTCATTTATTCTGGCTTCGGATTCGAGATGGGAGTTGATGAATTCCTTAAACAACTCACTTCATTTGATAATGATTCAAGTCTTGTTTCTCAAATCGAGAAAGAAGTCAAATTACTTGGTATCGACATTCCTACTGATTATTTGGTTAACCAGACATTATCTTTGTTCAGATCGTTAGTTGCAAACCAAATAACTGTTGTTGTTGGTCCTCAAAACAGTGGAAAGACAACTGCTTTGAAAGTTCTACAAAACGCTTTAGGAAGAGAAGAAGAACTTGGAGAAAAGATCGAAGGAGCCAAGAAGATTGTTTACAGAACAATTTATCATGAAAGCGATTATCCATCAACAATTTATGGCAAATCTATTGATGATGTAACATCAGGATTCTCTGTTATTGCAGGATTAATCAATTCAACGTTATTTGCATTGACAGAAATCACTGACAAATGTTACAAAGTCATGAGATTTGTTGGTGACTTGAACAGACATTTAATGAAGTATTTAGTTAAGTTCTCAAGTGATCCTCACAACAGGAACATCAAGATCTTAATAGAAACACATTCATTAAATGGTATTACTCCTTCTATTGTTTCTAGATCCGGAATTCTTCAAATGAAGAATTTACAAACAACTGTTTCATTCGATCAATGTTCATTAGAACATCCTTTGTTGCCTTTCTCTTTGGCAATGCAGACATTATCAACTGTTGTCAATGTATCCAAGATTGATTCCATCAAAACAGCCTATTGCAACTATATTCCATCGTTCATCAACAAATTGTATTCTCTTGATAACAAATTCAGTTCAAGTTTGACAAGAATTACAATTCCTGGTGGAAATTTAGTTCTTTCTAATAATTTGTCATATAACACAGCTCTTTTAGCTTTGTATGCTTTCTCAGAATACTCAGAAGATTGTGACAACCAAGACAATATTAACATGGTTTTGGGATGGTCATTCTTTTTGACTGTTGCTGCTTACATCGATAAACAACAACTCAATAGTTTGGAAACTTTCATTTGCTCGTCATTGGCAATTGAAGTTCCAAATGATTGGTCGAAATTCAAAGTCGATCCTGCTTTTGAGAAAGATTATCCTATTCTAAGTTTGAGAGCAATGCGTCCTAATGATTCAAAGTTACATCCTGTTCCTCCACCTGAAGAAACAATTGTATATTTGAATGACCAAAATAACAACAATAACATACCAATAAATCCATCAAATATTGTTGTTATTCCTTATACATGGATCAATGACATGAATCTCACAAAGATGTACTTGAAAGTTGGAAAACACATTATAATACATGGTCCTCATGGTTCAGGAAAGACATTGTTTATCAAAGCAGCAATCAAAACATCAGGAATGTTACACAGACAAATATTTATCAGCGTTACTCCAATTTTGACAGGTGAAAAAGTTACTGCATATATTAAGAATCATACAGCATTGACTGCATTAACTGTTCAACCAGAAATCGCAAACATCACATTTATTTTGGTGTTTGAAAACATTTCTGCAAATGATAAAATGCTGATTTCTTATTTATCACAGATAATTGATACAAAAGAAATTCCAATTTTCTCGAAGACGGATCACAAAGTCTATGAAGTCATCAGATTAAGGAACTTCAGAGTTGTCTTGACAACGAGTGAATTCTATAATTTACCAACAGAATTCATCTGCAAGTTCTCTCCTGTTCAAGTTAATGATATTGATTTCAATAGTGCCAATTACATCAGTTCACAATTGTTAAATATCTATGGTATGGATTTGAAGACAGTTACTTTTGTCTTGGATTATCTTTCCAAAGCTTTGAACAAGCTTGGCAATGTTAACATGTCAAATTGCATAATTAGAGCTTCTCAAATGATGTGTTTCATTGCAGACAAACAGAATTCGAATCAAATAATGATGGGAATGATTTCTGCTTTGTTGCAAGTTGCCTCAAGTTCAAATTCGATTTCAATGATATCAAGTGTAACTCAAGAAGTTTTGTCTCAATACAAGAACCAAGATATCATCAATACTTGTTCACAATATCTTGATAACCGTGTAATTCTTGTTCCTAAGTACGAATTGGCTCAAGATCTTTTAACATTCAAAGTAACATGGGGACATGAATTAGAAGACAAAATCATTTCTGAGTTGGATTACGCTGTTTCTGTTTTCAATGGAAACAATGTTCAAAAACTCAATTTGAAATTGGATTTGTTCACGTTACATGTATGGCTTGTCCTTAATAATTCTATGAATATTCCAGGCAGAAATGCTGTTATTACAGGACAAAATGGCTCAGGAAGATTTTCTTTGACACTTTTGACATCGAATACAAATGAAGCTGATTTTGTCAATGTTATTCCACCAAATTACGATGAAGGAATCACTTTGCATGAAAGAATGGCCAACACATCGAACATCATTCATGAAATTGTCACGAATGCTGTGAATAATCACAAGAAGACAAATATTTTCATCAGAGAAATTGAAGGAAATGAAATCGAATTGCAAATGATGAAATCATTTTGTACATCATATGATTTCGTTCCTTATTTCACTGACCAACAACTTGATGAGTTATATACTCATTTCGCGAATGTTACTAACTTAAATCCAGAACAAAGAAGACAAACAATGATGAAGATTCAGTCTGTTCTAAGTTCATCAATTCATTTAATCATCGGAACTGAAAATTGTGAGAAATATGAGTCATCATTTGATGTAATTAAACCATTTGATAAAGAAGAAATTATTAATGGTAACATTATCCAGAATTACATCAATGACAGAGATCTTTCCGAGAGAGTTGTCAAAGATAAGAGACAAACAATTAATTTGTTCATGGCTACATTATCAGTATTGAAGAAACTTGAGATTAATTACACACAAAACAATCTCAGAGATTTCTTGTCAACATTCAAGAAGACAATTACATCAGATGCAAATGATTTGGAATCTAAACATGATTCATTGGCTTCTGCTTTGCAATTCTTGGCTGATATTAAAACAGACAGTGAAAACATCAATAACACAATGAAAGATATTGCTCCAAAGATTCAGAAACTAAGAGTTGATACAGATTTGCTTGAACAATCATATTTAACAAGAAAAGAAGCTATAGAAGCAAGAAGAATCAAATTAGATGAAGATAAGAAAGATAAAGAACAAAAATTACAAGCAACATTAGCTAAACTAAATGAATTAGAACAACAAAACTCAACTCTTAAACCAGAAACAGAAAAAGCCTATGCAAATCTCGAACAAATGACGAAGAATGAAGTTGAAACAATCTTGATTACTATTGGATCTCCACAACCTCAAATCGTTACATTATTTGAAGGAATGGGAATTCTTTTGAACTTATCTAAACCATATTACGACAACTGTTTGGTTGCATTGAAGAACGAGAATTTCGCTTCTACATTGAGAAAGAATGCAAGCGAACAATTGGCAAATCCAAAGACAGTTGAAACAGTCAAAACAATGATTGAAAGTGCCAATATCAATCCAAGAGATTTGGATAATATTTGTCCACAATTAAGATGGATTTATGACTGGGTAGATTCAGTTGTTAAACAAGCAATTCTTGAAGACAATCTTAAGAAGACGAGAAAGAATTATGAAGAAGACACAATTTTGTTGAATGAGTTCATTACTGAAATGGATCTCGAAATTCAATCAATCAACCAAGTTGAAGAGAGTTTAGTTAACGAGAAACAAGAAGTTGCAGCTCAAAATGTTGCAAGAGAAAAGATGGAAAAGGATTACGCAGAAATAACAGAAAGAAAAGAAAGAATTGACAGTTTATCCAAAGATATTGATTTATTGCAAACTACATGGCAAGAATCAAATACTAAATATGAAACAAAGAAGACACAAATCTTTGGAGATTCTTTCGCTTTCTCTTTCTATTTAATCTTCTGCGGATCTTTGAATAAAGAAAAGAGACAACAAGCGATGACAGAGTTAACTAAACTATTGGCCAAACAAATGATTCCTGTTTCATATGAAAAACCAATTAAATTCATCAATGACAAACTTATTTTGTTGTCAACAGTTGATGATATAGTTCATTATGAAACCGTTCCATGCAATTCATTGATGGCTGATGTACAACATTTGTTCACAACAATAAGAACACCTTTGTTAGTTGATCCAGAAGGAATTGTTTTGAATGCAATGACAGATTCAATCAAGGCTAAAAGAATCATCATTGTTTCATCAACATCTTCTTCTCTTGAATCTTCTTTGCAATCAGCATTGTCTGATGGAAAAATACTTGTTGTTACAGATACATTCGATTTACCATCATGTATCGAACAAGCAATGTTAGTCAGTTTGACTAAGGACAGAACAACAGGAAAAGACATTAAAATCGGTTCTAAAATTGTTCAATGGGATCCGAAATTCAAACTAATTCTCGCTACATCAACACTTGTTAAAGACCTTCCAGAAAGTCTGAAATCGAGAGTTATCATCGTAGATGTCACTTCAACAAGCGAAGAAGCAACAGAAGAAATGTTCACGAATATGTTCATTGACTTCTTCTTCCCAGCATTGACACCTAAAGTTCAAGAAATGAGGAAGAAAGAACTCAGCCAACAATCTTTGCATCAGAAATTTGAAAATGATGTTTTGGATACTTTGTCAGACATTGCAGCAACGAAGAAGTTGAATGCAAACTATGATTATCTTGCAGACAAAGATGTTATACAAGACATCATCACTTCAAAGAACAATTACTTCGAGTGCATAAGTGCTGGAACTGATTTCAAACCATTATTGAAAGAACTCAATGAAGACATCAAATTGTTCAAACCTCATATTTCTTTGTGTCAAATTTTCTGGCAAGTTTTGACAAGATATATTGTCCCAATCAATCCAACAGCCAGATCATCATTCAGCTCTTATCTTAAAGTGATTTCCGCTCCATTTGTAACTGGCGGTTTGCATGCAGGAATTCCAAGTAGCGATCAACATTTATTCTTAAGAAATTCAATCATTTCAACCACGTTTGGTTTCATTTTCCCATCAATCAAAATCAATGAAATGTATTTCTTCATGTTTGTTTCAGCTTTCTTGATGACAAAAGCTGAAGGAAAAGTCCAAGATGATGACTTCAAATCGATTTTGGATCATATCGAATTGGAGAGATTCGATACAGCTGATTTCAATAACTACGATCCAAACGATGTTGGTTCATTTGAAGGATTGAAATTCACCAATATTCTGAGCATTTTCAATTACATGAAATCCTTCATCAACACAACATTTGGAGAAGGATTTGATCCATTATTGCCTCATTTCCAAGTTGAATCAATTGTTTCAAACACAGGATCAATTCCAACAATTATTATTTCTGATCCTTTAGTTGATCCAACAGGAATCATTCTTCCTTTCATCTCTTCGAGATGCAGACATGATAACTTCGATGAAATTTCATTGTCTGATGACATTGAATCCATTAAATTGGCCAGAAAGATTGTTACAACATCAATGAACAGACCAAACTGGGTTTTGATTCATTATTCTAAGGCGAATAGAGCAGCAGCACAGTTGATTACAGATTTGTTCACGATGATGACAACATCAAGTATCAACACTAATTTCAGGTTGATTTTGATTGCGACATCATTGGAATTCATTCCTCCATCAATTTTATTGAGAACAAAGAGATTCACAATTGATGACAGCAATACTTTGAAGAACACGATGCATAAGTACTTCGGAAACTTCTCTTCCCACATCATGTCGAGCTCCAATTCCCAAGGAATCAAGAGATTGTCATACCTCGCTTTACTTACTTCTGCAATTTCATTGTTCAGGAATTCATTGCAACCAAACTTAGGTTACAACACGAACCTTTTGTATCCAGAACAAAATGTCAAAGACATCATCAAAGAGATGCATCAAATGTGCGATAGCTACATTAATGTTCTCCCAATGAATGTTGCTTCATACAGAATCTCAAGAATTCTCTATTCTGGAGTCATGGACAGTTTAGATTTCGAAATTTGTAAGTCAATGACTAACTACATTTTCGATATCCGAGCAATCAATGATGGTTACAATTTGTCACATGATCCATCACTCAAAGATGTTTGGGCAATGCCAGGAGACATTCCTCTGGCTGATTACACGAATATTATTCATAAATTGCCAATGTATTGTCCTCCATCAATTTTCGGTGCTTCAAGTTTGGCAGCGCATTCTTTAGTTTCTTGGAGTGTTAACCAATGCATGACAACTCCATTTGCTTTGTTATCTAAAGCAATAAAACCAATAGATCTCAAAGCAACAAAAGAAACACTCATTGCTAAATACGATAACATCGAAATGCTTCTTCCAACTGACTGTCCTTATCCGTCTGAAATCGCTTGGACAATGAGAACTGAGTTTTTGGTCAGAGAAATCACGAAACTCAACAAGAGTCTTGAGCAAATCAGATTATCTCTTCGTAAATCAAAGGCAAATGTTATGAAAGATGTTTTCGATGAAATCACATTTTGTTTGAACGCGAACAAAACTCCTGAAGAATGGAAGAAATACTCGAATTATTACATCACTAATCACGTGAACAAATTTGCAACACACATCATAGAAAGACATGCTTTGTTAACAGCTTGGTCACAAGGAGTTGTTCCGCAAACAGTTGATGTTTCATTAATTGATGATGTTAAAGATTTGTTGTCTTCTTTCATCTCAGAAATTTCAATAAAGAACAATATGCCACAAGGAAATCTCACTTACGAATTTACTATTGGTGGAACGGCTACAGAAAATTCAATTATTTTATCCAAACTTTATCTTTCTTTGGCTGATATTGAAGAAGGAAAGATTATTAAAGTAGAAAACGATTCCAAGATTCCTTTCAAGCATATTCCAGAAGTAATTTGTACTGTCATCGACAAAGCAGAGAAATCATTTGTCAACAGACAAAATATTCCATTGTTGAAAGTTGCAGGAGCTTCGCAGCTTGGTTTCCCTCACGGAGATACTTATAATGGTCACAATGACAATGTTGCTTGGATGATGGATATACAATGTGAAGAAAAGCAACCATTTGTTGGATTTGGAACTGCACTATACTGCAATGTTTCATCTCAATTTGTTTAATTTTATATATTTTTGTTTTAAAATTTACTTATATTTTTGTGTATGAAATCCTAATGTTGTTGTTTACTTGATTTTGAGCGTAATTTCAATGAGAGTTCTGATAAATGTAAGGTTTCTGCTAAAAATACATTAAACAGATTCAGCATTGAAGACCATCATTTTGCTGGCAATGATATCAAAATGCTACATAACTTCAGATTATATGATTTGTTTGGTCTGATTTCAAGATTAACCTATTGTTTGGATTACTTATATTTTCAAAATTAATTGATTGTTTATTCCAAAATCAAATGGATTCTATAATTATTTTGGCACCATGTCCTTCTAAAAATGAGACAATTTCTGTTGATTTTCTTTTGATTGCAATACTAAGAGGGCATGTATAAACATGAAGAGAAAAAAAATATCATAAAACAATAATAAATATGTAAATAAAAAGTACCTTGCAACACAATGATTAATATGAAAAGAAAGAGAATGTTATTATATAATGAAAAATATGTAGAGAAGGATAATTTTGTAAAGCAATGATTAATATAAAAAGAAAGAGAATAAGTTTCATGTTAACATCAGCACCATGTTCAACTAAAAATTTGACAATTTCTATTGAATTCGAATAGATAGCAGAACTAAGAGGGCATTTATTAATATCAAGAGAATTTCATAAAGCAATGATAAATATGAAAAGAAAAGGATTGTAATAAATTAATGATAAATTTTAAAAGAAAGAAAATTAGATAAAATGCAGATAAATATAAATGGAAAAAGAATACAATAATATTATGAAAAAAATTAAAAGAAATAGAATGTAATAAAATATCGATAAATATAATCAGAAAGAAAACATCACTAAGTAATGTTAAATATGAAAAGAAAGTGAATTCTATAAATCAATGATAAATACAAACATAAAAAGAATAAAATTAAATAAGGATAAATATGAATAGAAAATGAATAAGTTTCACGTTAACATCAGCACCATGTTCAACTAAGAATTTGACGACCTCTGTTGAATGGGCCTGAATTGCAATGCTAAGAGGGCATTCATTAATAAATAGAGAATTGTCTAAAACAATGATGAATATGAAAAGAAATTTAATATAATTAAACAATGATAAATATGAAAATAAAGATAATTTCATAAAACATTGATAAATTTGAAAAAATAAATAATTCCATTAAACAATGATAAATATGAAAGAAAAGATAATATAATTAAGTAATGATTAACATGAAAAGAAAGACCATCCAATAAAACAATGATAAATAGGAAAACAAAAAGAATACCACATAATAATGATAAACATGAAATGAATGAGAATATGGTAAAATAAAGATCAATGCGAATAGAAAGAGAATACGATAAAACAATTGTAAATATTAAAAGAAAAACAATGTTGTAAAACAATGATTAAAATAATAAGATAAAAAATAAGTATCGTGTTAATATCAGCACCGTGTTTAACTAAAAATTTGACAATTTCAATTGAATCTGATTCAATCGCAACACTCAAAGGGCATTTATTAATATCACGAGAATTTCAAAAAGCAATGATAAATTTGAAAAGAAATATAATGTTATTAAGCAATGATAAATATGAAAAGAAAAAGAATGATGTAAAACAATAATACATATTAAAAGAAAGTGAAATTCATAAAGCAATAATAAGTAATTAAAAAAAGAGAAATTCCTAAAATAATGTAAAATATGAGTAGAAAGAAAATATAATAAAACAATGATAAATAGAAAAATAAAAAGAATGCTATAAAATAATGATAAACACGAAAAGGAAGGGAATATGGTAAAACAAAGATCAATATGAAAAGTAAAAAAATCCAAAAATTCAATGAACAATATGTAAGAAAAGAAAACGTAATAAAATAAAAATAAATATTAAATGAAGGTGGATGTAATAAAACAATGATAAAGATTAATTGAAGTAGAATATAATAAAACAATGATAAATTTGTGTTGAAGGAGAATGTCAAAAATTAAAGATAAATATGTATTGAAAGAAAAATTCATAAAACAATGAAAAAAATGAAAAGAAAGATAACGCCATAAAGAAATGATCAATACGAAACGAAAAAGAAATTGATAAAACAAAGTTAAATATGAAAAGATAGAAAACCATATAATACTATGCGAGATATGAAAAGAATGAAGATTTGATAAATAAATGATAAATATGAAATACAAAAGAATTTTATAAAACAATGATAAATATGAAATGAATTTGAATACTGTCAAATATTGATAAATATGAAATGCAAAAGAATTTTATAATAAAATGATTAAAATAAAAAGATAAAGAATAAGTATTTTGTCAATATCAGCACCATGTTCAACTAAAAATTTGACAATTTCTATTGAATTCGAATAGATAGCAGAACTAAGAGGGCATTTATTAATATCAAGAGAATTTCATAAAGCAATGATAAATATGAAAAGAAAGGGAATTTCATAAAACAATGATAAATATGAAAAGAAAGGGAATTTCATAAAACAATGATAAATATAATATGAATGAGAATGTAATAAAACAATGATAATTATGAAAAGAAAGGGAGTATTATAAAACAATGATAAATATGAAAAGAAAGGGAATTTCATAAAGAAACAATAAAGGGGTATTATTATTGTCGTCTGGCGGTTTTAGACGACAATGCGAATTTTCAAATAATAGGATTTTTAGCCAGATAAAGAGCTACTCCATATATCATGCGTGTTTGCATACTATATGCATAGATGGAATTGATGTTAAAAGAAAGCTATATAAGAATGATAGATACGAAAAGAAAGATTATACTATAAAAAATGATTAATATGATAAGAAAAAGAATAGCGTATAAAAAAAGAAAGATATATATAAAAACAAAATGTAAACATCGTTAATATTTCCTCCATTAGAAAGGAAATACGAAACAGCATCATAGTTTCCAAAATACATGCATTCTGCAATTGAATCTAAAGTTTGGTTTAAATTTGATCTAAGGTACTCAACAATATCCAGGTTTCGAAAATCGGCTGCTGTATTAATCATTTTATCAAATGAGTAACCGTCTTCTATCATTTGCATAAAAATGTTTATATTTCCACTTTTAACAGCATATTCCTCAGAGCGTTTGGTGTATTCAGCTCCTAAATTTCGCAAGTAATTGAAGCATAACTCCGATCCATATTTAATAGCACATTCAAGTGGAGTGATTTCATCGTCAATTTTCTTATCAAATTCAAGATTTGGAAACTTACACTTAAGTTCATCAACGTTATCCCATGCAATATAATATAATGGAGAATTTGTTGGGTATAAATTGAGATCTTTAAAATGTAGCATGATTTCTAATTTCAAATTTTTCGGTTTGTAGATAAACGAAAATTCCTTTGATAGCATTTGATAAAGTTCTGTATATAAATTAATATCTTTTTCACGAATTTGTGAAAAAATATCAATCAAATAGAGCGCCATTTCGATAGAGATTTTGTTTGTTTTAATAAATTCTATAATTTGTGCAGATATTTGTTTAATAATTCTAGAATTGACCTCCCAAATCAATTTTGAAGCTTGGCTAGGGTACTTGAATATTTCAATTGGCGTAATGTCGTTAATATAACATTCATTTTCATTGACATGCTCTTCGGAACTCGACTTTTTTTTGGCAAAATTTTGATCATGGCACTTTTGATAAGTAAAATTTTACCACCTTTTTTTATGACATCACAAACATGACAAAAAAATTTTCAAAATTTTAAATGAGATGAAAGGTGAACTATTGGATACATGTAAATACTAGTTTATCATTTTCGATAGGTTCAGTAAAATTATTGAATTGATTTATATCATTGAAAATATACCAAATTTTGTCATGTTTTAGAAGCTTTAATGAGCTTTCTAAGCTGATATTTCAATCGAGAGAATATAAAATAGCGTATCTCTAATCCAATATATATTCAATTCAATGCTATTGAGCTTGATATGGAGTCCCTCAATTCAAAACAAGAATAAAATCCTTCCAAAAATCTTACAAAATATAATGATGGTCTTACATTCAACTGTCTTTTGGTTATCTAACGAAGAAAACTCTATTTAAACATAAAAATTCTCATAAAAACTCTCATCAGTAACATCAAATGCAAAGGTGTTGAAATTATGATGAAATTTTTCTTATGAGAAAATAAATTATTTGGATTCTATATCATACAAAACGTTTTATTAAATAACAAAATAAAATAACAAATTAATATTAATTAAGTCTTTTTGTTTGGTAGATCGCTTTCAAATGCCATACTTGATTCATCTCCTGGTTCTATTGTATTAGCAACTATTGGCTCTGAATTCGAATCATTTTTATCTTCTTCTTCGCTATCTGATAACGAGATCTCTTCTGACTCATAAGAACTATCATCATCTGATTCCACATCATATTTATTCTTTGTTCTTGACTTAGACGACTCAGATACTTCTATATCTTTAAACTTATCTTGTTCTTCATCGTCGTCTCCGACTAAATATTTTGATGTATGTTTGGACTGCGATGAAACTGATAAAAACTCATCATCAGTATCTTCTTGTATTGATTTGCCGGATTCACTTGTTATTAAACTGCTTATTGTTCCTATTTCTGATCTAGATTGATTTGATTCCTTTGATGAAATTGATTTTGATTCTTCAGTTTCTGATGTTTGTATTGGTTCATTTTGTTTCATATTGATTGAGTTTGAATCAGGATTTGTGTCACTTATATTGTGTTTTTCCATTTTAGAATCAATTTCTTTAGATTTGGAGTAATCATTTGAGACATCTGTCTGTTGTTTTGAAGCTATTTCTTCTTCATAATCATTATCATCTTCTTTCTCTGAATGAACGAAATACTTCGATGAAATTGATCTTGATTTAACAATTTCATCATCTTCTGATTTAGAATCAGATTCTTCTCTTGTATTTAAAGTTTCTGAAACAGGAATTGATTCCAATTTTCCAATTTTTTCTTCTTTTTTGGAGCTAATTTTATCATTTGAATCAACATTTTCATCATCATTATCAAGATACTTAGAAATATGTGAAGAAATGGATTTGGTTGAAATGTCTTCCTCTTCATCATTTTGAGAAACATCTTCTGATTTAATAGATGAATTTTCTGTTAAATCATTTTCATCGGAATCAAAGTTAAGTTTGGATTTAATTGATTTGTTTGAAACAATTGATAACTCTCTTGGAACTTGTTTAATTTCTTTGGAATTAACTTCTTCGTTATCTACAACTTCTGAATATGACTTAGAATCACTTTGTGACTGAATTTCTTCTTCATCAGATGAAGAATAAGATAAATATTTAGATCTGTGTTTTGAAACTAATGATTTTGATTGATATGAAACACTTTCATTTTCTTCTTCATCTTTCTTTGTATTTATTGAATTTGATCCTGTTTCTGAATCAGCATCAATTTTTCTTTCAACAACTGAGTTGATTTCTTTATCCATAGTTTCTGAAGAGATCTGATTTGGAACAAATGAATTTGATTTAATTTGTTCTTCTTCAGATTCGGAATCAGAACTTTCAAAGTTTGCAACAATTCTTGGTTTTTGAGATAAAAGAGATTTGTTTGAAACATTTGAAGATGTTGTTGTAGAAATAGGTTTGGAAATGAATGAAGAAGAGTTACTTTGTGACTCTTTGATGCATCTTTCTTCAATTTGAGAATTAATTTCTGTTAATTTTTGTTGTTCTGAAGCAGAATTTTCTTCACTTTGTGATCGGATTTCATCATCTATATCTGATGAAGAAGATGATGTAGAAATCAAATATTTGGATTTATGTTGTGAAACAATTGTAACTCTTGTGGATTCATCATCACTATCATCTCTAAATTTGTCACTTTTTAGACTATCATTGTTTGAAATTGAATCAGTTTTAGAGTTGAATTTATCTGAGAATAATTCGGAGTTTGTTGTTTCAGGAACAGTTTTATCTGTTAATATTGTTTGTGACTGTAACTCACTATTAGTTTTTGTTGTTTCTGAAGAATCATCTTGTTTTGTCTGATGATTTGATTGTACTGATTTAATGTCAGAAATTTCAGAAACAATTGAGTCAGATTTAGATTTAATTGAAACTTCATTTTCAACCTGTGAATCAGAAACAAATTTCTTCTCCGAAATCTGTGTTCTAATCTCACTTTTATCTTCATATTCTGACACATCTTTGATATCCATTGTATTTGTATCAACTGTTGTTTCTGTCTCATCATTTGTTTGTGTTTTTAGTTCAGAAATCTTTGATTGAAGTGAATTATTTGTCAATTTTTCAGTTGACAAATTTTCATCTTCCTTTTCTTTCATAGAAATAGAACTTGAATTTGATTCAACTGGAATTTGACGCTCTTGAACAGTTTCTATTGATTTTGAATCCTCATTAACAGATATATCACTTTTAGTTGATGATTCTAGTTCCGAATCTGTATCTGATGAGGAATCAGAATCGAAATTGGCCATTGTTTTACGAGAAACTAAAGATTTGTTTAATACATTGTCACTTTCTGCTGATAACATCTTTTCTTCTTTTTCTTTCATAGAAATAGAACTTGAATTTGATTCAACTGGGATATGACGTTCTTGAACTGTTTCTATTGATTTGGATTCTTCATTAACAGAGTTGTTGCTTTTTGTCGATGACGCTAATTCAGAATCTGTATCTGATGAAGAATCAGAATCGAAATTCGCCATTGTTTTACGAGAAACTAAAGATTTGTTTAATTTTGAGTCACTTTCTGATTCAATCTTTTGTTTATTATTTGTTTGTATGGAATCAGAACCAGTTTCACTATCAGGAACATATTTCTTTGCTGAAACTATTGTATTGATATCACTCTTGGTTTCCTCTGTTGATTTATCGGAATCAAAAGTTGTTTGTGTTTCAATTTCAGACATATTAGATTTAGAAGTAGATGAAGAATTCAGTTTCTCAAAAGCAGCCAATGACTTGGAATGAAGAGATTTAAGTGCTTCTGAATACATTGCATCATTCTGTTTAATGCCATCTTCTTCTGTCGCAAGAGAACTTAATTCATCTTCATCATCATTCAAGTATTTGTGTTTTCTTGTTGAAATTATCGATTTGATCGAAATTTTTGTGTCTTCATCATTTGTTTCTGAATCAGAACTGAATTTCTTTGTCATCAATGAATTCTTCGTTAAAGAATTCGATGTAGTTGTTTGAGATGAAGTGATGATGTTGTCACTTTTCTGTGAGAAAACCAAATCTCTTGATTTAATTGTTCTTTCACTTGCTTCTTCAAGTGTCAATTCGTCTTCATTTAGAACAACATCTCTTGCTTTAATCTCTTCAATTCCAAAATTTGTTTCAATTGATTTTGATGAAGTTTCTTTTGATGATGAACTTAAATCTTTTCTAGCATTTAAGTGTTCTGATTTAAGTGTTTTAGATTGATCACTTATTTCGTTTTGTTGTTGATCAGTTGAAGTAATAGTTTCTAAAGAATTGATATCATCAGATACAATTGTTTCTTTTTGAGTGATTTTAGCTGTTGTAAGTGAATTAATGTCAGAAATACTTGACTCTGATGTTGGATTTCTAGTTTTAACAGAAATTGTTTGTGTTTTAGATGTAGAAAGAGAAATTTCTCTGTCTTTTGGCAAGTTTTCATCTGAAACTAATGAACACAAATCATCATCTGATTCTATATATGATTGTGATGTTTGTGTTGTTAATTCTGATTTAATGTTTGATTCAGAACTTACAAACTTTTTGTTTGAAAGAGAAATCAAAGATTTTTGTCTTGATTCTACATCAAATTCTTCTTCTTCATTGTTGGTTGATAATGAATCTGTTTCTGAATCAGAAGAAGACATATTTTGTAAGAATTTAGATCTTGCTTTTTGTTCAGAATTAACTCTCGACATAAGTGAAGAATTATACTGCATTGTTTTAGAATCAGTGGAAGTACTTATGAATGTATCTGTCGTCAACTTAATTGAAGTACTGTTTTCGCTCTTGTTTCTATTCTTTGGTTGTTCAGATCTGATGTCAATTGTATCTGTTGATTGTTCATATATTGCACTTGCTGGTCTTCTTGATAGTGGGAATAGAATCTGCTCGTTAGAAAGGATTTCAGTGTTTGTTGAGACCGAATAAGAATCAACCATTGAATCTTTTGGAAGACTGAAATTTGAAGAATTCATATCTCTTTCTTTGTAAACCAAAACTTTTTCTTTTTTAGGCTTTTCAGTTCTGATTGATGATAATCCATTATCTGACATATATTTAGGATTAAATGTTTCTGTCTCAGGTGATAACAATGTGAAATCTTCATCTTGTGTGTTTTCTTTATCAGTTGTCACTTTTTGTTTCGAAATTTCTTCAGTTGTATTAAATTTATCTTCTTTGTTGACATTTATTGATTGTAATTCTATTTCGGAACTCGGTATTCCGAAATCTAAATCATCTTCTTTTGATCTGATAGTGATTTCAGTTGATTCTTCTTTTACTGATGATGAATTCATCTCAAAAACTGAATTCAACTGGAAAGTAACACTTGATTTTGGTGTTGATTCCGATGAAGGTTCTGCAGTTATAACTGTTTGGTCATCATCTGTTGTTTCTTCTATTTCTCTCGTCTGAAGGTTTTTGTTGACTGGATTGAGTTTATTAGAATTCAAGTCTTTCATCATTGAACTTGAAGTCAATTCATATTGTTCTGTAGGTGTCTTTGTAACAATGGATTTTTCTGAAGCAATTGTGTCACTTTTATCCTTCAAATTTGCCTTTGTATAAATGTCATCCAAAAATGAACCATAAGAAACGGGTTCATCCATTTTATGGTCAGTTTGGAATGATGATGCTGTTGACTCAGAAATATTATGTCTGAATGGTTCTTTGTTGAAATCTGTCTGTAGTGATTTAACATTTGATTCTGTTGTCGATTCTGATTCTTGGTTTAATTTTGAATTGATATCATATGACTTATCTAAATCAGTTTCAGTTTCACTGTCAACTTTAGGTTGGTTTTTGTTTTCTTTGTAACTTTTGATGGATTTAATTGTTGATGAATTCAAATCTTCACTGTTATCCATTGTGTTTAATGTCAACATCGAAATACTTGAAGAAGATTCGGATCTTTTACGATCAGCATCTTCAAGAGTTTCTGAATCCGAAAAGAAGAAATCCAAACCTCTTCTTGATTGCATTGATTCCGCTTGTACTCTTTGATAGAACTTGATTTCCATTGGACTTGGATTGTATCTGTATGTTCTATCAACATAAACATAGTTGTCATCAAATCTTTTATCTTCTTTCTCTGAAATATAATCAGAATCAACTTTCCATTCGCTTGATTGGAATAATGGTTCTGATGTCAATGTTTCAGGAATAGAAGAAGCCATGTCAAGTTGTTTTCTTGGCTCTTTTCTTCTCTTGTATTCGGAATTGATTGATTCTGAATCAGAGAAGTCCAAAGGTTCTGTTTCTGTTTCAAGATTCCTATAATCTGAATTCAAGAACTCAGAATTAGACAAAACTAAACTCGATTCAATTCCAATTTGATTCATTTTTTCATAAATTGATGGAGCGTTTTCTGTGATTTCTGATGTTTCTTGTTCTTCGTTCTTTGAGTTAATTGTCAATGAAACAATGTCTGATTCTGATTTATCAGCATTTTCTTCGAAATAATTACGTTTCGATATCAAATCTTTGGAAATTGTTGAATCAGAAATTTCTGTGTCATCATCCTTCTTAACTTTTCTCTTTCTCATTTGACTGTTGAGTTCTTCACTGTCATCATCAAATGTTATAGAGTCTGTATCTATTGTACTTAATGCTCTTTCTTGTAGAGATTTATGGGAAACTAATGTGAACTCATTTGGATCAGATTGGTCACCTTTTTCGTTCAAAGAATTCAAAGTATCTGATTTCTCATTAGAAAGAGTGAATGTTTGTGTTGGATCCCATTGGGAATTAGTTGATTCTATTTCTATTGATGATTCTGGAGCTTCCACAGCTTTCTTCTTTGTTCTTCTCATTATAGGAGCATTTGAATCTAAACTGATACTGAAACTTTCCGTATCTCTTGAAGAAGTTTCTGAATCTTGTTCAGAAACTGTCTTCATTGAACTTTCTTTGGAAGAATTGTTATTAGATATTGAAAGGTCTCTTGATTTGGCAGCATGGTGACCTTCAGAATTCAATGTTTCCGGAACAGAACTCATAACATCTTTAACTGAAACGGATTCCCAAAGTGAATTGTCACTTTTCATCTCTGTTTCAGTGATTTCGGATTTCGATGACAAATTCTTTTTCTTTGGTTTAATTTTCTGTGATGACAATGAGTCTGTATCAATAGATATAGAATCAGAGTATTCAGATGAATATTCTCCAGTTTTAAGTGTTTCTTCGTTTGTTTCTGTTGACTTTGATTTTGATTTATCTGCTTTGTTTAATTCAGAATTAATTGTGTCAACAGTAATTGTTCCAGAAGAAATATTTTCATTCCAATTAGATGTATGTGTTGAAACATCCAATGAAGAAGTATCTGAATCCCGCTTCCTCTTCTTCTTGTGGCTTAAAGATATCATTGATGAATTAGTGAATGAAACAGATTGGCTGTCATATTCACTTGGTTGATTTGTTGACATCGAATTCGTTGCTTTTTCAGATGTCTGTGTTGATCTCACCGATTTCTGTTTATTATTAAACAGATTAGAGTTAATTGTATCATTAGTTGATGATGTATTTGTTTTCTCCGATTGTGAAGAGTCATTTTGTGTTGATATATTAATTGATGACTCATGAGAAACTCTTTTCTTTTTGTTCTTTCTCAATGAAACAATTGAAGAATTTGACATGTCAACAGAAGATGATTCATAACTATCTGTTGAATGAGTGAGCATAGAAAGAGATTTAGATTGAGAATCTTTTGTCTGTGTCTTATCATTTTTAGAGAATCTTTGAGAGTTAATTGTCATTCCTTCACTTGTAGATGATTTAGATTTTGATTCATCATCTTCAGAAATAAATGTTGACAAATCGAAATCAGAAGATTCTTCTTCTTTCTTCTTCTTTTTGTCTTTCTTTGATGACATAGAACTTTCTGATATTACCATATCCAAACTCTCATATTCACTACTCATGTTAGTTAGCATTGATTTGGAATCAGAATCACTCTTTGATTTAGAATCAGAAACATCAGATTTCATGTTATTCAAAGAATTCAAAGTTAAATCATATGATTCTGAATCAGAAAGAGAAGATTTTGAAGAAATATTTGTTGAAATATCGAATGTTTCCGTTTCTGATTTGAGTTTCTTTTTCCTTCTTTGAGAAACTAATGATTCATCGTCTTCTTCTGTTACTTCAAAAGTATTCTCTGATTGTTCATTTGTCAACAAACTGTTTATTGTTTTCTGGGAACTCATTTCTTTGTTTTGTGATTTCTCATTTAATTTGGAATTGATTGAAACATCAAATGTCAATGTAGACTTTGATTTCGTTGATCTTGTTTCATCAATATTTGTATTTAACTCTTCTTTCGTGTCAACAGTTGAATCCTTTTTGTTTTTGTTCTTGAAATGTGTTTCTAATGAATCTGTTGGTTCGTAATATGAATCAGAAGAAACAATTTTATAACTATCAAACTTGGAATTCATTGAATTTTCACCTTCTGATGAAGATTCTTGTGACAATTTCTTCGATTTCATTTCAGAATTAACAGAAATAGTGTCTTGAACAATTGAATAAGTATTCTTTTTAGTTTGTGTTGGCTCTTGTGTATCTATTGATTCCAACAATTCACTCATTAATTGCTCCATTCTTTTCTGTTTCTCTTTGAATTTGTTTGAATTCAATGATTTACTTGATTCTTCATTTAAGTCACGTTTTTGAGCATCTTTTGTAAACAAAGAATCCGAATTTTCTTCATCATTATTTTCATCATTTTCTTTTGATTTTCTGTAAATTTTTGAATTTATATCTGTGTTTTCATCATAATTGTTATATGTGGATGATTTAACAGGTGATAGTTTGATGGTTGTCAATGTTTCCGATGGTTCAGAAATTGATATTTCTGTTGTTACTTTTGTTTGTAAAGAATCTTTCTCAGAACCAGCCAAAGAATTATCTGTATTTTGTTTCTTGAAAGTATTAAATGTGTAAAGTGATGATTTCTTTGAGCTATCCTCTGTAAACACTGTTGATGACTCATGTGTTCGTTGATGTATTGAATCTGTATCTGGATTAGTTTCGAATGAAATGGAATCCAATGAATCAACATCATCTAAATCATTGTCAATGTTCATTTCACTTGTTGAAGTGAGTTTATCGTTTGTAACTAAATCTGAGTCTTCCGATGAATCTGATTCAAGTGTTTCGCCTTTTGTATGTGTTGTCTTTCCGGCCGGCGGTTTTTGTAAAGTAAACAAAGAATCATCATTTTTAGTATCTTTTGAATAGCTTGTGTTCAATAGACGTGAATTTAGTTCGCTTCCTGCATCAAAGTTGCTTTCATTTAGTTTGGAAGTTGACTTTTTATCGAGTTTTGTAAATAATGAAGACGCTTCTTCTGTTTCTGGTGACTTTTCGGATCTTACTTGTGTAGTTAGGTTCATTGTTGATTCATTTGACTTAAATGATCTGTTTTGTGGTAAAGAATGCAATGTCGAATTAGAATAATTAGATTTCGGAGAAGATTTCTCGTATTTCGTATTGATTTCGGATCCTGCATCATATGATTCCGGTAAATTAGCGTTTGGTTTAGCATTTGTGTTAATTGATGAAGTTGAAGTTTGATATGATTGGATACTTGGTCCTTGTTGTGAAGAAATGTTAATTGTATTTGTATCAGTGTATTTCTGTTTAGCTTTTAATGAATTTAGTCTTGATCTTAGCTCTGATGAAGCATCTAAATTTAAATCTCTCTGATTTTGTGGACTAGCTTTAGTTTCCAAGCTACCATCATCTATTACTGATGATTTTCGTCGATCTTGTACCGCTAGTGATTTCAAATCTGTCGTATCTTTTTCAGCTTTTGTTGAAGACGAAGGTTTTTGTTGTGATTTAAGGGAATCTGGAGAAGTACCTGGTGTTGATATATTTTTAGATCTAGTTCCTCTTGTGTTTAGTTCAGATTCTGCATCAAAATTATCTTCCCCTAATTTTGAGTCGATCAATGATCGTAATGAAGTTTTTGAATCTGGTTTTGATGTTTCTCGTGACTTTTCTAGTTTCGAAGGCAAAGTTGATTGAGTATTATTTGTATCTGTTTTTGATTTCGAAGGATTTGCTCGGGATGTTAATGTAGAGTTATAATTATCATCAGTATTTTTAGTTTTGTTACGATTAATTGATTTCAATTCTGAACTTGCTTCAAAATCGTTATCTGTAGGTTTTCTACTTCTCTTACGAGTTCTAAGAGACTGAGTTTCATTTTGTTCCGGTGTTTCTTGACCACTGTAGAAAGAAACTCGAGATTTAAGTTGAGATGTCTTCGAAGGTCGGGATTTTTGTGGTCTTAATCGTTTAGGTTCCTCTAAAATTTCATCGTTATCGAATGTCGTTGGCGGAAGATTTGGATTATCGTCGTTAAATTTTTTCGTATCTTTTTGATTATTTTTTGCCTTTTGTTTTATATTTCCGAGATATGACTTGACAAATGATTGAGTCCCCTTACTTTGCTCATCTCCCGTCATATCTAATTCCAAACCTGATGAAAGTAGTCCTTTTTCGTTTTGTAAGCTATTATGAGATGCTACACTAAGTGCTGGTTGGTAATCGTTAACAGCAACAGTAGATGATTTCGTAATATCAAATTCAAAAATATCTCTGTCCAAATTTGCATCTTCTTTAATATATTTTGGTGGAGGTGGTAATTTTTGTTTCTTAGATCTGCTAGATTTTGTTGATTTAACTGATTTCTTGTCATCATCTTCGACAAAAGAGTCAATTGAAACAAAAGGATCGTTATATTGAGAAGGTGTTTTAGAATTAGAAATAGGTCCTGTAGAAGCTTTGGACTTTCTAATTCGCTTCTTTGGCCTTAAGCTTTTCACGCTAGGAATTGAAATATTATCAATTTCTTGAGATTTTGTATATGGATTGGTGAGAGAAGTAACTGAATTTGGGGATTCCAATGGCGATTTTGAAGTTTTTTTGCTAGTTTTTGTTTTAGAATCCACTAAATCATCTGAACTAAATGATTCATCAATAGTCATCAATTGTAAATTGTTTAAATCGTTATTTTTCTGTGATTTTGATGAACTACTGCTATTTGATTCTAAAATTGGAAGTTGAAAACTCGAATCTAAATTTGATCTTTGCGAAATATTGATAGATTCTGGAATTGACACATGAGAAATGGAGGAACTTGCGCTCTCACTGTCTTTTCTATCGAAATTTGAGGCATTGGAATGAAAAACAATTGACATTTTAAACGAGAAATTTTGAACAAAAAAATTTTAAACTCTCTCTGTTATGTAAATATCCTGAAAATTTGCTAATCAAATTAACTTTGCGTACCAATCAGAAATTTCTTTGATTTTTACAAAATGACCAATTATTTCAATATAAATTATTCAAAATATTGATTAAAACAGAAGACTTGGTGAATATGTTGTCTAAAGTTTGAATTAAAGATGATATTCAAGTACCGGTTTGGATATTTATTCAAAAAAAAAGTAGAAAATTAAAATTAAACATACAAGAACTAATTTAGTAGTGTAAATGGTTTATATTCACCGAATAATTCTAGACGGCATATGTGTACAATGTTGTATGAGCTGTGGGTACATGTTGTTGATTTAATTCTAACATAGGAATAGTATTTTTTAACAGTAGTGGCTGGAACTGGAAAATATGCTTCTCTACTTTTTCCATTTAGGTCGGAATTATTATTTACTGAATCAATTGTTTCAAAAGTTAATCCATCGTCTTCAGAACCTTCAAGAGCCCAAGAACGAATATGTCCGTTGTTCTTCTCGCTAGAATACGTTTTAATAGAGTATCCTGTTACATGTAACTTTATTGTCTTAAATTTAAAGCAAATCCAAGCCCCTGGCGAATCTTTTGATATCCAACTTTCTTCTGTATTTGGTGTGATTACAAATTCTGCAAAATGCTGATAATCGCGAGCTTGAATTTCGAAATACTGATGAAAATTGTTGTGTTCTTTTTCTGCTTGAGAAAGAAGACGTTTAATAACGCCATCAAACTTATCATTGTTATAATTCACTTCAATTATTTTAAATTTATATATAATATTCTCTTTAACGTAAGCCATATGATCTGATCTTAAAAACTTTAAATATTTAGGTATTTCGGTAGGAGGATCTTCAAATTTTATGTGTAATATTAGATTGAAGGCGTAATCTCTGTAGATTTCTGTAAAGTAAAGATCTTTTGATAAGAAAACCTTTTTTTCAATGGAAAGAAGGCTGAAAACTTGGTCTATATTCGGTAAATTAAGTAATTCTTCATTTGTTAATAAATTGAGAAGATTAACACGTTCAAGATTTCCTTTTAACATGACTAGATAATTTGATGAGTATGTAGGAAGTTCGAGGTTTTTAAATAATGGTTCACGGGGATCTGTATTACCAAATTTAAATAATAAAGCTAAATAGAAATTAATATCAACTTTATCGATAATGATTGAGTCTGTTTCTGCTAATTGAAATAGCTTTTGAATTCTGTTTTTCTCTGGTTTAAAATCAAACATTGTTATTGAAAGTTCATTTGTAATTTCAAAGGTAGGAGATAAAAGCAATAACAGTCCTTTATCAACAGTTAATATTTGATTATTATATGTAAATGAGCATTTTTCTCCTCTGCCGTATAGATCAATGGCAATTCTGGCAGAGTTATCCAAAAAAAGTTCAATACTCATTTGGCACTTTTTAGAAAATAAAAATTGATACTGAACCTTATTCGAACCAAACTGGGGACTTGTATGACCTCGAACAATAGGAGGATGAAAGATGAAACTTTAGAGTATTTAGCAAAAGAAGTAAAATGTCCCATCCTAAATAGAAAATTCAAAAAAAAATCACAATTGATTCATGAATTCAAATTGAAAATGAAAAGTAAAAATAGTAAAATGTGATTAAGGGTTTTGTTTTGCGAAAAAAACGTACAATACGCAATTTCGCTAAAAAAACATTTAGCTAGCAATTTCGACCTTTGACTCAAGACGTCACTTTTTTAATTTTGCGGTATCATATTTTTGGAAAATCTTTATGAATATTATATAAAAAGTCTCTTTAATATCTATATTTCATATTTTTATCGATTTTTAAAGTTTTTGCGAAAAGTATTCAATTATTTTTGCTATTTGGTCGGGTAAATGTTAGATTTGCGACATTTTCTGATATGATATTCAGATTCTACGTTGATAATAATGCTTATAGAACCCTCTTGCTATTGTGTCAAAATTGCGAAACCGATAGCAAAAATATCTCGCAATATCAAAATTGAGATATTGAGTGAATTATGCATTATAGAGATTAAAAATCTGATTTATGAAAACATCTCATCAGTTTCTAGCTAATTCAAAAATCTTTACTATCTTATTCGATTAAAATGAAAAGGGAATAGTTTCATTATGCTTTAAATGACAGCCTTATAATATAATCATAGTTTTCGCTCAATATGCAGCATTTTTTTTTCGAAATCTATGGTCAATGTCCTAAATACTGATTGCTTTGCATTCATATCTCTTACATTTTCTATACCCACATCACTATTCATTGCTATTCCTATCTTTTTCATTTTTGTTTGTTTCTCATAATTTCTCAAAAAACATGATAACTTGATATTTGTAAATATCATACTTTATAACGTAAATAAGAACTTGACCTATTAAGAAAAGCAGTAATGAAAAGAAAATCTGAAATTCATAAAAATTACAAGTTTCTGATGACAATTAGCTTAATTAAACCAGGTACAAGATTATATAATTGTATTTTCTATCCAATTATCCATATAATATCTTATCCAGAAAAAATAACTTGATCAATACCAAATGATTTTTTAACTAGTAAATAAAGTATTTTCTTTACACACACATTGTATATCATAGTTTTTTTTGGTTTCGCAAAACATCCAAAAACAAATATGCTATAAAAGTGACAAATTTAGCAAAACGAAACCCTTAAGTTTTACAAAAATTCGAGTTTCAAACGTTGATTCATTAATTTTATCGTCTTGATTTATCTCTCAATTCAGATTTTGTTTGATGTGCAGATCATCATTCGATATGCTAAATTACTCAATAGAAATAAAATTATTGAATTTGAATATTGATTGAATTTTTGAATACGAAGAATTGAAAAATAAAAATCTGGTTTATAATATTAGTTAATGTGGCATCAAAATTATAAACTTTGTTTTATCATTCAAAATTTCATGTTAGTAAAATTAATTAGATATAATAAAAAGAGATAATGATCAATATAAAATTCAAATACATTTTCTGAATAATTGAATTTATCATATTCAATTATTCCAATGATAATTAATACCACAATCATGCCATATATCTTCTTTATCGTTTAAAATAAAATTCTTTTCAAATTCATTAATTGATATTTATCAATAGCTTACGCTATAAAGCAGACTTTATGGGGTTCTTTTATTCATTTTTCAATAAGCTATAAAACGATAGAACTTTATTAGCATTCAATTCTATTTCGCTTATAACTATTTTAAATTTGATTATTTTATCAATATACAAAATAAAATAATTCGATTTTCAAAAGCAATAATAAATTTGAAAGCTTCTATTAACCAATTTCAATTCAATAGAAATTATTGTGAAAGTTATTTTAGTTTTTATTCAAATGATCAGTCTATAATTTCATATTTTAAATCAATTTCCTTTAACTATCACATTAAGGGTTTCGTTTTGCTAAATTTGTCACTTTTATAGCATATTTGTTTTTGGATGTTTTGCGAAACCAAAAAAAAAACTATGATATACAATGTGTGTGTAAAGAAAATACTTTATTTACTAGTTAAAAAATCATTTGGTATTGATCAAGTTATTTTTTCTGGATAAGATATTATATGGATAATTGGATAGAAAATACAATTATATAATCTTGTACCTGGTTTAATTAAGCTAATTGTCATCAGAAACTTGTAATTTTTATGAATTTCAGATTTTCTTTTCATTACTGCTTTTCTTAATAGGTCAAGTTCTTATTTACGTTATAAAGTATGATATTTACAAATATCAAGTTATCATGTTTTTTGAGAAATTATGAGAAACAAACAAAAATGAAAAAGATAGGAATAGCAATGAATAGTGATGTGGGTATAGAAAATGTAAGAGATATGAATGCAAAGCAATCAGTATTTAGGACATTGACCATAGATTTCGAAAAAAAAATGCTGCATATTGAGCGAAAACTATGATTATATTATAAGGCTGTCATTTAAAGCATAATGAAACTATTCCCTTTTCATTTTAATCGAATAAGATAGTAAAGATTTTTGAATTAGCTAGAAACTGATGAGATGTTTTCATAAATCAGATTTTTAATCTCTATAATGCATAATTCACTCAATATCTCAATTTTGATATTGCGAGATATTTTTGCTATCGGTTTCGCAATTTTGACACAATAGCAAGAGGGTTCTATAAGCATTATTATCAACGTAGAATCTGAATATCATATCAGAAAATGTCGCAAATCTAACATTTACCCGACCAAATAGCAAAAATAATTGAATACTTTTCGCAAAAACTTTAAAAATCGATAAAAATATGAAATATAGATATTAAAGAGACTTTTTATATAATATTCATAAAGATTTTCCAAAAATATGATACCGCAAAATTAAAAAAGTGACGTCTTGAGTCAAAGGTCGAAATTGCTAGCTAAATGTTTTTTTAGCGAAATTGCGTATTGTACGTTTTTTCGCAAAACGAAACCCTTAGTAAAACATCTTTATTTCATATGCACGCAAAAATGTATCATTTTTATAAATTTCAATAACGATTTTTAGAGATTATTTTTTCAAAATGACTGAGCAATTTATCCCACCAGGTTTTATATTTCTTAAAAACCTAAACAGTGGATTTCTCGGCCCAAGTTATTTGTTGAAAAAAGAGGATACCGGTGTTAACTTTATTTGCAAAAGCTTTCTCAAATCATCAATTGGAGATGAAGCAGATGTTGATAATTTCATTCAAATTATTCGAATGACAAGAAAGGTTAAAGAATCCTGCTTCCTTCCTTATCATTATTACTACGATGAAGAAAAATACATTTATGCCTTGCGTCCATTTTTCGAGGGACTCGATCTCGCATCATATATCACAAACTGTTCGACTAATATCAACGTTGCTACTGCTCAATGGAAAGTTCTTGTTCGTCTTTATCGGCATTTACATAAAAGAAAAATTACACCTATATTCATTAAACCGAGTAACGTTTTCATGGAAAACGGAACTATTGCATTCATTACAGATATTTACCCGCCACCACGTCAATTCAATGCTACATTGCATCGCACAAATCCACTCGAAGTTGGTTTTTTAGCTCCAGAATATCTTAGTGAAGGGATGTTTCCTGGTCAAAAGTCAGATATGTGGAGTCTTGGTGTTCTCTTGTGGTTTATGGTTACAAAGCAACTTCCTTGGAGTATGAATAATGTTGTGGTCATGCTAAAAACAATTCAAACTGGAGGACCAATCAACTTTGGTATTTTACCTCCAGAAATTCGCGATATTGCTGCATCTTTGCTTGTTTTATCACCCGAGAAAAGGATTGACACCGAACAAATAGTTCACAATCGTGCAAATACCTTGGTAAGTACTCACTCATGTGAGGACCATCGTACTCCTATGAAAACAATTATAGATTCAATTGTCAAACCGTTGAGAACAAATACTCCTTCTCCAAGACTTGCTAATTTAGTTAATGTTAGACGCAGGGCTCCATCAGATGCTGCCGCAATTCCGCCACGAAGAATGTCTACATCCGAGAACCCTTTAACAATGCTTCCTCCATTGCTTGGAGAAAAGAAGCCTAATCCTTTGGCTGGTTTGTTGCCTTCTAATATGGTTAGAGTTGCAGGACAAGGAAATAGAAGAGGTTCGTTCCATCAATTGATGAAAGTTAATTTTTAAATTGTTTATTTTGTTTGTAATATACTCTATCGAATTACATAAACGTATGTATACTTTGTTTGATACTAACTGATCGGATTTGTTTTTAACTCTTTACCTGCATTAACGATTAATTTTTAAAAAAGATGAGTAATAATGATAAACAAGAACTAATTAATATAAAAATCATATGACTCTTGTTTGTCATTTACAATCATATGATGCTTGTCCAATAATTTATATTTTCTTGTTTAAAACAATCAATTGATCCATATCAATTATTGAATGAACTAAGCAAACCATGATTTTCTCACGAATTTGCGATGATATTTGTTATGCAAATGTAAATTATATGTTTGGATAGAAAATAAAATTCGGGTTTTTTGTTGAATTTTATTTAATTTAGCTGGAAATTAATTCTTGTCCACTAAAGAAAGTATTACCCTTATTAAATAATGAGGATTTAAAAATTTAATAAAAAAAATAAACGAAAAACTTGTATAACTATGATAAAAAGTGAAATATTCATCCTAAATTAAACTAATAGATGAAATCAAATTACTAAAGATGCTCATATTTTTATTGATAATTAAATGTACAAGGTTTTATTCATATTCATTTTATTTTTCCAAATATATTCAAAACAATATTGTGATAAATATCACATTCTCAGCTTATGTGATGAATGTTATGTGATATTATAAAACATTTTCCTTGTTTTAACTATTTAAATTGATTATATTTTTGAATTCTGATTCAAATCTAATATTAAAATTACATTCTATGCATTGCTGTCTTCACACCTAATAATTATTTTACGATTAACATACTTTTCACTATTCAAACATTCATAATGATTGATAGACATATTAATATTTGAACGATTCATCTATTGTAATTGCCTATCATTAAATATATAGCAATTTCAATAAACAAACATTATTCATATTTAATTCAAAAACAAACATAATAAAATTATATTTTGATTTGTCTTTTGATGGCTGAGAGATCATTCAATGCAGTTTCAACTACTTCGGACTTGCCAAATTTGATAACAAAGGAATTATTCTCGTCAATCTTAATTCTGCATATTTTAATTCCAATGTTATTGTATCCAGCAATTTTTGCATTGAAGAATCTAACAAAGCTAATGACCTTTGGTTCCTTAAACTCAATCCTGATTTTTGGACAAATATCGGATTTCAGAACTTCCATCATGAAAGGATTGGAAAATTCACCTGTTTTTTCATCACGATTTACAAGTGTAAGTGGATTTGTAAAGTTAATAGTACCTTCTAAATATATTTCACTTATATCTGATGGTGGAATGAGCTCTAAATTCTTGTCGAATAATTCGATGCCGTTCAAACCGAACATTTTATCCGCGCCGTAGTTTTTTAAGAATTCAAAAACAATTGAATCGTGCTTGATCAATGGAACAGCTCCATACTTGTCTATAACGGGCGTCCTATAATAATCAATGAAGACCTGAGATATTTGAAGCTTTGATCTTAAGCTCATTGGTCTGTAATGGATAAGAGAAACTTCCGTTCCATAGTCTTGAGGAACTTCTCCTTGTACAATCTCGGTATAACCCAAAGAAATCTTAAATCTCTTCACTGATGATGCGGATGTGGATGGAGAGTTCCAAACGCGACAAAACCTTGGCTCTGCAAATGGTGTGAAGTAAAAAGTCAGAATTAGATTCTCATACTTTTTTTCACCATAAGTGTACTTTAGACCGTTAATTGATTGCGTTTTGATTAAAGTATTATCTGATACTTTATTGAGCATATCCTGATCAATTGGATAGTTTGACTTTATGAGCATTGGCTGAATTCTAAATCTTTGCTCATCTAAAAACCACACAGATGAGCAGCTGATTTCTGAAGTAGAGCTCCATGACTGAAGAAACTCTACATTGTACACAATTGGCTCGATTTTAAACTGCTCACTTGAAATAAGATTGCGAGTTAATTTGGAAGGAGTATAAGAGAAGGTGGAAATACGATCCTTATGAAGAGGGAATCCAGTTATGTTCTTGGAAGAATTATATCTTATAATTTTTCGAGGTTTGGGCGATGAAAGTACATAAGATGATCTCATTGTAAAATTTTTTGATAATTTTTTGCTTTGATTTCAATTTGAGAGCATTCAAATCATTAACTGAACAAAAATACCAAATAAACTGATGACATGCAACAAAATAGGATTTTGAAATTTAGATAAGATTTTTTTTGAAAAGTGTGTCAAATTCAGAAGAAAAATTGAATAGTAAATAGATACATTCAATTAATACTTCAAATGGATTTACAAGAGAATTAATAAATATATTACATTTCAAAATGAAAGTAAAATTGAAAAGAAAAGTGAATTTTTACCTCAACTTGCTTAATTCCATTTTAAAACCAAATTCTAAATGTTGACCAACATAAATTTTTCAGATCTTTGAAACTAATATAAAATCCATATCAATTTTTGAATGATGTCAAGAGAGAATAATTGTATAGAGCACGTTTATCCTGATGAGTATTTTAGGAAGCTGTTCGAATGCTTATGGCGTTTATTTTTTCCGATAATTTTTTTTTTGACATTCTTATTTTTATTATACAGTGGTCAAAGTAAAATACAATTTTATTATGTTAAATTTTTTGAATACATTCAAAAAATAATCTCAACTTTTGACACCAATTATCATATTTTCCTGTTTTTTTTTTATTATTTTTGCATTAGGCTAATTCAGATTTCTTCATCTCCCGCTTTTTTGACATTCCTTTTCAAATCGATGAAAAGCTATGAGCTTTTTCTTCATAATTTCTGCGCGACGTTTATAACGTAACCTCATAATTTGTCATCAACATGCTTTGCTGTATGACATTAAAACATTTTTGTTATCAGTTCTTGTATCATTTTAGCTTAATTATGAATTCGGCTGATTTTATTGCGGCATTCAATTTTTCTTGCTAATGATGTTCTACTATCTATCAGTTCTTTAATGATATTAACATCCTCAATATATTTTATGCTCAAACAACATTTAGCTCTAATAGAGTGCGGGACAAATTTGCCAACTGTCACTTTTTCAATAACCTTAAATTACGCTTTTCTAGTTTTTTAAAATAACCTTAAATTATATTTGAAGAAATTATGTCTATGATATATGTTTTATGCTAGAATCTTGGAGTTTTCATGCACTACACAAGAGCTCCAAAGTTCCAAGAGTGAATGCTCAATAGCAATTATAGAGATGTACCTTTTCAAAATGACTTTTACTGATTAAATTTAATCAATAGAAGACATTTTGAAAAGGTACCTCTACAATTAGATATACAAGAGATTCAAAGCTTCATTTCGGATAGATTTGAAACTTTGAAACTCTTGGTAGATTTTGAGTGAATGCTGACAATCATCATCTTGAGAAGGTTTTCTTTAAGAAAACCTTCTCAAAGAGGTTTCTCAGGAGCCCTGAGGCTCCCTTTCGTAATGATTGGGAGCCTTGGGGCTCCTGAGACGAAGAATGGCTTCGCCGAATCTTTGATCAGCAGAGGCCAAATGAAAAGGCCTCTGCTGATGGATTCTCAGGAGCCCTGAGGCTCCCTTTCGTAATGATTGGGAGCCTTGGGGCTCCTGAGACGAAGAATGGCTTCGCCGAATCTTTGATCAGCAGAGGCCAAATGAAAAGGCCTCTGCTGATGGATTCTCAGGAGCCCTGAGGCTCCCTTTCGTAATGATTGCCTTGGGGCTCCTGAGACGAAGAATGGCTTCGCCGAATCTTTGATCAGCAGAGGCCAAATGAAAAGGCCTCTGCTGATGGATTCTCAGGAGCCCTGAGGCTCCCTTTCGTAATGATTGGGAGCCTTGGGGCTCCTGAGACGAAGAATGGCTTCGCCGAATCTTTGATCAGCAGAGGCCAAATGAAAAGGCCTCTGCTGATGGATTCTCAGGAGCCCTGAGGCTCCCTTTCGTAATGATTGGGAGCCTTGGGGCTCCTGAGACGAAGAATGGCTTCGCCGAATCTTTGATCAGCAGAGGCCAAATGAAAAGGCCTCTGCTGATGGATTCTCAGGAGCCCTGAGGCTCCCTTTCGTAATGATTGGGAGCCTTGGGGCTCCTGAGACGAAGAATGGCTTCGCCGAATCTTTGATCAGCAGAGGCCAAATGAAAAGGCCTCTGCTGATGGATTCTCAGGAGCCCTGAGGCTCCCTTTCGTAATGATTGGGAGCCTTGGGGCTCCTGAGACGAAGAATGGCTTCGCCGAATCTTTGATCAGCAGAGGCCAAATGAAAAGGCCTCTGCTGATGGATTCTCAGGAGCCCTGAGGCTCCCTTTCGTAATGATTGGGAGCCTTGGGGCTCCTGCAGCAGAGTATCGCTCCGCTCAATTAATTTTTTTTTAAAAAAGTGTCGTGTGGCAAATTTGTCCTGTTCCCAGCTCTAATATAAATCAATAAGTATCAAACATGATTATTGTTATTCAAAATGACCTTAAAATGCAATGATGACTTAATATTTATATTAAGTTAATCAAAATTATTCAATCAAAATTATGTGTTCAAATTATAGCCGACTATCTATAGTTTTTTTTAATATCTTATACCAAAAGTGCCAAGAATTTTTTTTTCGTCCAAGGTTTTTTTTTTGAACAAATGTGGCTGTCAGGAAAATACTCATCTTGTAACATTCAAATGTTGATAAGATATTTGATATTTGAGGATTTTTTCCTTGAATTTAGAATTATTTTGAAATTAGTTTTTTCACCTAGTTTAATTTAAAAACAAAGAGAACTTCCATACCAAATTGCTAATTGTGGATTGTGTTTGTTCAATTTTCATGTCAAATTAAATTTTTTAAAAAGAATTAAATTAAATTTACATAGCTAGATTACAAACAGTTTATTTTTCTATGAAAATATCTAGAATAAAGCAAGTAGAAAAATCCTACCAAGAGTGGCGAATGTAGCAAGCGTGAATTTGCGAATGCTTTCAGCAAAAATCGGTCTTCTCTTCTTCATGTAATAGTATATGAGGACTCCTGAAATCGGACATACAACAATTGATCCATATAGAAGAAGATCTTTTAGTGTTCTTTTCTCATTTTCTGCTTGAGAATTGTTGGAGCAATTTGAATCATTTGTCACTTGGTTATGAATTAAATGAATGGGCATTCCTGGAGGAAGTGGATTAGTGAGCTCAACTTCTTTACCATCTTTAAGAAGATATTTATACTTGAAAGATGTACTTTGTGATCCGTATGTATATGAAAAGTGACGTTTTTTCATAATCCTCTGGACAAAGTAGATTTTTACTTGAAAAATTTTGCGCGAACGCGGAGCGAAGGCTCGAGCGAAGCGAGAGGTCTGAGCTCCGCGTTCGCATATGAACATTCAAAAAAAGCGCGTAGATTCCAAATATGTCCTATTTTTTTCTTCCTCTTCTCTTTCTTCTTTCCCTTTTTCTCTTCTCTTTCTTCTTTCCTTTTTTTTCCTTTCTTATTTCTATTTAATTTTGAAAAAATTATTTAAAATTCAGAAAGTATTGCACTAATGTTTGATATATTAGAACTATTTGAACGTTTTTATTTGGAATATATAAAATAAACATAAAATTTTTAAAAAATTAAGAAATAAATTTTTATTCAAACAATAAAATGATAAGGAAGAGAAAACTAGAGCCTAAGAGAAATGAAATCAGGTTAGAGGTTTGATGAATGAGAGAAAGCTGAGACTTATGAGGAGAGCTTGATGGAAACTGAGGAGATTTGAGAAGTAATGAGTGGATTGGAGGATATCTGAGTGGTATTGAGGAGATCTGAGTAGAATGGAGGATATCTGAGGAGATCTGTGTAGAATGGAGGAGATCTGAGGAGATCTGTGTAGAATGGAGGAGATCTGATGGAATTTGGCTAGTGATGAGGAGAGTGGAGGAGTAGTGAGGGGAGTTTAATGGAAAGTGGTGAGTAAAGTCTATCATACTCAAGGTGTTCTTATGGTCCAACTGTGTTGTTTGATCCGGCTTCTTTAAATGATATAATATAATTGAAAATTGATGGGTCTAAGCGGTTAGACCCATCAAAATGAGCATCCCTAAGGCTTGCTATACTTGTAGAATGTAAACGAGGAATTCGAGTACGAATCCCTCGGATACTTCTACAAGTATGGCATAACCGACGCTAAAATAACGCTTCACACGGGCCATAGAAGGGTCTATTTTGCTTAGAAGGTAGATTGTAAGTTATAGAAAATCTAGACAATTGAGTATGAATTGAGAAAAAGATGTCTCAAACCACCGACAATATTGAGAAAAATGTTTTTTATCCAAGACAGTTGATAATAAATTGTCTTTTATCCAAGACATTTGAGAGAAAACTGTCATTTATCCAAGACAATTGAATAGATTTTGTCCGAATGTGAACTGAACGTTTTTGATTTTTTTATAAAAAAAAATACAAAATAACGTATAAATTTTACGGGATTGAATATATTATAATATGAGATATTTAAAAGGGGTATTAATAATAAATAATAATGGTGCATTTAAAAATTTAAAATCGTTAATTTTTAGTTGACAACCGCTCAAAACTTTACAAAAATCCAAAAAAAATTTAAAATCAAAAATAGAAGACAAAAAACCTAAACTTCATGACAGTATCGTCAGACAGTGTCTAATGCATAGTGATAGGGATGCGTTAAACACGCCATTTGACCGGGCGTACATTTTTTTTGTTCGCCCAAAAATTTCGCCATTTGAGAAATTCAAAAATTAAAAATAAAATTTTAATCTTGATTTTTTTATTTTCGTGATTTTTTTGAAACTTACATAAGCGATGAAATACTTTTTTTTAAGTAATCGTTTATTATATATAAATATATCTTAATAAATTTAATTCCTTAAGGTAGAGCGTGTTCAAATTTAAAATCTCATACAATATTTTCTTAATGTCGTATTTTTCTGAGGTCGCCCAAATAAAGGCGAATTCAAAATTGAGAACTCCAAGGCGTATGGCGAGTATTCAAAAAGTACGCCACTTACAAAATATTGAATGTGGATTATCAATTTTTTGGCGTGTTCAATTTCAAATTTTGATATTTATGTTTATTTTACTCAATATAATGCTAAGAATTAAAATATAAAATTCATAGAATTTTTTCTTTGAAAATATTTTACATTTTTATTAGACCACTCCTAGACTAGTCATCAGGTTATCCTCAGATCATCCTCAGACTACTCCTTATCAGATTACTCATCATCCTCAGACTACTCCTTAGACCCCTCCTCATCAGACTACTCCTCAGATCTTCCTCATAAGACTCCTCCTCAGATCTTCCTCCTGAGACTACTCTTCAGACTACTCCTTAGAGTCCTCCTCATCAGACTAGTCCTGAGACTAGTCCTCAGACTACTCCTGAAACTACTCCTCAGATTATCCTCAGACTCCTCCTCAGATTATCCTCAGACTCCTCCTCAGATTATCCTCAAACTCCTCCTCAGATTATCCTCAGACTACTCCTGAAACTACTCCTCAGATTATCCTCAGACTCCTCCTCAGATTATCCTCAAACTCCTCAGACTACTCCTCAACCTCCTCAGATTATCCTCAAACTACTCCTCAGTCTAATCCTCAGACTCCTCCTCAGATTATCCTCAAACTCCTCCTCAGATTATCCTCAAACTCCTCAGACTACTCCTCGGTCTAATCCTCAGACTCCTCCTCAGATTATCCTCAAACTCCTCAGACTACTCCTCAACCTCCTCAGATTATCCTCAAACTCCTCAGATTATCCTCAAACTCCTCCTCAGATTATCCTCAAACTCCTCAGACTACTCCTCGGTCTAATCCTCAGACTCCTCCTCAGATTATCCTCAAACTCCTCAGACTACTCCTCAACCTCCTCAGATTATCCTCAAACTCCTCAGATTATCCTCAAACTCCTCAGTCTAATCCTCAAACTCCTCCTCAGATTATCCTCAAACTTCTCAGACTACTCCTCGGTCTAATCCTCAGATTCCTCCTCAGATTATCCTCAAACTACTCCTCAGTCTAATCCTCAGACTCCTCCTCAGATTATCCTCAAACTCCTCCTCAAACTCCTCCTCAGATTATCCTCAAACTCCTCAGACTACTCCTCGGTCTAATCCTCAGACTCCTCCTCAGATTATCCTCAAACTCCTCAGACTACTCCTCAACCTCCTCAGATTATCCTCAAACTCCTCAGATTATCCTCAAACTCCTCAGACTACTCCTCAAACTCCTCCTCAGATTATCCTCAAACTCCTCAGACTACTCCTCGGTCTAATCCTCAGACTCCTCCTCAGATTATCCTCAAACTCCTCAGACTACTCCTCAACCTCCTCAGATTATCCTCAAACTCCTCAGACTACTCCTCAAACTCCTCAGACTACTCCTCAAACTCCTCAGACTACTCCTCAAACTCCTCAGACTACTCCTCAAACTCCTCAGACTACTCCTCAAACTCCTCAGACTACTCCTCAAACTCCTCAGATTATCCTCAAACTCCTCAAACTACTCCTCAAACTCCTCCTCAGATTATCCTCAAACTCCTCAGACTACTCCTCGGTCTAATCCTCAGACTCCTCCTCAGATTATCCTCAAACTCCTCAGACTACTCCTCGGTCTAATCCTCAGACTCCTCCTCAGATTATCCTCAAACTCCTCAGACTACTCCTCAAACTCCTCAGATTATCCTCAAACTCCTCAGACTACTCCTCAAACTCCTCAGACTACTCCTCAAACTCCTCAGACTACTCCTCAAACTCCTCAGACTACTCCTCAAACTCCTCAGATTATCCTCAAACTCCTCAGATTATCCTCAAACTCCTCAGACTACTCCTCAAACTCCTCAAATTATCCTCAGACAACTCCTGAAACTACTCCTCAGACAACTCCTCAGATTATCCTCAAACTCCTCAGATTATCCTCAAACTCCTCAGACTACTCCTCAAACTCCTCAGACTACTCCTCAAACTCCTCAGATTATCATCAAACTCCTCAAACTACTCCTCGGTCTAATCCTCAGACTCCTCCTCAGATTATCACTTTACATATATATATATCGATAACTAAATAATTACTTATTATACTTTCTTTATTTTTTTTTAATTTTAAAATAATATTAATATATCTTTCTACGTTTAATGATGAAAAGAGAAAGAGGAGTAAAAAGAGGAAAGAGAAAAGAAAGAGAGAGAGAGAGAGAAAGAAAAAAAAAGGACGGCGATAATTTTGTATTGTTTTGTTATTCGGCCGAATGGCGGCTACTTCGTACCCGCCATTCGGCCCCAAAAATGGCGTATTATTCTATTTTTAAACGGTCATGGCGTAAAACCGTCGCATCCCTACATAGTGATCCGTCTGTAACATTGACTTGCAATGATTCAGTTAATGTCATTGGTAGAGGAATGATATAATTGCATTCAATGCATGTTTGTGCTGTAAATTCTTCGTATGGATTTATATCACTTAAATGTTCATATTCAGTGAACAATGCATATGGGATGCTTGCGAACATCTGATTTCTAATAATGTTCTTTAATAAATGAAATAATGTAATTTAAAATTTTCAGACTTCTATCGTTTTCAATTTTTTTTGTTAAATTTCTTTTGAAATTTGAAGGAAATAGAACACAGATCAATAATTTTCATTCTCAGAGTATATTTATCAGTCAAAATCAATTTTTAAAAACAATAACACTTTTATTGAATTGAATATGAATTCAATTTGATTTTTTCTGTCTCTTGAAGAATTTTCAAAAGATGATTAAAAACTGATGAATAACATTTAATGCATATCGTATTTTTTCTGATGATTTCAAATTTAATTGAATGAAAATTTTTCCCAACCGAAAAAATTTGGAAATTAGAACCATATTTGTCCAAAGTTTCATTAATGAACTAAAGTAGAGATAAAAGCTGTTTCATTAAATATAAATCCATTTTTAACAAAATAAAATTATTGATTTTTTTAAGGGTGCACTACAAGGATTAGAAAGTTCTCAAAAAATTCATAGAGCTCTATCAATCCTCTTATCCTCCAAAATAATAAAACCCCTTATTTCACTTCATTGTAATAAAATTATTTTAATTTTGATTTAAGATATAGATTTAATTAAGGCATTCTCATTACATATATAACTTTGGGCTTCAAATTTTTATTATTGGCCGAGTTTGAAAAAATCATGAAAAAATCAACTTTTTATAATTTAACTTGAGGAAAAAAATTTCAGCATTTTTTGATCGATGAAGGTATTTTTTCTTCTCATCAATACATTGGTACATATATACCCTTGCTACTTATCTTATTTATTTTTAAAAAAACTCATTTTTCAAAGAGTTGAAAAAGAGGTCCAAAAAACAAAGTCCAGCACTCCAAGGATAAAAATTCTTCAAAAATTGAAATTAGAACATAAAAATCATAACATAAGTTCTTCATGATATCAGTATTATATATTTTGTGTTATTTTTGATATATCTTAACTGGCTTATGAATTATTCTTAAAAAAATTTAAAAAGCTTCTAAATATCATATATTAAAATACCAATAGTGAGAGATATAAATTACATCATAATGTTATGAAAAATTACTTAATAAATATTATGAAAAATTTGAAAAATGAAAGGAAAGCATATAATATATCAAATATAAAAAAAAAAAAAAAAAAAAAAGGTAGTGGGGCCTCCAGGCACTTCGTGCCCTCTAGCCCCGAAGATGTTAGTATAAAATGAGTTTAGTATAAAATGAGGTTTTTTGGGTAAGGGGGCCTTCCAGGCACTTCGTGCCTTCTAGCCCCTAAAATTTTTGTAGAGAACTCAAAATAGTATAACTATGTCCGGACAAGTAAGGGTCTATCGTCGCTACAGAAAAGTTACGGGCGTTCCAAGGAAGTATACTTTGAGAGACTCTTTAGAAACTTTAGACGTTGTACATAACCATCCATGTTTTTACTTTACATCCGATAAAAGTGGTTTGGAAACCGTTATGAGATGGTTAGAGGATATACATGACTATGAGTTTTAGATAGAATATGAGAGAGGTCCTATAAACCGGAGAAAGTGTCATATAAACATCTGTCAAAAACCGCTTTTTAACTTCACTTAAAATGCCACGTAAGCTACGTAAGAATATACGTAAGAGGAAGAGAGCATTGAAACATCCAATAGTAAGACTGACACCACAACAACAGTTGCAACAACAAATGCTGAATGACCCCACTATGTTGCAACAAATGTCAAGCAACCCTATGCTTTTAAACCGAGTTATTGGTGCACAGAGTGGAGGTTTAAGAGCGGCACTTTTAGCGAAAATGGCAGGCTATGGTGGAGCTGCAGACGGAACAGCCTATAACCCTCAAAGTCAAATGAATTTGAGTTCACTCAAAAATCAAATAACAGATGTCAAAAAGTCAAACATAGACATACAGAAGCAAATAAGTGAAAACGAAAAGAAACTAGAATATGACAGACACACAAAGAAACTCAATGAGTTAAACGTAGAGAAAAAGAAGAAAGAAGAACAACTGAAAGAACTAAGTACAGAGCAATATGCGAAAAAAGTGTCAGAAAAAGCAGCAGAAGTAGCAAAAATGGAACAAGATGTCATAAATTTGAAAAACCATACTACTCAATATAAAGTACTGAAAGATGAAGAAATAAAACAAAAAGCCCTGAAGACATATATGGATAGCGATGAGTATAAAAAGAAGTTGAAGCAAATGTAAAGGCAGAAAAACTTTTACAGTTGCAAAACCAAACCGTACAGTATGAAAACTTAGCACAAGAAAGTAAAAATAACGACGCAGCCATGCAAAAGGCAATGAAAAGCGCAGAATATATAAAAGCTAACAATGACTGGTTAGATGCCCAAGCCAACGCTAAAGCAGCCCAACTTATAGGGTCAATAAGGACAAAAATACAAGCGGATGAAGACAGTTCAAATGAAGCTTTAATGAATGCTGACTTTAAGAACGCCTTCGAAGCTCTTCATAGTAAGGTGAAACAAGTGAACGACTTCTCATCTGGAAAGAAACTGAAGTCTGAAGGTTTCGACAAAGAGTTAAAAGAAGTAGCACAAAATATGACGAAAATAACAGATGCAGCAACGAGACAGGCAGTTCAAAGTGCCTATGACGCCGTTAGAGCAACTGTTGTGGAAAGTCAAGAAAAAGAGTTACAACAGACCAAAACAGACCTAGTAAATGCTTTCTTAAGAACGAAAAGTCAGGTAGGACATTACGCTGCAGATGGAACATATGTGCCAGCTGGTGGAACTTATATACCAGCTGGCGGAACTTATATACTAGCTAGTGGAACTTATATACCACCAAACCCTCCAAGAGAAGCACCTGCACCAGGACTACCTAAAACATTTACATCGTCACATGGACACAGACATAGGCATGCACCAAAACCAACACAACAACCAACACAACAACCAACACAACAACCAACACAACAACCAACACAACAACCAACACAACAACCAACACAACAACCAGCACAACAACCACCTCCACAACAACAACAACCAGCACAACAACAACCACAAACAGAGCAAGGACATAAAAGAAGTAGAGAACAAGGAAACCAAGAATTCTTAAAAATGCTGAAGGAAGAGTATAGTTACCCAGATACTATTGACTTTAGTGACAGATATAAAGAAGCTATTAGAAAGTTCAAGGATGGAAATACTGACCCGAACCTATTTAGCTTTATGGCTCAGCACCAAATGGGATATAATCTCAAACCTGGAAAATACAAGCTCGCTAAGGGATATGATTTAATAGCATATCATCCAAATGACATGAACGAATTTACTCCGAGATATTTGGTGTCAGAGCTAAATGACAATACAACTCTCTTCATGAAACGCGTAAAAAATAGAGACGGAACGAAAGAAGAAAGGTTTATGAGTCCGGATGACTTAGATAGGGAACTTGTTGAAAACGGTCTCGGAATATATGAAATGCCAGCAGATGAGGTACAAGAAACTCAACAGGAAGAAGTTCAGATACAACCAGACATGGAAGAAATAGTTCAGCAACAACAGCTAGAAGAGCCTGAAGGAAACGAACAAGTCCCTCCTTTGGAAACTAACCTCACAGAACTAGATGAAGATTTGGAACAGCCGAAAAATCTTGACCCTCAACAAGTGTATGCGGAGAATATGGAATCTTTCCAAGAGTCTAAAAAAAATTCGGCTGACATAGTAGAAGAATATCGAAAAATGTTTGCCGACATACAAAAGACTCCAACACCAGATGAAAATATTCAGCATAGAATGGAAGTACTGAAAGAAAATGTACACAAATACAACAACCCTTTTTACTTACGAGCATTTAACGTTCAATCTTTGGATGAACTCGGTGAAAATAAAAGGTTAAATTTCAAGAAAACATATAAAAATGAAACATTGTTTAAAGTTCATTCAGAACCTAGCCAAGATGGAAACAGACCTACTTTTGTTTCTGCAGACTATGGAACTACAATGAGATGGGGTCATAAAGCTAATCCGGATAGGTGGTTCATAAACTTACAACCTCAATTCCAAGAAGTTGTAGACGCAATGGAAGTGAATGGTGAACCAGATATAGCTGGTATTTTAAGCGCGGCTTTAATGCCATTGAAAGATATGAAAGATGCAGATATTTTGGACCAGTATGAAATGAACATGGCTGATGGAAATATAACACCTGACGTTCTAGAACATTTATCTCAAAGAACTACACAGAACCATAAAGATGGTATATTTGGTGAAGAGTTTAGAAAGAGAGTTAGGGACAGAGAAGGAAGAGAACCTATTGTACATGACCTTGCAAACGAAAGTTTGCAAAATGTCATAAAAACTTACTTTTCAGACAATGAATCGAGAATGGATGAATATTTAAGAAAACTCAAATGGATAGTACCAAATGAAATGTTAGTATTGAAAAACATGTTCCATGACAAAATAAAACCAACTACAGAAATAAATGACGCAAGACTGAAAGATTGGGTAGAAGCCTTCCCATTCACAAAAGATATTGTTGGTAACATGGAAAGAAAACCAGAATGGCTACAAAAACATATATTTGGAAACGAGCTTATTCCATATGGACAGGCACTGTTTGAAGAGCTTGAACCGGAAACTCAGGAAAGAGTCATGCAAACAATAAGCGAAGACTCAAATACAAACTATGACAAAATCTTTCTAGGATATAGGTTACCTGAGATGGGCGACCAGAGCCCAAAGGCAAAAAGGACATGGGAAATTTACAACATACTAGGTGAACATGAGGCAAAGATGCAACAACTTGAAGCAGAGGGCAAGTTACCAAAAGTTGCACCAAAGAAGAAGAGAAGAGTTGGAGAAAGTAGTGAAGAAGTAACTTCATCTAGTGAAAGTAGTGGCAATGAAGGAAAAAGAAGAGTTAAACACTCAGTCAGGAAGAAAGTAAAGCTTGGTCCACGTGGGTTCTATTATGACATATAAATCCAACTATTCTATATTTTTACCCATATGAAATGTACGCCGCTCAGAATATAACGCCAACAGTTTTGGATGCCATGAATGGAAATGTTTCCGAATGGTATAACGAATGCGACAATGCCATTAGAAGGTCAGAAATAGTTCCTGGAACTTACGAATATACAACTGCTGTTTCTTATGGAAACGTAGGTGAGTTTGGAGAAGGTTCTTCAACAACAGTAGATATTGCTTGCGACAGGTTTCATATTATTTCTATTGACAACTCTTTCTTATACGTGGAACAAGACATTGAAATAAAACCTTCTGCCAAGTTGTCTGACAAGAAAGGTTGCAATGGAATTTTCTATGTCGGATACCAATATGCTCCAGAAGTTTTCATGGGATATAAGATATATTCTAACTCTGACTTAGTTCAAACAGTAACATGGGCAAACTATGAATGGTTCGCTTTAAGAAACTCAGTACAACCACAAGCTAGAGAACAAACAGACCAGTATGCCACCATTGAGAAAATAAGAAGACTTGACCCTAACGTTCCAGGAGTTTATGTTAACCTTTCTGGACAAACTGCAGCAGCAGTAACCAAAGTAAAATTGAAACTTAGAGTTCCTTTGTCATCTTTCCTCATCTTCAGGTTTTTAAGATACTTGCCAAACTGGGCAGGAAAATTTCTATCGAACTTACTCCAAGCAAAAATAACTTAGTCATTGCACCAACACAAGACCCATTCACTCTTACAGACGTAAAGGGAGCAAATCAAACGTCATTCGCCGAATTTTGCAAAGATAAGGTTGACTTAGACTTTGGTTTCTCAAACTTCAACACTGAAGTAAACTATTATTTCAATGCTGCTGGAACTGCTTGGGACCCAGTTAAGTTCACATGCGAAAAGTTTGAATGCAAGAGAATAGAAAGCAGACTTGCAGTCTATATGTTGGACCCAGATATTTCAAATGCTTTAGCTGCCAAATATATTGCAGTTCCACTTATGTTCCCTATACACCAAATATCTGTCAAAGACTTTGCAGGTGAAGTTGGAAACCAAAGTGCTGACCCAGGTGCAAGAACAGATATTGCTTTAACAACTGCAATGAAACATGCAGATACTATGTTTGTACTGTTCAGACGAACTATAAATGACTATTCTTGTTTCTACAACCCTGGTATTAAATATCATATAAACATAGATGGCAAATATTATCCAAGAGAAGAATATTCTACAGTTGAGGATATGAGGTCATACAACTTGACATTAGATGCTATGAACTTTAACAACAACTTCACAACAACCATTAACCCTGAAATGCAAAGTTCTATTATGCCATATGTGAAAGTATGGACTCATACAGGAGGTCAAAAAACTCAATATCAAATGGAGACCGTTCAAACTTTTGGCTTGGCATTCCATTTGCTGACTCAGAAGACTTTATGGGTGGTATTTCAACTGTTGTACAGTTCAAATACAATATACTGGTGACAGAGACGGTCCAGATGAATTGAAAGCAAAGAAGTTTACAAAACCAATAGCACTTTTCACGGAAGATGCTCTTTTGAAGATTCGTTCGATGAAACCTGCTGGAGCTCCTCAGATTGGCATAACGACAGCTTCCATCGAGCAGATTTTGGCAGCAGGTCAGTAAGTTGTTCTTGAACTGACTTCTCTCCGTCAAATATTGACAGTACGCCAGTTTTGACATAGTATTGTATTATAAACTTACCTTTAGAAATATCGGTCAGTTTTGTTGTTATATTTTTGTCAACGTCAAGAACTTTCACCATCTCAGTCATACCAACTCTCTCTGCTTTATGAAAATATTTTGGTTCAGCAAAGACTGCTATTCTATAACATTTTCCATTGTTTGTGTAAAGAACTATTCTGTCAATGAACTTGTATTGTTTGTGTGTGTAAACTTTGTTTTGCTTCAATTCGAAGAGATACTCAAATACGTCCATCTTTTTATTCTAAGTAAAATGTCATTTCCGAAAAATAGAAGCGTAAGTGTTTCAAAAGGTTTAATGGCGGTGGCAGATGTGAAGTTAAATTCACCAACTCAACAAACAGTCAAAGTGTTATTGTCAATGTCAAAGAAAGAGATGTTGAAGTGGGGAAACCATACGAAGACGAAGATGGTATAACAATAGTTCCTGTAAAAGAACAACCAACATATCCTGAAGTTAGCAGAGACTTAAGTTCTGTTGCAGATATTCGAAACGACTACCAACAACTTAAAGATAAGCTTAAAACTCAGGAGAAGATTTGTCAAGCTTTAGGTATAATGTTAAACTTGGTCGAACACAACCCTGTAAAAGTGAACTCATATGTCATTGCACCTCGTGAAGTTTTGAAAGAACTATTGAAACTTTTGACAGAGGCAGACGATATAAACATCAAAGAAATAGAACCCGACATTGCTTGCTGTGGTGTTTCATATAATGTCATTGACAAGATATACGTTATGAAAGGAGGTGAAACGTTGAACTTAAAAATATAGTTTCCCAGACGTCATAAAAATATTTGACGACCACAACATTTCATTAAAATTTACTTGCTAAGTAAAAATGTCAAAACTTCTTGAAAGATGTTTGAAGAAAAATAATATAGACTTTATTTCATGTAAAGGACTTTACACACTTTTGAACGATATGAAAGACCCTGTTTTGTTTGTTCGTGTAGACAAAGGAAAGTTCTATGTCTTTACAAAATATTTGAACTTCTTAGACAGAGAACTTCAAGAAACGCCATGTGAAAGTTTAGATGAAGTTCTTCTCCACTTTCAGAAAAACTTTTAAATATATGTAAATGGCAGAAGACATAGTGGTTTATACTATTACGACTAAAAACCCTGAGTCATATAATTCTATAACAACAAACTTACAAAGTCCTCAAGGACGATATTGTAAACTAACCTTAAACACAATGACGACTAAAGCCTGTTTTGCTCTTTTGACACCAGAAGATTTTATTGTTGTGAATGGTAAAAAATACTCCTTTGAAGATACTTACTCAGATATACCACCAACAGGTTTTGTTGACTTATTTAATACTTTAAGGACGGATGTAACATGTGCTGCAACTAGAGCAGGTTTCATTATGTTTGGATGTCCGACTGAGTTCAGTATAAACGATATGAGCTATAATACAAAACTTATATCTGGTTTTTACTACCAACAGTTTCCTATAACAGGAAAAGGTGTCATACAAGGTCTATCTATTCCATTGACTTTAAGCACACCTATTTTATATATTGTTTCAAACTTAGGTTCAAAGTGTTATTCGAATGTCGACAGAAACTACTATGACCAAAAGATACTCATGCGTATAAACAACACATTCTCTGCTGGTTTGCCTATTGTTCATTCGAATGCAGAGTTTTCAGCTTTAGTAAACTCAAACACTTTAGCAAACATAAACTTAACCTTAGTTGACGCAAACTTTGTTCCTGTAAAACTTTTATGTCCTATGTATTTGTCAATGACGGCAGAAAGTTTCGAATTGGAAGATGCAACTGGTGAAAGTATTGTACTACAAGAACAACTTCAACAACAAATAGCTCAAGAACAACAAATGCAACAAATGGAACAAATGCAACAACAAAGTCAAGAATAAAAAAATATTTTTTTTTATTTTTATAAAAATGTACAGAATAGATGTTTCAGATTTTTATGACTTCCAAGCCTTCAGAAATATGTGTCCATTTAGAGACTATAACAAAGCAGTCGAGAATTTGAAACGTTTAGTCATTTATGTTGACTCTGCCCCAGAATGTTATGTTATGAAAGAATGGGATGTAGTCTTTAACAAACCAAGAGCAACAATAGTGTCTGAACAAGAATGTAGACAGAAACTTAAGAAAATAAAAGTCGTACAAGTTGGCATGAAGATGTTAGATGCTTGGGATATCTTATTGTCAAAGTTAGAAGATTTTTCAGTTCGAGGTATAAAGTTTATACACCTTCTCCAAACTTCTATTCTATCTTCACTGGATATAAATACGAACAAGTAGAATGGAAAGAAAATATTATAGAAGCTTGGTTAGACCATGTCAAAGAAATTATATGCAATGGAAACGAAAAGGTTTATGAGTATATCTTATGTTGGTTTGCAAACATCTTACAACATCCAAGTGCTAAAAATGAAACTGCTCTCATTATAATTGGAAAACAAGGAACTGGTAAGAACACTTTCTTTACAGATATTTTGTGCAAACTGTTAGAGGGCTATTCGAACCCGAATATGACAAACTTAGAAAACATCTGCGGTAAGTTTAACTCTTCAATAGAGAATATGAAACTTATAGTATGTAACGAACTTCAAAGTATAGATACAACAAAAGTTTTGAACTCAGATGCTTTGAAGAGTCTTATAACAGACAAAGTTGGAGTTGTTGAAAGAAAATATAAAGACCAAAGAGTTTGTGAAAATGTTGCAAATTTCATTATGGTTTCAAACAATGCTGTTCCGATGAAGTTAGAAAGTTCTGACAGAAGATATGTAGTTGTCAGAACGTCAGATTCTCATATGCAAGATACAGAATATTTTGACGACTTAGCAGAAACTTTGACATCTGACTTTTACAACCACTTGTTCTCATATTTCATGACATTAGATATTTCAAAGTTCAATCCAAGACAAATTCCACATACCGAAGAGAGACAAACATTGTTAGAAGCAAACAAGAGTGTATATGAACTGTTCATAGATGAAACTGACTTTGAGTGTTTAGATGAAAGGTCATTGTACGATTCGTATAAACAATATTGTCAAGAGTATGGTTATATGACAGCGTCTAAACGAACATTCTTGGCAAATGTCAAAAATCTTTTAGACGTACAGAATGGTGTATATACAAAGAAAAATTTTTCTGAGTAAATTTTAAAAAAAAATATTTTTTTATTTTATTTGAAATGTACGCTGAGTTTGTTGGAAAGGACCGTTGGGAAACTTGTTTGTTAGATGAGAAATATGAAATTCACTGTTGTGAGTCATTTGAAGTCAGAAACAAAGAGACAAAAAGAGTTTTAAGCGGATGGGAGGGAAATGACGGATATGCTATGATGAAGATGGGTGGGAAAAACTATTTAAAACATGTTGTCATTGCAACTCATTTTATACCGAACTCTAACAATCTACCTTTTGTAGACCATATAAACCATATAAGAAATGACAATAGACTTGAAAATTTACGTTGGGTTACTCGTTCTGAAAACAATAAGAACAAAGGCAAATTTGGAGATATAGTATTCGAATTTGTCGACGAACTAGAAGATGAAACAATTGAAATTACAGACTATGGTAAGCATACGTTTGAGTTTTACTACTATAGCGAAGAACAAGACTCTTTCTACTTTTATACCGGCGTAAACTATAGAAAATTACAAGTATATTTTACTAAGGCGGGCTATGCTTATGTAAACACTAGAGATACAGATGGAAAACACGTTCGAATACTTCTTAACAAATTCAAGAAGCTATATGGCATACCATTTTAAAACGTTTTTTAAAAAAAATATTTTTTTATCCGATAGAAAAGATGACGAAATTCATCTCAGTAAACAAGTATATGTCAGGACTTAAAGAAGAACTAGACCCATTCACATATTTGAATGTTTACTTCTACCATTTTGAAAAGTCTACATTTGACAAAGTTTGGAACATCGAACCAGTTAAGTTTGCTATTGTGACTAAAAATGGTGCGAAATTTGAAGACTTAGACATAGAAGGTTTGTTAACAGTCAAAGAAAGTTTTGACAGAAGGTTCTCAAACCTTAAAGAAGGCAAAGCATACAAACTTGTTATACCTTATGAACCAAAGAAAGCAGACGACTATGAATATTATGAGTCTAAGATAGTTGAAGTTCAAGGTAAATTGGGTAAAAAGATTTTAGAGTCTAAGCCAGTGTTTGCTCCTAAAGAGGAAGAGAACATTGACATTGACCCAGAAATGTTCTAAAAATAAAATTTTATTTTTACATGTCATATCTCACCTTCTCTGGAACTGGCTCTGGTTCTTTCTTCTCTTCTTCTACTTTCTTTTCTTTCTTCTTCTTCTTCTCTGGTGGAGTTATGTCAAACTTCTCAGAACCATATTTTTGTAAAAGTGCTTTGTCATTTAATAGCTCTTCTATTCTGTTTTCTATTTCATTTTCAAGAACAGCGCATGTGTCTTCTTTGCATTCTAAGAAGTTTTTGGACTTCATCTCTCCAAGAGGCGTCATCTCTGTCAACAAGTCTGTCATTGACAAATTTTAAGACTGCTCTGCTTAATGTTTTATGGTTCTTGTCATATTCCCAGAAACAGAACTTTAGAACAAATTCACCTTTCTTGTTTACACTATGTAAGATTTTATGGTCGACAGATGTTTTGCTGTCGAAAAGCTTGTCTCGAATATAGATAGCGAAATCGCTAGACATTTTCTAAAAGATAAAAATTTTAATTTTTCTAAAAATATGTTAGAAAAAAAGTTTGCTGACATTGACAAGAAATTTGAGAATGTTTTAAACAAGAACAAGAGGAAGTTGGAAAATGCTCAGATAAAACCCATACATGACAAGTTCTTATTTGCTCAGAATGGTATAACAGGTCTAATTGCACCACCTGGGTCGGGTAAGACTTTCACTTATCTTAAAATGGCTGCACAACAACAAGAACTAGATGAGAAGAACCCATTCTATGAGTTAGTAGTCATTTGTAGTACTTCGGGTCAATTTGACCAAACCGTCAATTCGTTCAAAGATATTATAAAGAAGTCTAAGTTAGTATGTATAAAAGATACTGAGTTGTTAGATTGGATAAAGAAGTACCAAAGAAGAGTTTTGAAGTACAATGCTATAAATGAGTATATAAACTCGAAGTTTAAAGACCCAAATGAGGAAATGCAGAGAATATTAGAGAAGAAACACTTCAGAAACAAACAGAAAGAGATAGAATACATTTCGAAGAAATTGCAATCTTACGATTGGAAGACTTACCCTCACAGATGTCTTCTTATCTTAGATGATTTCGCCTCTCATCCTTTGTTAAAGAATAGAGAACAAGACATGTGTCGAATTCTTAAGAAGCTCAGACACTTTAACATTTCAGTTGTCATTTGTGTACAGACAGCCAAGAGTTTAAGTAAGGATGTAAAGAGAATACTGACTGATATTATACTTTTCCCCGGATTGTCCGAAGACGATTTCATGGAACTTATGAAAGAGTCCATGGCAGGTAAGTTTGACAGATATGAACTATGGGTGAAGTACAAAGCCATACAAGACCCTCATACTTCTTTCAGAATTCACATCTACGCGAACAAAGTTCAAATTGTTTCAAGACAAGCTTGAAAAATGTAAGTGTTTGAGTCTTAGTCTGTTGTGGTGCTGGGGCTGTCGGTTCTTCTGGCTTTGGAAGACATTCAGGAAGAGGAACGTCGGACATTCGTTTGTGTCCTGTCGGATGGAAGGACTTTTCCTGTAGGAAGGAAGGACTTTTCCTGTTGTCAAGAAATTTTTTTCCTGTCGGAAGGAAAAACTTTTTCTGAAGGTCGGCCAAAAAGTTCTCAATTTTCGAAAATTTGAATGGTTTACGGACGGACAACAGAAAAAATTTTTCTTGTTGGAAGGAAGGACTTTTCCTGTTGGAAGGAAAAACTTTTTCTGTCGGAAGGAAGGACTCGGAATGCCAGAAGGAAGGACTCGGAATGCCAGAAGGAAGGACTCGGAATGTCGGAAGGAAGGACTCGGAATGCCAGAAGGACTCGGACAAGACAATTTACCTTATAGAGCTACCTGAGCCATCTTTGAAGTCAAGCTTGAAAAATAAATGGTTCATTTACTCTGCTTGTTTGAAGTTGTCAAAATACTCTGTTATCTTTTCTTTCAGTAATGGCAAATCTTCTTTGAATGTAAGTATTGTACAACCTTTCATATCATAGTGTGTTTGAGGTAACGTATCTTGAACTATCTGTTTAACATCTTCATTCGGTGTCATTGAAATCGGTAAGTTTTCGCGATAGAACCAATTTCTGTCAGATTTGTAAATCTTAGCAAGGTCGTAAAAGCTTTTGTTGTTTCTTCTGACTAAATGCAACATAACCATATCTCTGTCTTCTTCATTTTCCATCTCTTCAGTATAAATCATATACTTATAGTTCTTTTCCTTTCCTTTTGGTACCGAACGTGGTATTCTTTTCTGTATGTTTTTGTCTTCTTTCATCATATCTTCTCTCTGCTTTGTACAAAGTTCGTCAAGTAGCATAAGTATGTAGATTGCATAACGAGGTGAGGCCCACATTGCTATTGAACTAGCTAGGAACTTATGAACATATATACCTTTTAGATGTGATGGTAAGTTTTGTCTGTCTTGGTACATTTTTTTAAGTTCTACATGTTCAAACTCACTGAGGAGTTCATGAGTGCTATTTAATTCAAACCAGTCTTGTGGTTTCTTAGTATCTGGTGCAAAACATGCTGTCAAAATACTTTGCATTTGGTACATGTCATCTTTGACCGAACGAATGAGACGTAACTGTTTGTTAAACTGTATGTACTCGTATTCTTCACTTATGGCTTCATGAACGATAGCAGTTGTTGTGTTCTCTGATGTTGACATATCTGTCTTTACATACAAAATAAAAAAATAAAAAAAAATAAAATTAGCGTTATTTTCTATCTTGTATAAAAGACCAAAAATAAACGCTTTACATGTATTTTTCAGCAACTTCGTCAAATAATTTTATAGCTTTATCTATCTCATCTACTTCAAACGTTTCTTTACCTTTTATGGGAGCACCATACATTTTCTCAAACTTTTCAAGTAGTTCTGTTTCAGCAGCTCTCATATCGTTAACAAACACAACCTTAACTCTATTGACTGTACTGTCATATCTTTGAGTTATATTAAATGTTCTTCCTATCTTATATCTCTTTGTATTGAAGTCCTTCGGTTTCTGAACGATGTAAAGTAAGCCCTCACTGCAACGTTCTGAGTCGAACGAACCATATGTTATGAAGTTATATCCAACAACTGGGTCAATCCATAACAAAACTAGTGGTATAAGACTTTTGTCTATAAGATATGCTGTAGTTCCATAGAATCTTACCGATATCATAAGCTCAGGATTTCTTGTCAAAATTTTCTGAGTAGAAGCAATTCTAACCCAGTCGTGTGCTCTCTTTCCGGATGGAGATAAAATGTCTGACAAAGAATATTTTTTGTATTTCTTTGAGTATCTTACGTTTAAATCACCTATTCTAACCACCTTGGTCTCATTGTCTATCTTTTTAACTGTTTCAAACTCAGTGTTTGTCATTTCCTGTCTTTACATACAAAATAAAAAAATAAAAAAAATAAAAACTAGCTTTAATTTTATTTTTTCTATCTTGTATAAAAGATATGATTTCATAGAGTTTTTTCACTGTTTTCATAGAGTTTTAGGCTACCCCGGAAAAAATCGGGGTAGCAAACATATGAGGAAATTCATGAAATTTGGTCATTTTACTCAGCAAAAATATATTTTAGGTAACCAGGTCACTCGGTCACTCGGTTAAATGAACTTCTCTGAAAAAGTGTGACAACATGACATTTTGACAACAACACAGGAAATATACTTCTTCGTCAATGTTTTGTTAAGATTTCATCGTCAATGAGTGTAAAACAGACAAAAATATATTTCTACCATAACTATTTACAAGCGTTTTACATGGTATATGTTGTGATGGTTCATGACTTTAAACAGTTTTGTAGCTTCTATTTCTTCTTTTAGTACATCGAATTTTTTAACAATGCCGAAGGTAGTAGTATATTTCTTCTTGACATCAGATAGAAGGAAATCGTTAGCAGTTGGATAGTTTTTGTTCAGAAATGCTAACATGTCCATTTTATCTTCTGCTGGTTTCTCTACTTCTTTCTTTAAGTCAGTATGGTCTTTTCGCATACGTTCTATCTCTTTGACGGAGTAGTTATATTTCCTTGTTGCTGCTTTACATTTTGAACATTGTGGGTTCATTTTTGCGTTATACATTGAAACCTTACCTGCAAGTATGACTAAGGCGTAGATGGTCTTCTTTAACTCAAAGGCTGCTGGTTTTATCTGTTCATTCCATACTTTACCTCTTCTATCTTTATCTCTTATCTGCAAGACACATTTTGCAACTAACGAAACAAAGTTGTCGTAGGTCTTAAACTCCCCAGATTTATATATGTCAATGTCCATGACTTTGTGGTTGCAATGAAATCCAAGAAACTCATAGTTTACCTTACGTATGAACTTCTTTATTTCTACTGAGTCGGTTGCTTTCACTTCTATTTCATCGAATTCAGGAATAGTGAGCTTTTGTTGTTGTATTTCAGGAAGTTTAGGTAGATGGTCAATAATATCCTGCATTTCATAAAGATACTGTTCATTTGTTTCATCTTTTGCAGTGCAATCTAAATCTCCTTGGAGAAGTTCTTGCTTTATCTTCTGGATTTCTGTTTCGAAAGTATATGAAGAAGGGATGAAGCTTTTCATCTCTACTAACATAGATGTTGGGTTCATGACTAACGAGTTTGGTGCTGTTGTTGCAAACATGTTCTTACAATAAAAATAAAAAAATATTTTTTTTAAAAAAAAACTAAAATATATTTTCGTCTGATTTACGCTCATTGACGATGAAATCTTAACAAAACATATACGATGAAGTCTATTTCCTGTGTTGTTGTCAAAATGTCATGTTGTCACCATTTTCAAAAAGATGTTAGTTGACCGAGTGACCGAGTGACCGAGTGACCTGGTCGCCTAAAATATATTTTTGTCTGATTTACGCTCATTACGATGAAATCTTAACAAAACATTGACGAAGAAGTCTATTTCCTGTGTTGTTGTCAAAATGTCATGTTGTCACCATTTTCAAAAAGATGTTAGTTGACCGAGTGACCTGGTTCCACCTAAAAACCATCTACCCTAAAATATATTTTTCAATACTTTTTCAGCACTTTTCCGTAGTTGTATATGAAAGACAATTCGAGATAAAAGTCATAGTACAATGGAATAATATGCTGCACACCGTTTGTAGTGAACCAAATTTGAAAGTCAGAGAAACTGTTACTAGGTGGTTCGTAGAATTTAGAAGCAAAGTCATAAAAGTCCTTACCCATACATAGAAAACTACTGTTGCTTGAACTGAAACTTGCATGACACATGACATTTTGAGGGTCAAACACGTTTCTATAAACTGTCAAATCTGCTGGTGGAAGTATAAATTTAAAAGGGCCGTCAGGTGGCAATGGTTCGTTCTGGTTTAGTAACCGAAGAAATTGTGCCCAAGAACGTTTGTCTACTTCCCAAAATAAAAACTCTGTATCTCTTGGAGGGTTAATTTCAATCTTTTGAAATGAAACGGTGGAGTTCATCTTGTCATATTCTAGTTTCAGATAGTATGTTCCATTTAGTAAAGAGTCGTATTTTTCTTGAAATTCCCAATAATATTTGTTTATCTGAGTTTGAAAGTCATTTAGAGTCTTCTCAAGACTTTCGTCTGAACGAATAGTAAAGATTTTCATTTCGTCAAATTTTTCTATTAGACCATCAGAGCCTTTATACTGGCCATGAAAATATACTGCGAACATGAACGCGTTAGTTCTATTTGAAAACAAAACTCTTCTAAATCCTATTGCCTTTGCATCTGAAGGACTTTGAAGCCAGCGAATTGGATAGTCAAACCTGTATGATCCGGATGAAATTTCTTCATCTGATATATTCCTACCGGCATTTGTAAAGATATAGTCTAACGGTTTTGTATCTGCTACTTTTGTTCTTTGTTTTTCAACCTGAAGCATTTTATATATGTAAAAATATACTATTTTAAAAACGTTTTAAAATGGTATGCCATATAGCTTCTTGAATTTGTTAAGAAGTATCCGAACGTGTTTTCCATCTGTATCTCTAGTGTTTACATAAGCATAGCCCGCCTTAGTAAAATATACTTGTAATTTTCTATAGTTTACGCCGGTATAAAGGTAGAAAGAGTCCTGTTCTTCGCTATAGTAGTAAAACTCAAACGTATGCTTACCATAGTCTGT